TACAAAAAATACAACGTAGATATCATCAAAGAGCAGATCGATTTGGATCAGAAATATAAGTTTAAGATTCAGCCTTATATGCGCTCGTTTTTACCTCTCAACCATATTATGGTTACACAAATTTTGAACATTACCATTTCTATCGACGACAACGATTATAAGATGTTTGACTTTTTAAACAATCTAGTGAAGAAAGTAAGTATAGTACACAAACTTAAAAATTGTTCAAAAGTTTCTCAATCGTATCTAAACGAAGTTAAAAGCGAAATTCACTCTATTATGCAAAAGGAACACATTCTGATTTTAGGCAATCAGAGGTTCAAATTAAGTCTCTTTGAATTACAAGGCCCAGATTGCTATATTATTAAAATTTTCCCTTATCTAATTATAGGAAACCTGTTGGTTTCCAACGTGGCGATTGATTACACTGAAAAAAATTATGCTGAGTTACATAACAAAGTCAATAGTTTAGCATCAAAACAGTCAGTAGATGAAGGCGAATACTCTATAATATCTAAAAACATACCAGTATTTACAAAAAAAATTGACGAGTTACTCTTAAACGATACCGATATTGTTCATGAAATCACACAAAGTTTCGATATAGATACTCAAGCGTTCCATAATTATCGATTATCTACTTTGAAATCGAATAATGAATTTCAAAAGGGTTCTCTCGAGGATTTACCTGTCTGTCTTGAAAACAAAAATAGCTATACATTTCAGAAGTTCGGTTTGCTAAATGATTATTATGAAAAAATTTATAAAAAACTGACAGAGAATAGTTCTTACAGCTTTCTCATACCATTCGGGTGGTGTTACATGGTTACTGAAATCGATGACGACATTGAGTTCAAGCTTCGAATACTGGAATTTCCCATTGAAGAATATGTTTGCAATGTGAATAACTCTAGTTATTGCGATATCGACTACTCAAACATCCAGTTGATCATTTCTTTGCTTAAGTCTTTTTTGCTAACTTTAATCTCACTTAATCTCGAAATTTCAACGCAAGTTCTTTACGGTCTGACCTGTGAATTTTTTTTATGTTACTACAAAATCGAGGTCACTGCCATAATCAACTTCGCAAAGTTTTCTGAGTTGGTAATGATTTTGTGCCAGAGCTCAAATAGTTTTGAACTGATCAATATCAAGAATTTCAAATTTAAAATTCCTTCAATTATTAATCTTCCGGTTTACACATCGAAAAAAATTAATCTTCATGCGTATAGTCAAATTAGTTCTTGGTCTGATTATGCGAATCTTGAAAAAACGGAAACATTGAAATTTTTTCCTCAAGCTGATATACCCAAGGATAACTTGCCTAACAAGCTCTTAACAAAGTTTTTCTTTCGGTTCATGTTTGAGACTAAAAATTATGAAAATATTCTGTTAATTCAGCCAGATGCAATCATAGAAAACCTGGTTCCGTTAATTACAGTGAAACTGCAAGAAAACTACGTATGCCCTCCATTTTCTCGTATGTTTGTTTCTAGATATATGCATGCGAACTTCAGTAAAAACAAGTTTATGCTCAAGTACAATCAAAATCTAAACATTCAGTTTGAAAACATAAACTACTCCGGAAATAAATATGGTGGAAGCGTTACCTTGAACACAGATAGAACCGGATCTGTTAATCTAGTGTCCGAAAAGGAGCAGCGAGTAACACAAGAACTGTTGCCTAGCCAATTTAAGTTTTTGGCTCTGTCTTATATCAAGCCAAGTAAAATTCCAAAATTATTATATTACCCTTCAACTTACTTTTTCAACGGTTTCAGTTTTGCAATATTCATCATCCCTTTTGATGAAGTTACTGGAAACATTTCTTTAGCAAACTCAATCTTTGTATGTTCAAAAGCTACAGTAACAATACTGGAAAAGTTGAATTACGTTTTTATCTGCGATGAAACTTTCACCTGGTGTTCTGATATATTCAGTTTTGTCGAATTGAATTCAGATTTGTTAAACTTAAAGAATATATTTAATTTTCAGTTTTATCAAATTGAGAATCCCATGAACTGGTTTGTTTTTAAAGTTGGAAGAAAGAATTTTGTAGAGAAAGCCTCAATGGACAGTTTCGGAGATAATGGAACAAATATAGATTGGTTTTTAAATTCAGAACTGATCTCTTCAGAGATAAAAGGTTTCATGTTAGATAGTCGTTTGTCTGCTTTACTGTACTATGTCAGCACAACAGAAGTTCCAACCACAGTGTTTAAAAATAAAACAGCTGAATTTTGTATCTTGAAAATAAAAACTGAATTAAACAGTACAGTCGAAGGATACTTGGACAAATTGATTTCGAATTTGAGTTATGCGTTTAATAATAAAAAATTACATTATCAGCGAGAACTGCTTCTAATCTACGATTATACCAAGCTCAAGAACAAATTAGACGCTAAAATAAATCTACAGGCAGATGATTACCCAAATAACTCTTTTTTCAATGAAATCCATAAGCATACTTTTCGCAATTTTGTTTCAAAATCACACATTCAGATTTACAAAGTATTAGAGTTTGTTGCATTTACCTTAACAAAGTCGAATACCATAATGATTCGGCCTTATGGAGCTATCGCGCTTAAAAACAACAATTTACAATGCAAGAACAAGTATTATTTAGACATTTTCAAGGAAGGTTCTATGGCTAATCTAACCAAGATTGATTTTTCATGTAATGAAATTCCTATTAAATCGATTGAAGGTGTGGCACTTAATAAGTATTACAGCGTGAACGGTGTTTTGATGTGCGAGTTGTATTCTACGCGGTATCACGAAACTGATTTATCATTTAGATTTGGCGATATACTGAAGAGTAAATGCTTACGCGACACTTCTCACAATTTTGATTTCAAAGAAAAGAAAGTTATCGATTGCAAATGTTTCGTGCGTCAAATCATAGAGAATTGTAATAATTACGAAAAATTATTAGATAAAGTTAACTTAAAAGAAACACAACGTCATGGAAGGCTTCGTTCGTGTTGCAAACTCTTGCATTTCAATAATAAGCATTTAAAAAAGGACAATGTCGCGTTTGACAACGATATGATTGGTGAAGTTAAAAACACCGGCATCATGACATACATTCAAAATGGATCAGACAGTTGTTTTGTCATTCCAGATTCCGTTATCAAAATAATCAATTCTCAGTTAATTGAGTTAGTTAAAACAATTGGACCTGAAAAAATTTTTTCAAACGATTACATTTGCGACATTCACAAAGACTTTCTAAAACGGTCTTCAGTTCCATTTACAAGTCTGGTAGTTAGCGTTGATATCGATTCTATTTACTTAATTCACGAAACGAAAAAAGACAATTCATTAACAGTTTACATAGACAAAATAACTACAAAGACAATCGTGTTAATGAATAAAGTTAGTGCAAAAGCTAAAAAAGAACATATTAATTTAGATTCAAGTTTTGGAACTAATAAATACTATGAAACTTTTGAACAAAATATTGCGAGAGAAAATCTAAAATCTCAAAATTTTGTAGAGACAAATTCGAAACACAAAGCTTTGAACTTAAAAAGTTTAGACTTGAACGACACGAAAAACTTAGAAAAGTATTATCAACTAACAACGGAAAGACAAAAATCAATATTACAATTTTTACATCTCTGTAACAGCGCGGCCAGAGTGTTTGTAAATATTTCAGTGAAGAATATCGCGGCCGAGTATCTATTAAACAAAAACTATTCTTCAATCCTAAATTTTGACAAATCTGTGTATTCGAGTCATAGCTTTTCTACCAAGTGCTCGCATGAGATAAATGCAATAAACTTTTATCTTTCGAAAAACCTGTTAAACAAAAATGTAGCTTCAGTTATTCACGAGTCTGTTTTAAAGATAAGTCCTTCTGTGTTGCAAATAGATGTTTCAGCCTTGTCGACTTTGTACACATCTTTTCAAGACGAATATATTCAGGTGTCATCCATTGAAAAAGATAAGTACTTCTATACGCAAATAACAAAAACAAATTCAGATCGAAGTTGTAAACATATCACGACTGACAACATATTTTTATCGTCCGCAGAACTCAACTTCTATATTCAAAAACATTTTATAAACAGTTTTTGGAAAGGACTTAATCCAATGAAAATTTCAACAATCGTGCCTTCGTCGATTTATGCAAATAAAGAAAAGTTGTACAAGTTTAGTTCGATACGTATTCAAAAAGTTAGGCTGATATTAAGCATAAAAACGGCTGGAGGCGAAGCATCGCATCGCACTTTGCAACTGTTGAAAAGTCTGCCGCTGGATAATCCGTTCACAATAATGGAATTGCCTAATTGGTCAGTTGATAGTATACTATTAAGCTCAGAGTCATTGTTAGAACTGATCGGCAAAATTTACAAACGTTTTTTGATTCGTAGAACTCTACTGTCTGCTTACATTTATTATATTGCTTCCCCTTTAATGAACTTGATTCACGGAACAAAACTGCTGTATGAATTGGTTAAAAACAAGTTCACCATGCAAAGTGTCCGAATCGGTATTATGCTTATTATAATGGGAGTTATAGGAGGAACTTTCAACATGATAGCTCATTTTTCAAATATTTTGTTCAAGCTGTTTCACAGTTCGCGCCAAAGTTCGAATGGAATTGTAGATGGTATTACAAAAGGAATATTTGACCTTATTATGGATGTTATTTATACGCCATGGCATTTATTGTTTTTGAGACTTATGAAATTCAACGACAGAAGCAATTCAATTTATTTTTCTATTCTAATGATTTTCGTGAGCTTAATAAGGTGTTTATTGTCACCCATAATGGCAGTTTTTCACACTATTGCTGATCTTTGTGAGCCTATGTCAGATACACTTATGAACTATTAAATGAATGGTTGCATTAGTTGCACGAGTGTCAATACCAAGTTTGAGTAGTCGCCGAAGTAATTTTTTTAATAATTTAAAATTTTTATATTATTTTATTATTTCAATAGATACAATAACTATAAGACTAATCTAACTGTAGCATTGCTTAGTTAACAATGGCAGAGCCTCATGATAAAACACAAGAAGATGACACTGATCGCAAATCTGAATTAGTATTGTCTCAAATACTTGAAAATGCAATTAACGACGTCGCCTCACAATGTTTACTGTACCACGTCTCTAAACCATTGTTTGGGTCACATCTAAAAAAATTTTGGAACCGTAATATGCGTAATTTCCGTCCAGCAGTAGCTTGCTATCTGCTAACAGCGCCAGATGATCCGTTGAAACTGTTTTATGAGCCTTCTTCGGCTGACGAACTTCGCGCGATGTACGAAGACGATAGTAACCTCAATTATATGTTTAATAAACTTTTTGCCAATGTTCATGCGCAAAAGACCTTAAAAAGTGAGAACAAAACAACATTGTTTGTTTCACTACCGGTTGCTGTGAAAGGAGCTTATTTACGAGTCACAAATTCTAGTGGAGCGAATACATTCCACCATCCAACAGATCCTGCGAGCAATATTATGTTCGAATATAAAAACATTAATAAATCTGAAGGCATTGAATCAGAATCTGACGAAGAAACAGCTCCAAACGTCCCAGATGATTTGTATGTTTACAAAGATCCATGTCCAGAAACGGAACTACCACTAATTTCCTTCTGTGACACTTGGGGAAGTTTTTTGTCTTCCAGATTAGGAATTATCACTCTCGGTTCGGCCGAAGATTCGTTAATTGTTGGGCAACTATTTAGTGAAATATTTCGTGAGCCTATCACAGATGAACCATTAGAATTAAAAACAGTAGGTATTGAAATATCTTCGAAGCAGCAAGAACCTGGCGTGATTAAAACGCAAATTTTAGCGGCCAGCGATAAAGACCTACTGACGTTTTTTAAAATAACGCAAAAAATTCGATTTTTCTATTTACATCTGTATGTAATTGCAAATTATCTACCTTCAGGAGGCTTTCCTTGGATTTTTGATCATCAATCTTGCCACATGCAAAATCAGTTGCTACTCGGACGGTACGAGAAAACTTACAAGTCTTACTATAGACATGTTTTTGTCGACGCAATCGGAATAGATGCTGATAAGAATGTCTCGTTGCTGACCAAAAAAAAATATCCTAATTCGCAAATCGAAACTTTAACGGATTACGATGATTACGATAAAGAAAAAAACACTGTAATTAACTTAGAGTCGAACGTATTTTCAACACGAATAACGTTGAATTGCGCTTCATCTCGATGCATAGATCCTAGGTTTAAACCGATCGTTATGACAAGACTTCCTGTTTTTACTTTGGACGGTGACATGTGCAATTTCAGTTTTAGCTCTAACGTAAAACCGATTCCAGTTGTTTACGAGTTTGAAAATGCAAAGAACCGCATATTACGGTCTGGCTATGGAACTTTTATGCAATTCACGCATAATTTAATATCATTTGTAGACAAAAAAGACAAACATTCAAAGATCGTCAATCTTATTACCAAATTTAAGAATCTAAATATAGATACTGAATTAAACCCTGAACATGTAAACGATACTCTGCCAGTGAAACCTGATGAAGTTTCTATTGCTTCTCCAGATCGGGAAAATAAATCTTCTGAATGTAATATTTATGTCGATTCTAAACAGGAATTGCTCGATTTACTGGAGTCAGAACTGTTTTTGGGCCAAAAGTAATTTTTTTTTTTTTTTAAATCTTTATGAGGGCACAACCAAGATTGCTCGTATAATAAACTAATTATTTATAAATCATTATTTATATGAAACCCAAGCTAGATCTAACTGTGAAAGTCATGTTAATCGATAAAGGGTTGTATAATATTTTCTAGGATATTTCTACTAGGTTGTTGAATGTTAAGTTTGCTACGCCTTTCAACAATGCTCAAACAATCTTTGAGTTTATTCTTAACACCTTTTCTATGGCGTGGTTGGTCTGGAATAGAACATAGACACAGTTCTAAAAGAATACGTAGAGATTGGAACATGTATTGTTGAGCTTCGTCGTTCTTGTTTGGTTGTAACGCCAAGTCTTCAAAGTTGAGATAACTAATAATATTTCCAACCAGTTCGTCTGGAATAGCTACATGTGGGCTTAAAAAATTGCTTACTATATTTAAGGTTAAAGTTTTGTCAATGGAAAAATTAATTTTCAATAGCATTTCTAAATTTTTTACAAAATAGGCAAAGGCAAAAGCTAGCCCTAAACGATCAACAGCCTCGAATGAAACACTATCGTTATTAAAATTTTGACTGTAATCAAAAATAAGTTTATCATCGAAAAGCAGCTCCATGGTATTACATGGGTTTCGAATATGAAAAAAATGCGATAATAAATATTCTTGAGTCAAACAAGTTGCAAGAGCGTCAGGAATTTCAAATGTAATATATCGTTTGTTAGAAGTAAAAAAAGTATTAATCTCATTCCACATGGGATCAACATCAGCATCATATGTTTTAAGCGTCACGTAAAAACCGTCTTGTTCAGTAAGATAAATGTAGTTTTCTAAAATTGAGACGTACGTTTTGCACATCCACTCATTGGGTTTGATGTTTCTGCAATAAGCGTGAATGAGCTCAATACATACAAACAATACGTCTAAAACAAAGTAATAGTTGTTCTGCTCAATTTCACAGAGAGCAAGATAGTAACAAACAAAATACTTTATATCTACAAAGTTTTTGTTTTTTTGGTTTGATAAATTCCGTTCTAAAAATTGTTTTGTAAGCAAAAGTTGCTCAGAAGTTATTTTTTCTGTGCAAAAATTTTCTGGATAGAGATATTCATCAGGGTTCGTCATTAACTTTTCGATATCCTCGTTTAATATTTGTGACACAAATTGCAATTTAAAAATCAAGGAGACCATTTTCAACTTAGTTGGGTAGTAATATAAAAGCATGTCAGTAGCAAGTTCAAACTCTTTTTGAGTTAATAAATAATACAACAATTTATCTGCCGTCAAAGGGCTAACAAAGTTCAGTTTATAGCTTGCTAAATTGGTTGTGTCTTTGTATTTACAAAAAAATACACCAATATTATCATTAAAATGAAAAACAGAGTGCGTATCGATTATCTGTTTGCAAAAAAAACCTTTTTCGCGATTGAAAAGACCGATGTAGAGAGTTGCTTCAAATTCAATTTCATGAAGTTGTGAACTGTGTAAAATATGTGAATGATCAACATAGTTCGTAGAAATAATAGCGAACGTGGCACCACGAAGCAACTGAAAATGAAGTATGTTTGAGACTTGAGCTGTGTATATTTCTTCATAGCTGGAAGGTGTCAAAGCGTAAATTTTGTTTGCTACGACAAAAATAATTTTATTGTGGTAAGTGCTATATTTCAGAGAGCCTTGGCAAATATCTTTGAATTCCCATTTGTTCACTAGAGACAGCAAGTACGTTCCAACATTAGAAGATTCGATTATGTATGAGAATATCGTCGAATCAGTAGAAAGAAAAATTCGTTTATTAATCACAAGAATATTTAAAATTACGCTTGAGAGTTTCAAATAGTTTAGTTTTACGAACGATTTGGATTTCACGTCAAATAAAAGACCATGAACTGAACCGTCGTCGTATCCAAAAATAAAAAAATCGAGATATTCTGAGATGAAGTAAGAAGTGAAGTTTGTAGGAAAATTAGACGCGACTTCCGCAAAGAATAGCAAAGGCTGGTAATCTTTCAAACAAAATGTTTCACTCTGTGGGTCTGAAAATAAAAGATAATCGTTATAAGTTTCAAACGGAAACGGTTGGAGCCAGTACAACGTCATATTTAGCGAGTTGTTTGAGCTTGTAAGTACAACAAGCATGTGGCGGGTTTCAGCTTCGCTTTTACTCGTTTTTACAGTAAGATAGTGCAATAAGACATTTGAGGAGTCTTTTGAACTTGGCTTGAATGAAAAGCATGATTTGTACTGCTGATTTTTCTGATCTTGCAACAAAAAATGAATTACGTTATCAGAAGTAGCTACTAGTAATCGGCGACGATCTATGACGACAGACTGAATTTCGCAGTTACCGAATTTTTCTGTGCTTAGTAGAGTAGCACAGTCGCAGCTAAAACTGTTAGTCTCGAAACATTGCAAAACTGACAAAAAAGTAGAATTTTCCATGGAAATTACGCTGAAAACTAAACAGCATTTTTGTTCATTTCAAGAAAGAAAACAAATTTTATTTTATTCTGACTTATTTGCATATCTGATTATTTCTATAAAAATAAAATTTTATCTGTGTTCAAGAAATTTTTGGAAGTTAAAAAAAAAATGATTTTTATGATCTGCGGGAAAACGTAAAATTATCTTTGGTTGAAATGTTTATTATATGATCGATGTCAATTATGACTTCAAGTCGTTAGATCTTCTTAGTGCAGACCGATTGAAGTGTATTCTGAACGTAAGTTGAGTTTTTTGCTAGTTTATTCAGGTAGATATAAAAAATATCAGTTTTTCGAAAGGAATTTACGGGAAAGACAACTTAATTTTTTCTCCTAGTTGTCGATTTTTCTTAATAGTTCATTTTGATTATGAAGACCCGATTTTGTTATGGTCCATAAACTATAATAATAAAATCTCGAGTTCATTTGGTTATAGATCTACGAAACTCAGATCAATCGAGCACAGAGAAGGTAACAATTTTATTAATTTTCATAATATCGTGATTGTTTCAAACGTCAAGAACGAAGACGTCTTGCTGATCTCTTTAATAAAAGTATATGCTACACCAGAAGATGAAGTCTCACTGGTAGAAAAACAAGGAAATATTTTGCATATGAATGCCCACAGTCTAGACAGTTCTTTAAAAAATATTGACGAAAATCATGACTACTATTCTTTCATTACGCCTTGGAGTTTGGCTACATTGACTGGAATTGAAATTGTGGGATCCTCAAAAATATCAAAAAAACATCTTGGAGCAGTCAAAATTAACCTGATTCCTGTGAACGATAATACACAACATAAATCTCAACTAGTGATCTCACTTTTTATTGACAGAATTTACATGTTAAATGGGTCAAGGTTAAATACCAAATATTCAACACACTGTTCTAAGCTTGATCCGTACCCTGAACTTGTTGACTGGTTAGGAAAACAAAATGAAACCGTTAGATATGTAAAGCCAGAACCTATTTATTGTGAAATCATTACCGAGCACGCCTTGCCTGAAGCAATTAATTACCTGGTATTTATACCTGGAAACTTCATTACTTTTTTTTCCATGATATCGCATGAAAAAACACTCGTGACCCAACTCTTCAGCTATATAAGCTGCACTCGCAACTTCATAGAGTGTCACACAATTCACAAAACTTTTTGTAGTGACACTATTAATAACAGTATTTTTTGTTCTAATGTACGACGGGAATTCGCCCATGACAAGCAATTATTGACAACTTTCTACGACAAAATTAGTGTTTCAAATATTTTTTTTGGCTTGTTCAACTCAACCGGAGATATCAACATTCCTATCGATCCCGAAGCTGATGAAAACTCTTTTTTTACTTGTTTTATGTCAATCTTGCCCACAAATCGTATTGTTTTGTTTTGGGGTTACTTAAACAATAACGAATTCATGATGACTGAGAATAGTAAAAGTGTAAATATCTTTTTTTCCGAATCTCTGCAAACGTGCATTCAAACTTCGCTTAAAACTGACAAAAAGCAGAAAGAAAACATCATAGGTTATTTCAAATGCAACATAAAAACGATTCCACATAATGCATCTTTTAAACACAATATTTACAATAAAAACGACGCAAAGGTTAACAAATTGTTGCAATGTGATTCAGATACTAAAAATCTGCCCATCAATTTTTACAGAGAAGTAAAAACTTTCAAAAAAACTATAAATGAAAATATACAGCCGAAGTTCAATTATTTGTACGAATATGTGAATCAAAAACGGTGGATTTACACTAACTATTATTACGAGTCTTGCTATGACATTGTGAATGAGAATGTTAATAATTTAAACGAAAATAATAGACTACTGAAACAATTTCAAGTCAGAGAAGATATTTTTAAATCTTTACTTGAAATTGACGTTAATTCTAAAACGGATTCAAAAGAAGTCCCCACCGGGCTTTATAAAACTCCGGTTTCATTAAAGTATAGCTACGCAAGTGGTAACGGACTTTATAATTGTATGGTTGGATCATATGCAAACTTTTATATTTACATCAGGGACAAATATGATGAGCCGATTCAAAACTCCGTTAATATTATTCACACTATTTTTGTTAAAGTTAACAATTACTATACTGACAAGAATGCGCCTGCTTGGAGTTATTCTTTCAATGACTCGGTTGTTACCAATGAATTTAAAAATAGAAAGTCTAACGTAAAACCAAATGAAAGTTTCAAGGTTAGTATTAGAGAAACATATCCGGGCGATTATTTCGTCTCGTACAAACCGTCAACGGCTGGTCTTTATAAATTGTTTGTTCAAATTAATGGAGAGAACATATTTTCTTCACCTTACACAGTACGAATTTTACACGGTGATGTTTGTGCTGCAACAAGCTCTTTGTTTTGGACCTCGTGTTGTGCGTCGTTTAATAAAGAATCTTTTGCTTTTATAGAAAAGTGTATCAAAAACTACGAAACGCGCGAGAAAGTTCATAAAGAACAGTATGTAGCTGAAATTTTATTGCAGTGGGAAAATGTAATAAAATCTTTAAATCGAAATAAGATTTTCATTATCATTAGAGACGCGAATGGAATAGAAATACCATATCACATATGGAAAAACTATCCTATTCAAATTTCACATAGTGATAACGTAAAACTAATTAAATTTCCTACGGGATCGATCAAAGATGGAGTGATATACTATAACGTTCAACTAGACTATATTGACATGTTTAAACGCATGTATCATTCTAAAGAAAAGAATCATGATAATCATTATTGTTCTAAATATATAGATGACATAATTCATATAGAAGTAAAAATTAGCAACGAATTGATTGGAAACAAAATTATGTCTACTGTTATCGAAAACATAAACGAAATTCAAGAGTTTATCGACGCTTCGCATCGATATTTATCGCAATACATTTTTGAAATGATCAAGAAGACAACCAACTTAGAATTTGTAGAAACTATTAAAAACCAGAACCTGGCTTACAATGAATGTGAAGCGTTTATGCTCGATTTCATAGAAAAGTATAAGAATTGGAAAACTTCGTTAGATAACGTTAAAAAACATATGAATGATTTTGAAATACCTATTTCACAAGCTGAAATACATAATGCATGGTGTTCACTGCATAAGATGACAAAAATTTTGCATAATTTGATGGAAAAAGAAAAGAATAAAAAAGAAAACTTCATATTAGCTATCAACAATCAATCTCATATGTTTTCTCCCGAAATGATTAACGAATATAACAACTTCAGACGCAACAAAACTATTCTCAAGTTTGCTCTCACTGAAGTACGGTGGCGAATAGATGAAAAATGTAAAAATTCAATTGTTAAGTTACAGAAGACAATTAACAAATATATCAACTCCAACAGTGCAAGGTTAATCTCGCTGACAAATAGGCTTTCTAGCAACAACATACAATCAATCGAAGAACTAGTTTCTATTTATCATCAAATTTATAACGAGTTTTGTCGCAAAAGACTTTGGTATTATGGACCAATATTAGCAAAGTCGCTTTTATTCGAGTTACAAAGTATGGAACTCAAGAACTTAGAAAAGAGTTATGATTGGCGTCAAAAAAGAATTGAACAAAGAAGGCAATCATACGATAACATCAGAAAAGAAATCGAAAATTGCTGGGACGAATTTTTAAGGTCGCTGGCTGTTTGTATATACGATTCTTTCAAAATTCAGTTTGAAAGCAACGATCAGTCTAGCGCAATGATCAAAGAAAAAGTTAACACTAACACCGCTAAGTTCGAAAAAGTTAAAAATATAATTAAATCAACGTGGGACTTTGACAAGCTTGACGAGCCAAGTGAAAACAAATCTTACGTAACTATTGCTCAAGAAATCAACGATCTGATTTCCAGCACAATAAATAAATTAACCATGGAAAAATGCAAAGCTGAAAAAGGTATCCAAATCTCTGAGTTCGAAAATTCAACACTACTTTCGTCTCCAGTGACGGAATTATACCTTAAAAGAGCTTACGATCTAAGTGCGAGTCGTGCGCCAGAACAAGAAAATGTTATAAACCGTTTGTTCAAGTTGATTCGTGAGTTGCTTAAACGCTTTATTAACGTTGAAGAACTTAAAATAGTCACTCAAATACCTTATTTAGATTTTTTATTGAGAATGACGTTTGATTACTACACCAAAAATTCACCGCACTTAACGTTTAATAATTATATCGAATTACTAAATGATTTGAATCTTCCAACAGGTTTCAAGTCTGAAGCAGGGGTTAAATTGCTTTTTGAGACATTTGAGAAGTTTAGCCAACCTGTAAAAAATAAAAGTGAAATTGAAAAAAGAGTTATAATCAGAGAATTTTGGTTACGATTAATAAACAGACTGTCACTCATAACCGCTCTGTACACCACGATTCTTTCTAACGATAAGATAAAGTTCGAAAATGACATTCTGTCCGTTTTGATGCCTTATCTAATGCCTTCAACAGGTGAATGTGTGACTTTTTTTATACGATACTTTTTAGTTCCCCTGTGGGTTGATTATGTATTTAAAGATACTGTGACTAAAAGAAAAATTAAGAATTATATAAAGTCAGGAAACTAAGCATTTTTTTGACCACTGCCAGCACATCCGGAACAACCGCAATTGTGGCATTGTTCTACGTTGATAGCTAGTTTATTTTTATTAACTCTACAAATACACACTTTACGAGTTGCTGTGTTTGAAGGATGTATGCAGCGTAAACAGCACAAGTTTTCATAACCGGTTTTTTTCCATTTAGCAATCAAAAGGTGATCAGCGAGTTTATTTTCGATGCAAAATAAATATAAATCTTTTGGAATGCATTTTTTTATGTAAAACATCTCGTAAATATATCGCGAACGATTTCTTAACAGAGAAGTAATATTCCAAGTGTGTTGGTACTGGTATTTTCCAAGATTGTTTTCATTTAAAACATCTAAAATCTTTTCTTCAAACTGTTGAAGCACTTTCTCCACTATGGGCCAAGAACTGGGAAAATCTTTCAATTGAGCTAAAGACATGAAAGTTTCTATGAGCCAGTTTAGTTCATGCCTTATTATTTTTTCACGAAAAAGCAATAAATTTTGAAATTTAAAATTAAATAAAAACTATTTATGATTAATCATGATCAAAGTGTGGAAAACTAAAAAATGTTTTATCCACACTTATTATATAATTGTTTTTTGTAATGAATAGAGCTAAAGAAGTTCCATACACAACTGAAATCAATTTTGTCACGTCTATTCAGTACGAAACATTTATTTTTTCATGGAAAATAGAAGATTTCAAAAAAATAAGAGAAATAATTAAAATTAACTTAATAAATCAAGTAGATCTGGACTCTTGCAGTCAAAATATAAACTATTTATTGTCGCCAGTCTACGTTGACAGATTAGGTTTTGAATGGTGGTTAAAGTTCTATCCGTTCGAAAATAGATATTCAGATATAGGCGCAAGTTCGTTGTTCTTATATACAGATCGCACGATATCTCAGTCCATAGTGTTTGACGCGAATTTCACAGTGACAAATATGTATCATGAGCCGTTTGACAATTGTTCTGAAACTTTTCATCTCAAAACATTAGCGAAATGTAATAGTATTTCAAATATAGGCATCGGAAACTTCATTTCCAGCGATACTATTGAACTGTATGATGATCAAATAGATGAATTAATCATTTTGTGCGAAATGAAACTATACGAACATACACTACGAAATTAATAAAATTAAATTTAGAAATCCAAAAATTAGAAAATTCGTTTATTATTCACTCCTATTTTGTTGCGTTAATCAAAAAGCAGAAAGAATTTCTGTCCGTGATTTTAAAATAAACAATCAAATGAATTTATTTAACGCATTAGAAACTGATGAAAATTGGTCGTTTTTCGACATTGCTTTCAATTTGAACGATAAAATGGTACGTAAGTTAAACTTCTCACCCATTCTATATTAGTATCAAGGTATCTATTTTGACCGCGAAAAACATCAAAAAGACTTGAACAAAGTATTGAATCGAGCGCGAAACAACTGTATTAAAAAAATTCTATGCACAGGCGTTTCTTACAATGAGTCCCTAAAAACTTTAGAATTGATTAAAGAATACCCACAATCAAAAGATTTTCTTTACATGACGTGTGGAGTTCATCCTACAGAATCGAATGAAGTCGACCAGTATCGAAACTCCGGTGAACTTTTGGATAGTCTCAAATCTTTTGTGCTAAACAACAGGGACTACGTCAAAACTTACGGCGAATATGGCCTTGATAAAGCCCGAACTTCTTATTGTGATTATGAAAAGCAACTTTTTTTCTTTGAAGAACAATTAAAGCTTAATTCATATCTTCAACTACCGTCTTTTTTGCATTGCCGTGATGCTTATGATGATTTTATACATTTGCTCAGGAAATACCCTGTTGTAGCAAAAAGTTCTGGGGTCGTTCACAGTTTTGACGGGTCTTTATCGCAAGCAGAAGAATTAATTCGTAATAATTTTGACATTGGAATTAACGGTTGCAGTTTAAGAAATTTAGATACTCAAATAGCTTGCTCTCAAATTCCTCTATCCAGACTCCACATCGAAACAGACGCTCCGTGGTGTATTATTAAAAAAACGCACAGTTCCTGGAAATCACTCCGATGGACAGTTTTAGACTCCAAGATTGTTAAACCTACAGATTATAACCTAGAAGAAGAAAACCTGTTCGTGAAGAATAGGAATGAACCAATTTTGATTGCGCAAGTAGCAGAGTGTTTATACAGATTAAAAACAAACGCACCTAAAATAGAAGAATTTAAAGAATTTTGTAATTCGATTTACAATAATTCAGTCCGTTTATTTTTAAATTAAATTTATTATCTAGAAAACAAACTAGCATTTGATCAATGATAATCAAATACTTCGGGCTTTTATCTCTTAGTCATAAAATCCCTTTAGTTCAAAGACACTTTTCAAAATCAGTAAGTTATCTACATCATACATTTCGTTTGAAACTTAAGAGTGACGACGAGCTGGCAAAAATGCTTGCTGATATTATTTTGACTAAAAATAATATAGAACCAGCAAAGCAAGATTTTGATAAACTAGAATATAACTTGAATTCAAAGGCCAGGTCAGATATTTGCAATGTAATTCCAGGGTCACTGTTGAAAGCTTATGACGAAATGCTTGAGCAGACAAACCTAACTTATGAATTATATGACAATTTTGTTCTTGTTATTCTTTCTAATTCGACATCATCAAATGTTTTAAAAATACTAGACGCATTGGTAGTATATTACGCCGTTTTTATTTCAATTTTAGGCGAAAAAGATATTACAGTCGGGGAAATGTTGCAGTACGGCAGACAACTGTTTGTAAAGATTAATTTATTTAATTACAAAAATATCTTCGAAATAATCTGCGACGAAATGTTTGTAGCGGGATGCATTATTAATATTGATCAGACTAATATACTTGATAACGCTTTACGACGTTTAGAACAAGACAACAACAAACAATTGTTTTTTGATTTAATAGAGAAATTCGCAAGTACCACAGCAAAACCAATTTTAAACAGATTGTAGAATTTACAGCCCTTATAGCTTACTTTAGAGTTATGCGATTTAGTTATTTAAGTCCATACTTGTTGCATCACAGAGCCTAAGGGCGAAGCGGTATTAATCTATTATGAAAAATAATTTTTATTAAATTTGAGGTAAATTATTCACGAAGCCTTATTAAATGCATTTTACCTAAACAAGTACTCTCGTCTTGTTTCATTGCCAATTTTGAAGTTAGTAAATGACAGAAGGAATTGCAGTTCACACAAATGATTCAAGTCAAAAGCAAAACTCACAAATTGTAAAAAAAGGAAAGCGTAAAACAGGCTGGAGCATCGTAACAAATGAAGATGATCAGGTAAAAAACAATGGAAACTTAAAAGTCAATAAATCAGATAAAATCGAGCACGAACTCATTTTACCTGATCAGGACATTTTGTTAAAAAGAATGGGGTTCACTCAGGCAGACGGAATTTTCAACTTATATGTTTCTGGATTCAGCGCAGAAGTTTATGCGTCAGTTGTGTGTGAGTTTTTGTTGAACTGTTTACTTGCTATAAAGGCCAATGTACTTCCTGGAAGCTGCCTCGACTCATCTGAAATGAATGCAGAAAATAACTGTCTGAAGATAGTCTTCAGATTTGCGCAAGAAGCTACGAATTGCACTGTGCTAGACGGAATTTTTTTTGGCGAATCAGTGTTGCACATAACACGACCCCCCAATTATCCACGAATTTTGTATTCACTTGATCTTGCTCAGCAGGTCACTATACCCGCAATATCAGCAGTAAAAAGAAACATGTTAGTTGGAATTACGCCATCAATATATGTGAATAGTGAAAGTTTGGGACGAGCCTACAACGACACGATCAGCCGTATAGAGTGTTCTAACGCGGCGTTCATCAGAACTGTGGCTTGCATCAACAACGGTAGATGCCCTGTCTCTTTACTTGTGAATTTACCAGCCGGCCCAGCGTGGAATCAGTTTGACATGTACGAATTACTAACTTGTTTTGGCGCTTTAGACTTCGCGATATTTATAGAAGTTCCCAAAAACTTGAACTTATATTTGAGTAGTGAAATTCATAAGTTGAATGCTGATGAAGGCGAATTCGAGGTTTTAAATAAAGCTGTACAAATCGATTTTGAAAAGCCTGAGGAAGCAATTTGTTTGTTCAAGTATAATTCCACGGTTTCCCTGGAAAATTTATCGAAAAACATAAATTTTCTAGATTTTAACGACAAAAAAGCTGTCTTACTGTACTATCCTGAAGATTATTTTGCAAAATACCCCCGCTTGGTTTACTTACTTAATAAACACTTAGAGTCCAACTTAAATATTAAGTTCAAAAAACAAGAGATCCCGACCAGGACCATCTATATTAAAGCACTCCTCTCTATCGAAGAAGTTTCAATCCCGTCAAACTACAACGAAATAATCACAGATTTAATTCAGTCCTGTCGTAGCTGTGGAATAGTTTTGAATTTCAGGCTCGTCAACATGAACAACCAAATCGTAGATCCTTCTGAATACGTTCGAAAGTTGGCTCAAAAATACTCAAAACTCAATATGTATGATATTAACACTTTTTCTTACGACTACGAAAGCTATTTTGGTTGGGTTTTTGTCGAGTTCGACTCTGTTGCATCAGCTTGCAATTTTGTGTCTAAATACGACAAGCTTTGTTATGCGGGTAGAGCAGCTGAAATTCATTTCATCGATGAAAACATTTTTCTCGATAACAGTTTTGGCGACGCAAGTTTGTCACCAAACTATTCGAAAGAAGGAAGCAGTTTGTACAACAAAAGATTGTTGGACAGCGTTGGTCCTCGACTCAGAGCTTTCGAAGAACAAAAGAAAAAGTCTCTTCAAGAAGCACGAAGCGCAGCAACACGAGCAGCGAACCTCGCTCTTTCAGCATCCAACTTTATAGACGCGTTACCTGATTCTTCAATGCTAGCTTTGAACCACGAAGCACCAGACTTAGAGGCCGACATCAGCGAGTCTGAATGCGAAATGGAAGAGTAACAATCAAGCCGAAAAAATTTTTTACTCGATGAAGTTGGCTGGTAACAAATTGTATTTATATAAATCATCGTTAGTAAACGATTTAGGCACATCTCGCGCTAAATTGGACTTTGAATGATCGTATTTGTATCTAACGCGTTTGCAACTGGAGAAACGAACCAGTTTGTCCGTTTCACGCTCTTCCCGCAATTGTTTCATTACACAAAGCACGGGATTGCTGATTAGTACTTCGATACTGTCATTAGAAATAATTTTTGATCGAACCTCAGGGAACATAGATTTTCCGTAATTAGTTGGACAGTACTGCCAAATGTCTATGTGTTTATACTTGCCAGTCGCGTCTAACTTAGTTCTTACACCTAAACTTTCGATTGCACGATGAAAATTGCCGAACGAAGTGTATTTTGACAACAGCCTGAAAGGTATCTTTTCGATTTTGTAGTATTCTGCATCGTTACTACGTAGTTCAGAAGCGTCTGTCATCTTCACATTATTTAAAAATTCTCCAAAGACCGAATCAATAGATTTTTCGGGTTCTGCCGCTGCAGGCATACTTCTTACACTGACAATGTCTAAAACTTCTCTGTCGACTTCGTCCTGCGAAGCAATCAAAAATAATTTTCTAGACCGAAACGAGTAATACGCTGTTTCTTGATTTTTCAGAGAAAACTTCAAAATAAATTTATTGGAACTATTGATCAGATCGTCAATTTTTGGTTTTGCACAAAACGCAGGATGCCAAATTTTAATAAGGAAATTGTTGTCAGTAAATTTTTCCAGCGCGTATTCTGAAGAGCGAGAACAATTGTACTCGACACTACTATACTGTTTGTCAGAGTTAACGTAAAAAGTTTTTACCTGCTCGCTGCGAATTTCCGTCAGGTTCGAGTCGTAAGAATAAGAGTTCGCTAGAATATCGTTTGAGTTAGCTTTATGAACTAGAATTTTCAAGCTTTTTCCTGCACACAAAGCTGCCACTTTCGATTTAGACAAAGACTGAATTTCTATGCACGAAAAAAGCTGCTGAGTCGCAAACAATCTAATTAAAAAATCAAGCGCCAATTTCTCTTTCTCGATGAGTTTGGGGTTGGCCTTGACATCGTGCTCACACGCCATTTGAAATGGTCCAAACTTGACGATTTCGTATTTGTTAGACTGTATTTCATCCTTGGTCAAATACAAAACCGAACTAGTGTCGTAATTGATAAGATCCAGCGGGTCTAGTTTTTTGAAAAGCGCGTCGATTTCGCCGTGTCTGGTGTAAAACTCACTCAAAAACTTAAATTCAGCCAATGATGAGCAAAAAAGAACGAATATCCATATCATTATGTTCTTATTTGTGGTAGAACAGATATTTATTTTTAATTCGACAATATTTAGTTTTTAAAATTAATATTTAGTTATTTGTAAGTTGTATAAACAATATTTGAGCTTATAACTAAAATTACTATGCAACAAAATGAGCGGTCCGAGATTGTTCAATTGCTAATAGCAGACTGGAAATCTTCTGTAGAACAGGTTTGTAGTTCGTAGATTTTGAACAAAAGCTCTTTTATGTTTTTGAACGTTTTCTCTTGATCTTTTTTGTTATTGATCATGTGGCCGCCAAATTTAGACATCAGGGCGGGAAGGAAGATACTTCCGTTTATAAAACCGAATATAATGACGAGTAGCGTCATGTGGAAAAAAGTTTTCAAAATGTAATATTCCCGGAAGTAAATGGGCAAAAGCGTGACAGACGTGCTTAGAGCGCCGTGGAAAATGGGGTTGCATATTAGCACTAGTGTTTCGATGGTTCTGTCTTTTGCGGTTATTCCAAGTGTGTGAGAATATGTGTGGATGACGTGTACAGTGTAATCGACGCTGAAACCAATGCTCAGAACGAGCAAAATCATGCTTAAGATGTTCAAATGGATGGAAAGATAAGCCATGAAGCCAAAGACTCCCAAATCAACAGATATGATCATGAATACTATGACAAGGACGTTAAACGTTCCTCGCAACAAGAAACTGCTTACGATTACAATTGAAACAAAAGCCGTAATCATGCTAATGGCCGTGGTCGACCAGATGTTAATGTCTGTTTCGAAATACAGGAAGGTTTCCATAAATGCAAAACATGTGAACAGCGTTCGTTTGAGTGAGACGAGCGGATCTATTCCGGCACGCTTGTATATTTCATTGTAGCGAGGGTGTGGGGCGTCGCCTTTGGCTAGATGGGGAATCAGTTTGGTTGGATCAGATGGTTTTTTGTTTCGTTTATGACTTAAGTTGCTTGAATCTGACGTTTGTAGCCAGCGCTGTTCAGAATTCCCGCTACTCTGAAGCGACTTTATCGAATCCACCAACATATCTTTGACTGTTTCATAACTTGATAAATGTTTTTTGTACTGCAAAGACCTAATATCTGGCATTGTTTTCGTATCTGTTTTTTGATTTAAAATACTCCAGTCTTGAGAATAAGCGTTCATTATTTCTCGTAACTTTATCATGTAGCGGCTCTGTACGTAAGAGTTTAAGAAATTGTAGTGGAACAACATCATCTTAAAAGCTTTCAAAGGTGGAATTACAGTTTTATCAGCAAGAACAATATTGTTGTCATTTTCTTTTTCGTCTGCAAAGTGGAAGTGTTCTCTTAAATGACGGCCAATTATCCCGACTCTGAGCCAAATGTTAAGCTGTGTATAGTAGATGGTTCTTCTTTCTTCAGATGTTTTTCCAGCTAAGATCTTGTGAGCGTTCTCCTGTAAGAAGAGAGTCATTCCGTTCGTTACATCCTGTGTGTCAGCTAAATTACGCAAGCTTCTGTCAAGCTCGAGAGTCGCATGAATTGTGTCTTTTTCCCACATCAAAATTTCACCAAGACTGTTATAGTATTTATCCATGTTTTCAATTGAACTAGTAATTCCGGGTACTGAACTGTCTACAGCTGCTTTGTTACACACGCCATAATCGTTTCTGTTAAAGGTGTCTATCCATCTGGGGTCGACTACATACTCTTCGAAAATATCATCAAATGGCGTCCCTAATTTTCTAGTGTATCTGTTTTCGACCCCACTCAACTCCGCTGTATTAGTAGAAAGATCAGACGATTCACTAGCTTTTAAGTTTTGAGGCTGGTTTTTATCATTAGGAAATTGAGTCTGATATTGGTTTTTCTTTAATAATTTAGGAGCTGTAATAATAACTTCTGTTTGTTGCGGAAACAGCTGAATCTTGCTATGTGATAAATCAAACGCTTCACGTAGGTAACTATCTGGTGGTGTTAAATGTTCCAAATCCAATCCTGCTGATAAATAAAATATTCCCAATACTAACGAGAGCATTAAATACAATCCAAAGATAACTAAAATGAAACTCGTTACTTTTTTACTCTGAAACAATGGGCCTAAATGCCGTAGTATAAACAAATGTGTTTTTCTACCTTTTGTCCCTTCAGGTTCTGCTGAAATATGTAGAGCACCTTCTACTATGACAGATAATTTATTAAGAGATGCATTTGAAAGCTCGGTAAACTCTTTTCTTGTTTCGGATGACGTAGAGTCCAATGTATTTTTAGTTAAAATTCGATCTATAGCGCTTATTGATAAATTTCCGCTATTAATGTTTACAGAATCATAACTAACGGTGGATGAATAACGTCGTATGTTATTTGCAACTTCCATATTGTTGTTTTCAGAATTCATAACAGACCTACCGCTATCCGTATTTTGCGTTTTTCGTCTTTTTTTCTCTGAAAGTATTGAGTTTCGCAATTTAGTTAATGTCCATTGAATAGTTGCAACTTCAAACATTGTTCGAGAGTTCATAAACTTTTTTCTTAAATCGCTAATATCAAAAAGATATCTGCTTTCATTTTCAGAACGATACCCCTCAGGATTATTTGAATCGATAGACATCATACTAGTGTCAATCACAACATCAGGTAATTCATATTCTCGGTTATTTTCATTATCCGGCAATCTTGGTTGATTAGAATTAATACTATATATTGGCACAGGATTACTTCTTGAATGTCGAGCTCTTTCTCTTAACCAAATTTTATAGCTATCTATAGTCAATCTTGAAAATCGCAAACGAGCTAATAAGCGATCTGGCAAAAACCAAATTCGCCCTTGACTTTCAGCTTTTGCTTCAAGGCACAAGATAGGATAGAAAAATATAATATTAAATATAAATCCTCCTAATAATCCAAAAGACGTGATAATACAAAAATTCCTAATTGCCGTGTATGGACCTATAGCTCCCACAACAAATGATACAATACTAGTTAACGTTGTGATAAATAATGCTATGCATGATTCAGCTAAGGCGTTCTGACAGCGTAGTTTTGGATTCTTTGTAAATGTAAAACCTAAAGTGTAAAAATTTAACACAACAAAAGTATTATCCAGCCCGATTGCTAAAACTAAAAACGGCGTAGCGTGCATAGTAGGCGTATGTTTTAATCCAAAAGCATAACATATTCCAGCACCTGCAGCAAATCCTAACAAAGCACTAACAGCACCCATTATACCACAGATCGATTTACTTCGAACATAATTCTTAGTACGATTAACTAAAGCCATATAAAGAAATATCAATATCACGGCTGCTGCATAATCAAAAACTAAACGTTTATCAAAATTTGTTGTTCTAGTAAGTTCATCTTGCCATGATCTTTGAGCATTGACTATAATATTAAAGTTTTTAAACTGATCGTAATCTTTATATTTTTTAGCAACCAAACGTTCTGCATCCTTTTTCTCTTCTTTCTTAGTAAATAGGTTCAAAATGCTATTAACCAAAGTATTTACAATGCCAGCGTCATAATTTGGATTAACACCAGAATTATGTGAGTACGGCTTTATATCTTCATTTATGAATCTAATAAGTTCCCCTTCCCATTCGTAACTATGACGAGCTTTTTCTGGGTGATTAGAAGTTTCAAAAATTATTAAAAAACCAGTTGCACTTGTAACACGCACTATGCCAGATGGCATTTCAATAATTTCAGGTTGAATCATTGCTAAATCAGCTTTCACGATTTTGTTATTGATGACATTAGGGATATAAGGCCATTGTCTGGTACTAATTTGATTACCAAATAGATTTTCTTTGGCATACATATCTAAAGCGCTTCGAACTACACAGTCGGATTGATCCATATCACCAAACTGCATTTGTTGCCGGTAACATATTTCTGAGTAATTGATTTCGGGGTTTGAAGGAATTGTTAAATCATTTGAGATGTAATTTACAAGGGATTTCAGTTTCCCTAATGATTCTTTCGTTAACACATTAGAATTGTCCGAGCTGATTAAAAATAACATATTAATCCTCGGTGGAGCTCCAAAGATAGCTGCTTGCTTTGCAAGATCAGATCTACTCTGACTTATCGGCATGGCATAAAGCACATCTGCACGATTTTCAAACTTTATAGTAAATAAAAAACCTCCAAGCAAAGCAGCCGTTAACAACGAGCTTATAATGTATCGTTTAGGTGAATCGAATATTTTACCTCCAATGAAAAAAAAAAGCTTCCTAAAATTCCGAAGTAAGTTCGCTTTATGGTCTGAAAAACTCATATTCGACAATTGAATGGTTTAGCTTTAAAATATTCTTTGTGCTTTTGTGATCAAGACCGTATAATCTCGCGCATAACTTTTTATTATTTCTTCTATTCAATTAATATATCATCGCTATAAATCCACACACTTCATTTTTTTAGAAGTCCACAATCGTCATAAAAAATAATCAAACATGTCTGTTGTTTCTTTACTTAATGGAATACTCACAAACGATAATGCAGCATCCATTTGTAAGTTCCTAACGAACCTAATTTAATAGCTGAGATCGCTCAATGTAACGTGAATGTGTTAGGAATGTGCTGTTACGTCAAAAACTATTGTCACCCTTTGGCAAACTGCATTAGTACGCCAAACGTAAGTAAAACTAGCTTTTAAATTTTAAGTAGCCAAAAAACATCGTGGACATTCTCTCTACAATGCCTCGTTGCCAATGTACTCCTGGGTACAGAGGAGACGGTAAAGTATCAGGAACAGGATGTATTAATATTGATGAATGTAAAGAAGGGTTGGCAAATTGCTCTGATATTTGTATCGATCTATCACCAGGATATAAGTGTGACTGTAAACCAGGGTATCAATTAGATAAGGACGGGAGAAGCTGTGTTGATATCAATGAATGTCTCAACAATACTTCTCAATGTTCTCACAAATGTGTTAACACAGAAGGAGGCTACCACTGTGCTTGTTTTCCAGGCTATGAACTTCAACCTGATGGAAAAACTTGTTTAGATATTAATGAATGTGAATCAGTCAACTTAAGTGGCTATTCAGTTTGTCAGTTCGATGAGCTTTGCATCAATACAGCAGGTTCATTTTATTGTGGTTGTCCTAAAGGTTTTAAACCCAACGGAAACAAGTGTGAAGATATTGATGAATGCATTGATTTTAATGAAAAACCTTGTCCTAATAGTGCTTATTATGATCAATTCAAATATTTAAAACAATCACAAATTTGTCAAAACGTTTACGGCGGACACCTCTGTATGTGTAACAATGACATGGATTTTCAACTCGACCCCCGCTATCCGTTTCATGAAGAACCCATTGTAGAATTATATGCATTGATTAAAGACATCCCGTTAGATGATCTACAATACCTCATTAAAAATATGACTCTACAAGATCAAAAGATATGGTACAAAAAAACGCAGAGATATCTATCCAATCATCATGACCAAGAGACAGAAAGCCAGCAACATCATTTAGGTTTAGAAAAACTGAAGAAACGAAACCATTTACTGATGTTGCATAATGCAAAACTCAAATGTGAGAAAACTAATCTTTGTAATCCAGATTATGATCGATGTCTTTCTGAAGCGACGTGCCAACCTGAACAAAATATATACAAATGTAAATGTAATGATAAGTTTATTGATTATTACACACAGCCTATTGGATGCGACAAAGGAGCACTAATAGAACCAAGTGAACTTAACTTATCTTTCCGATCTCAGCTTAACAATAAAAAAGAAAACCTACATGACTCTAACAGCATTCCGAAAATAAACAAAAATAGTAGCAAGCTTTCAAATAACCTTTTTATTGTTGGTGAAAATCTATCTTGCTTAGATGATTTTCATTTGTGTCCTTTAAACGCAATGTGTAAAGAAAATTATTTGAATTTGCAATGTTATTGCCCTAAAAACAAAAAACTTTCAACCGAAATAATTCCTCCAATTGAATATAAACGAGTCGTTCTCGGGAAATTGGCCGCTATGAGCGACGATGAAATTTCGTATTATTGTCAGTCACACTCATTGGACGGAATATTGAAAATGCTATATCTATCAAGATACAGATTTTCGGATGATACGAAAAAAAAAGTTGATTGGAAAAGCACTAGCCGTATTGAAGTCCTGCTTGAAAAAAACTCATATCCGAATTGCACTAGAAAAGATATATTTGAAATAATTGAAAGCTCAATTAAAACTATTTATCGCAATGTTTGTAATTGAGCTTTAATTTCTATGATTTTATAAGCACGTTAAGAACGTCCAACAAACTTTTTAATCGATCCAACGAGATCCAATATAATTTCAAAACTTTCATTGCCTTCCGTCATAGAATCATACATTGCTTCAACCATATCTGAATCTCTGCCAATTCCTTGGTATCTGGAAACATCAGGTATTGATAGTTCTTCAATAGATTTTTCTTTTTTATTTTTTGTCACATCCAAACTAGTCTTGAGCTGCGCACGTTCGAATTCAGCGTCAAAGTCAAACTCAGAATCAGAAGCGTTAAAATCTTCGTTTTTTAATACATTTGCAGCTTTATTATAAAAAATTGGTTCTGATATGTCTGAAACTTCCTCATAGTTATTTTGAAGTACGCTAAAATCCGTAAGTTTTAGTAATTTTTCTTCGTCTGAATTTACAAAACATTCATAAAGTTGATTTATATATTCTTTATATAGCTTTGCTTTTTTAGAAGTGTAATCTATTGGTTTTTGTAAATTGAAAAATTTATCAGCAAGGTTATTTCCGCCTAAATCTAAACGAACGGCCTCTTCTTTTTTCAGTGGATCAAGATCTAAAGATCTGATAAAAGAATACGAAACCCCTATGTCTCGATGCTTGCCTGCACACTCTAAACAGAGCAAAATACCGAATGTCACAGAACACCATTTAGGAGACTTAAGACCACAATCAAAACAAACGTTATTACCGGGCTTGTTTGTAATATACTTCACAAACTTTATTAGGTCTGACTCAAGTAATAGTCCTTTTTCGTCTGTTTTTACTTCATTTGTCGAGAAAAAACTCATATTACAATTAATTGGCTTGAAAGGCGATTTTGGCTATAAAAAAAATTTATTTGATTTAATCTTCAATAAGCAATTATTCAAATTGACGATTTTGATTTTCTCAAAACCCGTAATTAGTGCTTTTAGGCAATTTAAACTGCTTTACTTAGTACCATGATTTTTTCAAAATTAAATTTGGAATTATTAAAATCAGATTAACAGCCAAACACCGTTAAAATGAATGAACCTGATAAAATATTCAGTGAAACGTTGTTTGACGACATCAACCAGTATATTAATGAAAGATTAGCCAATGACGAAAGTGAACACATGGATCTTCCCAACCAATCTTTTCCTTTGAATTTAAAATTAGAAATAGCAACTATCATTAATAATACTTACGAAGGTTTTCCGTTCGCTATAAAAATATTAGATAATTTTTGCAAAGATCTGGAATATGTTATTTACAACAATGACTTAATAACATCGTTAAAAAACGAAGGGCACATCGTTGACATTATTTGTGACATGATCAAATATGAATACAACGATGACGCTTTAAACGAATACTTATTGCTAACTTCTTCAACGAAATTGCCTCTTTTTTATTACGATCTATTCACCTCAAACAAGTTTATAGAGACAGCCTACCAATTATATGACACAAACAAACAAAGTAATTTTCTCAATTACTTTATTCATGATTGTGCTAATTACAACCAGTTAGGGTTGGCTGAACGTAATTTACCCGGTTTTACCGACGTATCGCATTATGACATTTATATAAGCACTTATCAAGAACTTTTAGCTAGAGTTTTTTTGAACGAAGATAAACTTTTTCATTTACAAAATTTTGCAAATCATATTTGCACTTCAGAAGTTAATTTTATTTATGGTCAAGCACTTTTAATTTCTTTATATAATCATTCAAACAAGTTTTCATACGTTAAATTTATTATTAATTATTGTTACAAAGAATTGAGGAAGACTCGCAAGCAGCTAGCTACTTCAGTAAAGATAATTGATTCTTTCACGTTAACTTGTTTTGATAATTTGGCTCATAATCTCAAAGTTTTACAAACTAACTATCACTACGAAACGACAGACGAGTATTTTAAACTTCTAGAGAGTTTTTACAAAAAGATTATAGATGTTTTACAAAAATTGTGCGAAAATAAAAAAATTCTAACTTTGAATGAATCAGATTTGTTCAAGCCTGCCGAAAAAATTTACCAAACGACGAATCCGGATTTAAATTTTTCAATACCCAAGTATTTAATCAAAATTGAAAACGATTTAAAGAATAAACCAGCCGATATATTTAGCTCATCATCAAATTCAAATGGCTATGAATATTTTTCTAACGGTTCAATAACAGACGATGAAAAGCATGATATTTTGAAAGAGGATTGTATTGAATGGTCAAGTGGAAATAAGAAAGACAACATTGGTGTGTTATGGGATTATCCGAGTGTGAGCCAAATGGATTTTCAAGACCATCTCAAGCAAGAAGATTATTTTTCGGATGAATATAAGAAATATCTTAAATGTCTGAGCTCTCCTGTGGACGACATTCGAAGCACTTCTCTACTTAGTGAGTTATTCACAATTTATTTGAACATATGTAACACATCTAATGATGAAAAACCAAATATCAATGACATTCTAGTAATGTTGAAAACTATTATACTTCTCGCCATTAGTAATGAATACGAACTAATATATGAGCATATCAAACAACACCATCAAGAATCAAGTCAATACCTAAACGGGTTTGCAAACGAAACTTTTGACGACTTAAACAACAAAGAAGATCAGTTTACTTATGAACTAAGCGAACTCGAAGAATTAGTCACCAAAGATAGTAGAAAATCAGAAACAGAGGTTTCTCAGATTTCTATTTCAAATCTAAACAAACTTAATTCGTCACATGAAGAGTAAGTTTAACGCTAAATACCCATATTAGACTAAAAATAAAATGCTACCAAGAAATTAAAGAAAATTCGAACTATTTAAACATGGTATCGAAAAAATTAAAAACTGTTGATGCAAAAAAAAGATCTAAGCACAGGCAGCAAACATTATCGAATTCTAATTCGAATCTCGTTGTTAATTTTGCCTTGATGGTACAAAATTTACGTCTCAAGCCGCACTCGTTAAAACACTTTGTTAAACTTGAGCTTTTGACGGAAATGTTTAATAATATGACCTTATGCATGAAAAACTATACGCAAACAATGATAAACGAATTATTGTTCTTTTCAAATAATTATAATAAGATACTGAATGATGCAGAAAAGTTTGATGAAACTACAGTGGCACACATACTATCTAATTGTCATTCTTCTTATAGTGGATTTGTAATAACAAAACTTGTTTTTGCAATTTTATCTACCCTGATTGCATCTAACACAAATTACCGTTCTAAATTCTCGTTAATAAAGAAAACATTACTATTTATCGGTATCAATTTTCCAGAAACTAGGTGTGAAATCATTGATTCAATTCAGTGTTTTATCCAGTCTATTCCAAGATACAGAAATATCATGAAGACAAACGTTTCACAAATCGAAATAGAACTTGTTTCAGTTTTATTGGCTTTTTTGAGTTTAAACACCACTGAGATCCAGTTACACGGAGACAAAATATTTCCTACACTATCGGCCAAAGCTTATTATCAAGAACATGACTTCGTTGTCATTTCAAGATTATCTTTAGCTTTAGTCCACTTAGTGACATTTTTTAGTACTAAGTGTTTTTTGTATATTACAGAACATTTAATAAAATTAAGTCATTCCTACTTAGAAGAACAATTGGTTTCTATTTTAAGTACGTTTATACTTAAGGTCAAAGAATATATTGCTTTACTCGAGCCAGATAATGCAAGCGAAGAACTAAGTAAAAATCTAAAAATCATATCTCTCAACTTAAACGAACAGAAAGATATAAAAAATAAGCTAAATTACATGCTAGAGATGCAAATGTACGATCCGGTATGTGCTAAACATATTCACTAGTGCAATAAGTTGATTTAATACTTATTCAATGCAGAAATTAATACTTTATGCGTATTTCATTTTTTTTGATAATTCATTCTCAAGCTGTTTGATTTTATTGATGAAATAGTCGATTTGAATTTGATCTTTGATTCGTTGATTTTCGAATTTTTCAATGTACTGTTCCTTATCAATGCTATCTAGTTCGAAATACGAAATGTTTTGCAGCTTGATTTTGAGTTTTTCCATGACGTCTGTGAACTTGCAACTGATGTATCGAGGACTGGACTCCAGCAGTTTATCAAAAAAAACCGACAAATACTTGAAATAACGACGAATTTCTGGTTTCCACAATCTGCTGATTTCTTTTTCCTTAAAAAGTTGTTCGTTCAACATGTTGATTTGCAACTGAGACGCATTAAGCATTTTCATTAACACGAAACGCTGGTTTTCCAAAGTTAGCGCAGAATCAAGGGTAACCTCATTTTTTAATTTACTCTGAGCTTTGAAAGGATCAGTATCGACAACCATCTCGTATTTCAAAAGCTCGTTTTGGCTGTCCAGTAACCGTTGATACATCTCATCACGCTGTTTTATCAAGATATTTATTCTTTCTTCTAAGAATTTGTATTTACACCCTTGCAAATTTGACTCTATCGCTTCCAAAATGTAAGACAGAGCTTGCGAACACTGGCAGTCTGAAACAAACAAATTTTTTACAGTTTGCTGATCAAACAAATGTTCTACAGCTAGTTTTCCGGTTACATTTGCATTGTTTGCAGTTAAATAGATTCTCATTCTTGCGTTTTCCCGTAGTAATAATTTATATTTTTTTTCCAACAAAATGTACTCGTTTGAATTTTTTATACTCATGCTCTGTTTTATGTCTTGGTTTGAATATCGTACATCCGAAACAACGTCACGTTCCAAAAAAAGTGAGTTGTTGTTAGTTGAGTTTTTTATTTTCAATTGGTTGATTTCAGACTTCAGTTCGTTAATGATAGCTTGAATACCGCGATGCTTTAAAATCAAATTGCAGGTTTTTTCAATATCCCAATCTTCGTCTAAATCTGAGTCGTAGTCTTGTTTAATCACATTATTTACTGAAACACTTGATGTAATCACTTCTTCTACATCAGAACAATCATCTCTAACGGAACTCTGAGAAAATCCGTAGTAATTCGTATTTTTTAACTCATGAGAAAATGAATTTAATTCAGACTCTTTGTTTACGGCAAAACTCACAGAATTACTGTTTTTATTAAATACTTTTAATTCACTTAATTCTTTTGCTAAGGCTGGACTTCTTTCTCTCTTACCTGGACAAATACCTATAATAAAATGTTATTTACTAACATACTTTCAATATTCGAATCAAAACCAACGTGCATTACTTTTATACAATATACACAGGCTTAGTAAACTTTTCATTTTAGGGTGCATGATCATTTAATGTTTTTTTTGTTATTCGTCATTTTGTTTTTTATATTTAATTTAACTATCTTTAATATTTACGCGTAATAAATAACCGAATATAGATCCCAAAACAGTTTATGTTTTATTAAGCATATCAGCTACTGATAACAATGTAACATAATGAACCATAGTTTTAAATAGTTATGTCACCGTACTTATTGTCAAATATTCGTTAAATCAAAAAAAAAACCATAAAAACGCGCTAATTGACCAATTGTATACAAACGTATGTATTGATATTATCATATAATAAGGATTAAACGTAGTTAACTACTTATCAATTTATACAACTTATACACTATCTATTCAAAAAAATATTGTTTTATCTAATTTAATGCTCTAATCAATTATATTGTTATTTAGCCTCTATTAACATCAAACACACTAACATCTCAGGATTTTACAGTAATACAGTAGTAATACATAATTTTTAAAAAATATAAAAAGTCGACAACACCTTGGGATTCCCGAGCGGTCCCCCAGCTCAGTACTAACCAGGCCTTAAGTTGCTTGCGTTCAGAGTTCTGATGGGATCTGCGACTTTCAACTTAGTATGGTCGTCAACGACAACATAAGTTTTATTTTTTTAATGATCTGCATTTAACCAGTCTGTTAATAACTACGAATAAAATTTCTTTTATTGTAAATGTTCAAAAAAAAATATTATTGTGGGAATCAAAAAGAACTAAAATATGAATTTTGTTGAGAAATTAATAAACAATGTTCTAGTATCTTTAAACTATTGAAACAAACAGTATGCAGAATATTAGGTTTTTTTAACGGCCTTAGTGTAATAGTATTCAATCTTTAATGTGCTTGCGATAAGAACTCTGACAACATATATAATTTTAAATTTGTAAGAGCACCACCGGTGGCTTTAATTTATTTGTTTTGCCAAGCTTATATATTTTAAGTCAGTTTGTTTTTTTTTATATTAAATCAATACATTGGTCAAGAAAAACTATTTTTCATAATCTTAAGTAACTACTTATTTCGATTTTCTATAAATTCAAAAATCAAATTAAATGGTAACTTTATTTGCTTCCTTATTAGTATATCAGCAGCGTGTAACAACTTATATAATACATTATAATATGTTAATTACGTTCATTAAAGCAAAAAAATTGTATTCGCCAAATTAAAATTTATTTTGTGATAAGAACAAAGACTTTCTATGTCTAATTAAAAAAATACTTTCTCTCTGTTATATCATTATTTATTTACCAATCATAACTTATTTTTATCAATATATTTTGTATATTGTTAATTGGTTTTTTAATTATCTATGAGGTAAAATCAGCAGTAAAGGATCTATTCATCCTTGCTAATTACTCGCCATACAAATAATTGATACTTATTAAATTTATAAAATTTACGATTTTAAGGATTATCAGAGCTAAACGTTATATATGTGACATGAGTGAGAATGTTCATATAGAAATCGTGTTTTGATTAATAGGGCAAGTATTTTAAGTAAAAAAAATTTAAAATAAACTTGTTTGTTTTTAGCCTCGAAATAGTTACAAAAACATCTAAATTTATTCATTAGCTTAATAATTTAAATGAATACTGAAACTATTATACTAAATTAGAAAATAATAGTTAAAAGTTATAATCTATGACTATAATAACACGTTCTAAGTTCATATTTTGTTAAGATTTGGATCATAAGCAGGTGTTAATGTTACAACACCAGTTTTTACGTCGTAAACAAACATTCAATAAACATATTTAATTTAATAAAACAAAGTTCACGACACGATGAGAATACGGTTAATAGACATGTACTAGTTATTTAAAATCAATTTTGGTTATGCCAAACTATAATTTAATTAAAGAATGAAACTATCTTTCAACTAAAAAAAATACATATCCGAAATTCTAGCTTGCTGTGTCACTATATTTTATAAAAATAAAAAAGTTCAAAAACAATTATCGAATACGAATAATTGAATGTAAAATCTGCAAAAGAAATCAACAAGAGCGACAGATCAAATGAGATATTTCCAAACAAAATTACTCATTTGTCGATAAAGATTTATTATAAAGATAAGAGACTTCTTCTATGCTGAGTTGTTTAAACGAATTAATACCATCAAGTATAACGACTTCGAAGTTTTCAGCAGATGCATCTACGTTACTTTCCGAAAAAGTACAGAGTATTGCTTTAAGAGAATGAATCAGTAGTTCATCGTCAGACATGTTTTTAAGATGAGGTTGTATTTTTTCTAAGTAAGTTCTTGCACTTTGATTGTTTCTACCTATTGAGTAAGCTTCATACAGCTGGTAGTCCCCGTCAGGCATAGTTTCGATCAAATGAGGGCCTTCAGCGTCGTAAACTCCAATAAGCGAAACAAAACCAAAAGGACGTCGACTTTCGACAATGATATTTTCATGTGCCAACTTGTGAAAAACGTCACAATAAAAAGTGTACGGAGGATATTCGTTGTGTAAGTAATGCCAGCGTTTGCACTCCTCTCTTATTTTTTTTAAAACGTAATCAGCGTCACTGATAATCCCGCTAAACGATGCAACGCTGTTATCGACAATTCTTAATATTTTAGAATTCATATCAGCTAATTTGCTAACGTTTCTACGGGCTGAAACGATAACAACTGAGTTTGCTGAACAGACACCAACGCAACACGTTCCCTGCTTGCTGGCTTCAAAAGCATATTCAATTTGATAAATCTTTCCTTGAGGAGACCATGTGTTGACACTAGAATCGTAATTGCTTCTACTCATTTCAGCAAAATTTACATTTATTTATTTTGTCCGATCTTAAAAAAAATAGCTGACTTTACTTCTTTATTTCATGGGGACATATTAAAAAATTAATTAATTAAAAATTCTAGAACCAAAATAATTATATGTTTTTATACTATTCAAAAACGAAATGACCCAATGAGTCAGAAGTGTGATTTTAATGCATTTAGTTGCGATTTAAAAGAGAGAACATTATTTTTTGATCAATATAACTCAGTTGTTTCTGTGGTAGTACACTCTGTAAGCGATGCTAATATAAAGAATAAACTGCTCGACTCAGCATTAATTAATGTCAAATTTTCAGCTCAAGTTAATGTGATAACGACAAACACGACGACAGCCTTTAAGAATCAGTATTATTCTAGTTTGATAACGAACACACTTTATCAAATTTTAAACGACAAAAAATTAGAGACAAAAGCTATTTCAATTTCAGTTAATGTGCTGGCAAAAAGCGATCTGTTTTTGGTAGCATGCTTTAACGCGGTAATGATTGCGCTCTTACATGCAGGAATACCACTAATTTGTTATTATATTGCTTTTCCTTTGTTAGTTGATTCATGTCCATACATCATTGTCAAAAACAATATTCAGCAAAAAAAAATCTTATTTATGCATCCAATTTTCATCGACTCTGAACATTATCAAAATCAACTTTCCAAATATTCGCTAGATGATGTATTTGTTGACCCTCAAAAATTGTTTGATCAGCATAACAAAAATTTCCGTTCATATTTTGCATCAATGGCGAATAAAATATATAATCGAGTATTGCTACAAAATTTTTAGTAATTTTTTTTTTGAAATAATTTTAATTTAAAACACTATTATTCCAAAACTGTTCTGCTAAAAATATCCCGGCTTAGCAGTACTATCCTTTCACTACAAGTTCAAGTTTTTTTTTGTATTGGTTTATAAATCAATAATTAAACGCTTGTGCTTATTTTAAACGCTCATTTGCGGAATCATGAATTCATTTAGAGGCGGTAAGTAAAGACAATTTCCGTATTTTTCTGCAGAAAAACGTAGCTTTCGAGGAAACTCTCGAGGAGACTCCCGCGGAAACTCTCGAGGCGACTCTCGAGGCGACTCAAGTCGAAACTCATTCAACGGCAGAGGAGACTCCGCTAGAGGAGGTTCTCGAAACTCAAATAACCAAAGAGGAGGCCCTGTCAAAGGTCGAGGTGGTCCACGCAACAACGGTCCACCAAACCGCAGAGGCGGTCTTCGCGAAGGAGCCAAAACAATAGTAATTCCTTTTGAAGTAGGAAATCGATGCTTTGAAGGTGTCTACATCGCTAAAGGAAAGGCTGACGCTTTGGTTACAAAAAACCTTGTTCCTGGAGATAATGTATACGGGGAGAAGCGAATTGAAACTGTCTCAGAAGACGGAGAGAAAACTGAATACCGTATTTGGAATATTTTTAGAAGTAAACTTGGAGCCGCAATAACCAACGGTATTTCAACGATGCCGATTAAACCTGGTTCAAAAGTTCTTTACCTTGGAGCTGCCAACGGTACTACTGTCTCTCACGTATCCGATATAGTAGGACCTGAGGGATGCGTCTACGCTGTTGAGTTCAGCCACCGGTCTGGAAGAGATTTAACAAACTTGGCTAAGAAACGATCCAACATCATTCCCATCATTGAAGATGCTCGTATGCCGTGGAAATACAGGATGATAATAACAATGGTTGATGTTATTTTCAGTGACGTAGCTCAGCCCGACCAGTCCAGAATTGTCGCGCTCAACGCTTCCTACTTCTTGAAAACACAAGGGTACTACCTAATTTCCATTAAAGCGTCTTGTGTAGACTCGACTATTTCTCCGGAACAAGTCTACGCTTCCGAAATCGATACCTTAAAGAAACAAAAGTGTAAAACACTTGAACAACTTAGTTTAGAACCTTATCATCGCGATCACTCTATAATTTTAGGTAGATATAGAATGCCATCTAAGAGCAAAAATGCATAAGCGAATGATCTCTTTTTTATTTATATTAATAAATCTATGCGCCAACCATATTCAAGTTTAGCATATGACTTACTTAAGCATATCACAGTAAATCTGCACTTTAACTTGTACCTTGTTTACTGAAATTTATAAAAAATTTATCAGAAAGAAAAATACAATATAAACATAAGCAAACTAGGTTTAAAATTTATAGATTTATTGACAACTTGAATAAAATATAATATGCTTATTCTGAACCTTCTACACAGACGATGTTGTTATCAGCAAAGAGCTGGTGTAGACTAGCGTCTGAATCTCCTGATTTGTGGATGTTATCAGCAATGATAAAACTATGTACACCTTGAACGGCAACACCGTTTTCATCAACTTTGGCAACGTTAATTTGAGCTACACCGCGACTGTTTGATCCAATGATTCGATTGGAAACTGAACTAAAAAAATATCAACTGCCAAACCCTTTTCCTTGAGGAAAAATCACACACTCTTCCCAACAAAAAAATTCAAACATACCATTTTCTTGGAATATAAAGGTCAACAAACTCTCCAGACTCACTTCTCATAATGAATACTTTATTAGCTATACGTGCCTAATTATCAAATATTATCAAATGTTTTGTCCTTCGTTAATAAAAGATTTTTACCTGATAAAAAATAACAAAAGATTATTTTTGAAATGCCAATTTTTTCATAATCGTTATTGAGCCGTTTCGAGGTTTATTCAAATAATAATTTGCCCATGGCCCCCCTGCCGACGCAAAGTAGTCCATTTGATAAAATTCAATACATAATTTTTTTTTATTTTTTATAGAATCTGCCCATTGGTAAAACTCGAACGTTGAAATAAAAGGAATGTGACAAGATTCCGCGCCCCAGTCAATGCTCATGCGTGGGCAACCTACATTCACTATCAAGTCTGCAGTAAATTCGTTTAGATAAGGAACCTGAAATTCGCTCATCAAAACAATGTGATATCGCAGGTTCAACGTTTTCGCAACCTCCACGCAACGCTCTACAAGCCCGACTGATCCTTGTCGGCCCAGCGTACTCATTAATATAATTACTCTCGGATTAATGCGTACCGAGCGTAAAACTCTGTTTCGTGTAAGATACAAAGCTTGATGGTCATATTTTTCCAAGAACATCCGTCTTGTAAACGGATCAAATCTATAATAAACAACATGTGGGTTTTGAATCATGGAGCTTTCAATATGGAAACGGCCATCTGCCAAAAAAACACATAAGTTACCATTTAGTTTTGCGGATGTACATCCTAAAGTTTCTCCGGGACTTAATGGGGAACAGATTGGAATAGAAATTCTGTCGCCGTAGCCGTCTTCTACTAATTTTCTGTAAGCAAAATGAACAACATCGATATATTGTACGGTTGCATTTAAATGTAACTTAGTTAAGGTCGCTTCCTTTGAGTGACCGCCACTAGCGTCGGGCAAAACCATGAATATAATATTTTTAATGGCTTTTACAAAATCTTCAGGGTCAATTTTAATTTTCACAAATATGTATAAGCAGGGCACGTCCATATCGCTTACTTTAACCAAACATGAATGTGCGTAGTGAACCAAAAAGTCACAATCAAAGTAAGCAGCCCTTATATCGTCGATGCAGCAAGCTCCATACACAACGTCACCAACCACGAAAACATCAATTTCGCCATCAGCAAATTCTTCAATCAAGAACGCAATCGTATCTGCCCAAGCTAATAAACCTTCAGGAAACTGTAAACAAACAGATTTGGCTTTTACCTGACTCAAACGAGTCAGAGTTTTTATAATTTCAAAGTCATAGTTTTGAGGCAGTGCTTTATTAATCGACTCAATAAGTAACTGATACTTTCTATCGCTCAGCCAAGGTAACATAATTATGTTAAACTATAGTTATCATCACTGAGAACGTACGAAAATTTGACTATTCTTTCGCTTGGTAAGATTACTAATTATATTTATTTATATAGACCCGCTGTTTACAAAATATCTCTATTTATTAAATTATTAATTTTTTTTCTTGTCCAAGTGTTAATTGGTTTTGGAACAAACCGGCCTTAGGTAACGTAGAATACTTAATTCTAACGGTATATTCGTTTTTCAAACTCAAAGGTTTGGGAATTTCTAACAAGTATTTACATTTAGACGATTTATTGAAAGATATTATATCGTCATCTTTGAAAATCTTGTCATCCACTATCACTTCATGTCTGCGTCCGAATTTGTCAATAGACGATATATTCAGATATAAAAATATAACATTACTGTTCCAATGTTTTTGAACGTCATTTTTATATTCGTATTTTGCTGTTAATTCTGCGACTTCTCCAATGTTCATTATGTGTCCATATCGATTAACTTCTATATTGTCAACCATGGCATAAGCTTTTTCAGCTTTTCGATCGTAAAGATAACCACTAAATGTTGCATATAGCATACATGTAAGAATGGATATAGAATAACTAAAACATAATTCAATAAAACACTTACAACGAAAGTATGACTAAAAATCTCGAATAAATGTTATACATCGCTATTTTTACAAATATAATTATCTACCAGCGCTTATAAATGAATTCGAGATCTAATTAATTTACGAGAATAAAAAATTCAAAATACAATTAATTTAAAAATTTTCCACCCATCGAGTAGCGTTAGTGCTAATCTTTATTGTTTCTTCGTTGAATTTAACTCGTTCATTTTGCAAATTTGTTAGCAGGCTGTTTGCCGTATACGGCGCTGTTGACTCTTGATTAATTAAAGCTTCCCAATTGAAATCAGTGAAAAATGCGTGGTTCTTTATTTCTGTAAAACCTGCAATCCCGCAGCCCAGCCGATTTATCGGATTCTTTTGCAATAATTTATCTATAAAGTTTTTTGTTTCTTTATCTGTATAATTTTCTGGAAACGTCAAGTTATTCATCAGGATTGATCTGCAAATTTCTAGCGGATTTATCGAGTCGTTACCAAAAGGAAGTGGGCCAAACAAAAATTCGTACAACATCACCCCTAAGGACCAAATGTCACAACTGCCGGAATATGATCGAGCAAGCAACACTTCAGGAGCCATGTAATTTGGTGTACCCACAATACTGTTGGTCCGAAAATCTACTTCTTTCGCACACCCAAAGTCACTCAACTTTAAGTATCCATTTATGGATACAAGTATATTCTCCGGTTTTAAATCTCTAAACAACATTTTTTTGTCGTGTAGATATTCCAATGCCAGCAAAATATTGGCGAAATAAAACTTTGCTTTTTCTTTATCTAAAATTTGAAGGTGTTGCAAAACGCCAAACAAATCTCCCAGTTTGCAGTACTCTAAAAGAAAATAGTAATAACGATCATCCAAAAATGAGTTTGCTAAATAAACAATAAATGGGTGTTTATTCGATTTTATCATCTTTTTTTCGCGATCAAGTAATTGTTCATGTTTTTTTTGCTTAATCAACATTTTTGAAACGCATTTCAAAGCGTACTCTTTCTTGGTCCTACGATGACGAACTTTTCTAACAATTCCTAAACTGCCTTTTCCAAGCTCATCAATATACTCAAAATGGTCTAAATTATCGTCTTCATTTTGCGCTTCAAGCACATCGACCAAATAATTAAGAACCGTGGAACTGAGCACGGAAAAACACAGTTCTTTTTCTAACTTCCACAGCTGAACATTTTCAGAACGACATACCGCTGTTAAACTATGAGACTGGTTGAGCAACATCGCTTTTTCACCGAAATAAGCATAATTTGTCAGTGTTCGAATAACACTTTCATTTTTTCGCAATTCAACTATTCCATTCATAATAATATATAAAGAATTAGTAACAGTGCCCTCTTCAAAAATGACTTGATCTTTACTTAGCTTTTGGTAAATAAGGTTTTGAGCAATACGATGTTTGGTGTTTTCACTAAGATATTTAAATAAAATAATAGAATCGACTATATCAACGCGGAGATCAACACAAAATACCTCATCAGCAAAAATCTTATTAAATTCTGCATCCTGTTTAATTTTTAATATCGCAATTTTAGAATTATGCGAACAAGTGAGCTCATACTTAACGTTAGATTCTCGTAGTAACACGACTTTTCCGATCTCTAAACTTTCTTCTTTTTCATCAAATGAGTTTTTATATTTACAAGTTCCTGCTATCAAAATAAGAATTAAAGTTTCTTCATCAAGCTCGTAAACCACTACTGATTCATTTTCATTTTTCAAAACAGAAAATGTCGATATAAATTTGTTTATTTGGCTAGGAGTGGAATACTTGAAAAAATTATTAGTAGACAGACATTGTTTTAAAAAATCTATGTCTCTGATACGTTCACGTAATGATAAAAAAGCGCTTACTGTTTCTTTGGAAAGCCATAAGCTTTCAGTTAGCTCAGTTGCTCTAATTTTTTTTTTAGCGGTGTTTTGTTTCAATTCATCTAAGTTCAAAACCTCGTGTACCAATTCTAATTTATCATTTTCGCGCTCGACACAAAAACAACCTTTTAACAATATTAATATCCCCGTCATTTTATCAAACTTTGTGGAAATAGCTTCGTCTTTTTCAAATAAAAAAAACTCTGAATTCGCCAGTATATTTTCTATATCATCTTTTTGAACAACACCTACGTCTGTGGTTTGTAGCACTTTGCGGCAAATTGTTTCTCTGAATTTGCTATTCACATTCGAAATTGCTTTTCGGTACGAATCTTTATCAATTGCCCATAATATCGTATCTTCAACAGCTTTGAAAAAGGTATCTTTGCTGTAACTACAAATTAGACTGCTTTCTCCAAAACACGACCCTGGCTTGTACATTTCATTTATCCAACCAAAAGAATCTTCGCTGACACATCCTTTTAAAATAACACAAAACATAGTATTTAATACACCAACGTCAATAACCATTTGATTAATCTTGTAATTATAAACATTTCCTGAACTGATAATTTCATTCATTTCATACGTGTTCAAAGTCGTAGAAATGGCAATTTTTTTCAATACATCACATAATAAACTAAAATCTTGATTAGTTAAATTATACTCAATTGCATAGTTTTTGAAAATTTGTAAGTTTGTAGTTTCTTGTAAAATTTCATTATGAGACCCACCAATGGTAATGGTTTTTTTTCTAGTCATAAAAGAATGCATTTTATGAAGTTAGATTGTTAAAAATCAAAAGTCAAAGATCGATATTGCTCGTCCACATTATGCCTAATTAGTGTTTATGTGTTCCAAACGAATTTTCTTAAAAAGATTTTTGGTGTTCACATTTCATGTTATTCCATAAAAAAGTTGAATTTCTGTTGTTTAGTTCAATCTTTTTGTGTACACAAACTAGATTTGTATCTTTGGCTGACCCAATTATTTTCGAAAAAACTAACAATCTTCGACCGATGATTTTGAATGATATTAAATCTATAAAGAAACCTGTAGATGAAACAGGAATCTCAAGATTCAAAGTCAGAAACATCAATACAAATCCTTCGGAATATTTGATTAATTCAATAGATCTTAGCAGAAATGGCCAGTCTTATATAGTATCAAAAAAAGAAATTTCTTTCGATGATATTAAACCTCAGATTGTTATTCAAAATGATACATTGAAAACTTCTAATTCACAAAATGGTATTGCATTGAATACTAACGATGGTTTGTATCATTTGCACAACCAATATCGAAAATTTCCAGTTTCATCAGGATATAAAAAATTACTCAGTAATATACCTGTAGAAATGGCTAACTTACCTCAAAAACAAACCGATTTTTTAAAAGGGAATGAACTAAATAATTTTTCACAAAACTACTCCAAAACAAACGTTAATAATGAAGAAGAATCACTAACAAAATTTAAAAAAGTTAGTCCACACCAAAGCAAACAACAACAAGAAACACTAAATGATTATAGTCGAATTGACAATAAAATTTTTTCACAATTAACTAACACGGAGATATTAGTATTAGAATTTATAGGTTTAATATTACTAGAACATCGCAATTCATATGATAATGAAAAATTAAGTGATATAGAACATAAAACCAAAGATTTTTTTGACGTATGCAAGCCAAATAATTCTACTGCTAAAGTAGACAGTAGTGAAATAACTAACATTACAGTAATGGATACGCAAAAAACTACATCAAGTACAACTAAGACAATGCCATTCAATAACTTTGCTGATAAAGAATCAAACGATGTCTTTATAGATTTTGAGTTATCATCACAAATACTTAATTCAACAGACTTACAAGGGAATAATGCAAAAACTGAATTTTGATGCGGTTGTCATTTTTTCAAGAATTTTTTTTGTTTAAAATATTAAAAATTCATAAAAGAGGTATTTATCGGTATACAATGATTTTTAACTCAAATGATAATAAAATTGCAGCTAAATGCATCATATACATATGTTTTTATCGTACTGAATTAGTTGTTTATTTTTTGCTAATAATAAATTTTGTGATTAAGAATCAAGGGAAATATCGCTTTTTGGAAATTGTAAATTAACAAAATAAAATAAGAGTCAACTTTAAACAGCTTTTTTCCTTTATTTGATTTAAAGCATACGAACAGAGGTTTTAACGGTTCTAATATTCTTAAATTAGAATGTAAATTGCTTTAATGTCTGCTGTTATCTAAAATATTATAAAAATATGAACAATAAGAATACAATTTCTGAAGATTTATACATCGGGCACATTCCAGCTAAACTTACCCAAGACCAGTTACTTCGGCTTTTACAGTTTTGTGGTACTATTTTAAAGGTAAACAGAACAATAAATCATGTAACTAAAGAATATGCAAAGTTTGCTTTCGTGACCACTAACAACGTTGAAGTAGCGTGGAAAATAATGCAATTAATAAACGGGTTGAAACTGTTTGGAGAAGAATTAAACGTGAAATGTCTTCCAAAAACTCAAACCACAATAGAACTATGGCAAAGAAGTCGTACTTATTATTTGCTTCAGCAAAATCAAAATTGTACTAAAGAAGAAATCGAAAATCAATTTATCGAAGAAGAAAACGGCACATTACAATCAATAAAAGCGTACGTAAAACAACTTGAACAATCAAGCCAAGTTAGTAATAACTCTCGTTTGCAGAATAAGGTAAAAGAGTCCTATTCACCGAATCGAAATAATCAAAATGAAAAAACTAGTACAGTAGAGCAAATTGAAAAAATACTTCCGGCACTGCCATTTGAAAAAAGATTTGAAGTATCACTGCCTAAAGAAATTGTAAACAACGAGAGGAAAAGAAAACAACAACTTCTAAGTAAAATTGAGCATGGAAGATCGGAATGGCAAAAATATATAACCGAGCAACCCTACGAAACTGAAAATAACAGTATCAACAATTCTGAAAATTTAAAAATTAATATAATTCAGCCTAATGTCGATGAGCTGACATCTTTTATTCAAAACTACACTACAAATAAACCTTATCATTTTACGTCAGATTTTATAAGTTATTTAGCCACCACAGGTTCTGACTACTTTAAACAATTTTTTTCATCAAACAGTCGAATCAATGATTCAAAAAACAAAATTTTCAATAAACAATTAATAAAAAAATATGAATCTGCTCGGCGTAATTTTTCTAAAGATCTTGATGTTTTGCTCGACGATGAGAAAAACATCGATAGTTCTAATCTTGAAAACATAATAAATAATTTTAAATGCTTAGAAAGACAATATTTTAAAATACATTTCAATGAGTGGATCAAGAGACGAGCTGTAGAACTCATAGGTCCAGAAAACTCTGAAGAATTAATATCTTTTGTTTACGAATTACTTCCTAAAGAACTCGGCCCACTGGACAGAATATATATTATAAATGAGTTACTGCCAGTACTCGAAGAAGAGACAGAAAGTTTTGTAAATGAATTATTGGAGATATATCATAAATTTACATAATCGTTTCTATGCATGTAGAGAATAAAACTGCAAATTAATTACAAAGTAAGTATTATTATAAGCGAAAATGTTAATTCTTTTATTATGAATCAAAATGTAAGTTTTATTATTTAGATTTTTTTTCATGCAATAAAGAAAATATATGAGCATGTTACGATTAGTAAATTCACAAAAGAAACTATAAACCCTGGCACAATAATAACACTGCTGGTAAAAATTTACTCAAAAAAAGTTTTTTATGGCTATTAAAGATGTAATTGAGCGTTCGTATAAGCAACCAATTTTGAGTAAGTTTAATTCAACGAAGCTGAACTATTATTTTTTTAGATAAAGAAAACCAATATTGTTCCACTGAAGCTTTAAAGTCAGACATCAATAATGAATATACATTTCTTCGATTAATAGGGACAGGTTCGGTCGGACGAATGTATTTAGCCCGGCATAACACAACCGACGAAATAGTTGCTATAAAACAAATGTCAAAATCTACTTTGATAAAACATAAACAAGTGGCTCACTTGATTAACGAAAAACAGGTGTCTCAATATATACGCCATCCGTTCATTACTAGATACCTTGGATCGTACAAGAATTCACGTTTTCTATATCTAATTTTAGAGTTCATACAAGGGGGTGATTTTTACACTCATTTGCGAAATCACAAAAAGTTTTCAGTTGCAGACGCTCAGTTTTACTCTGCTATAGTGGTAACTGTTTTTGTTTATTTGCATAACTTAAAAATAATTTACAGAGATTTAAAACCGGAGAATTTACTACTTTCCACTGACGGTTATATAAAATTTACAGATTTCGGATTTTCTAAGCTAATTGTTGATCGAACATATACTTTGTGCGGTACGCCTGAGTATCTGGCTCCCGAAATTTTGTTGTCAAAAGGTTATAGTTTTGCAGTAGACTGGTGGACTTTGGGAATATTTATTTATGAATTAATGACGGGCGTAACTCCTTTTGCCGCATCTAATGTTATGTCAACGTATCAAAAAATTCTCCAGGGAAAAATTATTTTTCAAGCCGGTTTTGATCACAATGCTAAACAATTAATTAAAAAATTATTGGCTCACGATTTGTCTAAAAGAAACAGTCTCATATCAAATGGTGCTCTGGGAGTTATCAATCATCCTTTTTATAGTACAATAAATTTTCGAGACTTGATAGAAAAGCGAATAACCCCACCTCACGTTCCTAAAGTCAGTTCTCCAGACGACACATCTCATTTTGGGCATTTCGACGCTGTCAATGAAGAATGCTCACCTATCCCTTACGATTCTGATCCTTTTAAGTATTGGTAATAAATAATCAGTAATAAGAAAACGTTAAGCTCATCTTACTGTTTTAATTAATGTATAAGTAGTTTTATATCAATACTATGTTAATTAAATAAACTTAAATTTGTTGTGAATATTTTTCAGCCGCTTTTAAGATAACCAAAGACACTTAAACAATTTTGTCATTAATTTCATGTCATAGTTTTATTTTTTTTAATCAACGTGAAAATGTTAAAATTGTTTTGCATTTTCGTGCAATATTAAATTTGATTTAAACATGCAATAAAAAACACTAATGGCGTTCTACAAAAAAGACAAAAAAACATCAACTTCTTCCAGACCAGACTGTTTTTTAGTACAATCGAGATCTGATTACCAATCGTGTGTACAAAACATTTTATCGAAGCAAAATTGCATTATCAAAACTGTGATTGTTCATCCATCATTAAATTTAAACGATCCAGCTTTGCTCAATGCTAAAGTTGTAGAGGAAAAAGTGAGCGTAAAACGCTTAGATGAACTTTGGCATAACGGAGCTGTTTCGTTTGAGGTCGATATAGATAGCCATCTGTTACCCGAACCACTTCAAAATTTGGGCAACACGCATATTGCAGTATATCCTGATGAACGAATTTCGAATATAGATTACTGTGGTGTTTGTTCGAAGAACGAATCAAATATAATGCTCAACAATTAAATTATTTTTACTAACAAATGAATATTTCTTTAAATCTCCAAACTTTAAATATTTTAATTATCTATAATGATAAATTTTAAATTAAATAATGTATAATTCCACCGATAATCTGGAATCGTTTTTTGATCGATCATTTAACTATAGCCAAAATAATTATCATAAACTAATTGACCATGAAACAATTTCTGCTTTAGAAGATAGCGCGTTAAAATTCAAAGAATTAGAAGAAAGCAATCAAAAAAATTTTCTGTTTATTCAAATTATAAAAGAACTAGTGGATTTTGATAAAAATAGCGATTTAACTGAAGAAGAAACAAACGGACTGTTGAATGTATATTGTTTAGGTAGCACAAGATTAGAGAATGCTTGTAAGAAGTTGGTTGGACTACTCAATAGTATTTATTTTCATCAAAAAAACACTAAGTTGCCGTCACTTAATAAGTCACTTCTAAATAATATTAGTGACTACGTTAAACTAAGTCATGCATATTTAGGCAGAAAAACAAAGTTGTGTTATTTAAATTATAAATATAATAATTTAGAAGATACATTGAAGAGAACAGTCAATAGAATGACTTCTCAAATAGTTGAAGCACAACTAACGGAATTATCGAAGATAAATAATTTTTATAAAATTATTTTTACTTTAAATCATGACAGTCAGAGCTACAAATTATTATTTATTCAACAAATATGTGAAAAAATGACAGCAAATGAAACTTATTTAAAACTTGAAAATGATCTTAATAATTTTTCAAATATCTTGAATAATTTATCGAAAGAAACAAGATTTAATTTATCTAAAAATAACTTATTAAAAATAGATATAGACAAGGACCATTACGATAGTGCCCATATTTGCTTGACTTCTTATATAGATTTTGTAAATTATTATTGTAGTTTTGAAAAAAGTGTTAATAAAAGTGAAATTGAGGAACATATCAAAAATAAAATATTAAATGATTCTAAAACTAAGTTTGAAACTATCAATATCTATCCGAATAATGAAATATCGTTAAATCAATTGATTTCTTTTTTAACTGCATTTTCTGCTATTGATATTGATGACGAAATAGCTGAGTATATTATTACTCCGCTAAAAAAATGTTTAAATAGCTACTTTTTTAACATTAATAAACTAAAAGAGGTTGCCAATAACTATGTTAAAGAAATCGTCAGATTTTCTAACCCAAACTTGTCATTTATTTTACAAGATTTCCTGTCTTGGTATGTTATATTGATCAGTATTTATCACATTTGCACATGGCTAGGTGCACTAAATGATGTTTCTCATTGCATCCAACGAAATATATCAGTTTATTTATATGAGCGAATGAATAAAGTCAATGTCGCATTAATAAAACATATAAAAAGTTTTTCCACGGTTATCAATAGTTTTAAACGAAATGAATTTAGAGATACTCTAAAATTGTTTTTAGCACTACTATGGTTTGTTGATGTTATAATTAGAGTCAATAATACAATAAAGGAAAACTTTCAGTTCGATGAAAAAACATTGGATTTGTTACAAAATCAAAAGTACTTGTTGAGTGATTTATTTGAGATACTTAAAATTAATATTGTTGAGAAAAAAATCGTATTGTTAAATAAATTAATTCAAGATAAAACTCCTAAGCATGAACTAAGTAATGTATTGCGCCATAGCAAACACATGTTTTCAGATAAAATCAGCGATCAATATCAAGATAATGTTTTCAGCAACAATTTAAATAACTCATTAATTTGTGCAAAAAAAAAAATACCGCATAGTCAAATTCCTACTTATGAAAAAGCAAATTGCCAAACGCATAGTACAAATACTTCGCCATCAAGACTAACATCGTTAAATAATTCTAATGATTATAAATTATCCAGTTCAATAAGTAACACATCAGAACTTACAAGCAATGCAGAAGACGACTTATCTAAAAAAGAAACGCCTAATGTTATTCGCTTACAAAAACTTGAAAACGATCAGGCTGAAATCACAAAAAAAATTAATATATATTTAAATACAAATGAACTTGAAACAGTTATAATAGAAAACATTGTGTGTAATTAGTAAAAATACACGTATTGGAATAGGCGTGGAGTGATCTAATATAACATATATTAACGTGCGATATTGAGTACACACGGAGACAAAACGCCACAAAGCGCAATCAAACACATATATAAGATTAATTATGACTAAAATAAAGATAGGTATTAACGGTTTCGGTAGGATTGGACGTATAGTGTTACGAGCATCATTAACATCAAACGATGTAGAAGTCGTCCACATTAATGATCCGTTCATGGACATAGCATACATGGCTTACTGTCTAAAATATGATTCAGTACACGGTAGATTAAACGCTAAAATCGAGCATAAATCTAACGGTCTGTTGATCAACGATAGATTTATTGAAGTTACTGCGTTCTGTTCACCAAGCGAGATCACATGGGGAAAATCTGATGTAAATGTCGTTTGTGAATGTACTGGTGTATTTACCACAACCAAAAAAGCCCAAGAGCATCTTGAAGGAGGAGCAAAAAAGGTTATAATTTCTGCGCCGGCTAAAGATGATACTCCGATGTACGTTTATGGAGTCAACCACAAAGAATACAAGAGCTCTCAAAAGGTTATCTCCAACGCGTCGTGTACAACTAACTGCTTAGCCCCAATTATGCACTACGTCAACAAAGAATACGGTGTAATTGAAGGTTTGATGACTACTGTACACGCAACCACTGCTACTCAACAACCAGTTGATGCCGTCGTAAAAGGTGGAAAGAACTGGAGAGATGGAAGAAGTGCTTTAGCTAATATTATACCAAGCTCCACTGGAGCTGCAAAGGCCGTGGGAAAGGTTATTCCAGAACTAAACGGAAAGTTGACCGGAATTGCCTTCAGAGTACCTGTAGGTGATGTTTCTGTTGTCGACGTTGTTGTCCGAACTAAAAAGAAGATGACTCTCGAAGACTTTGCTAACCTTATGAAAAAGGCTGCCAATGAATACCCTGATGTCATAGACTTTACTTCAGAGGAGGTGGTATCTCAAGATTTTGTTGGCGACACTCACTCAACAATCATCGATATCAAATCTTGCATCCAATTAAATGACAATTTCGTTAAGATTGTATCATGGTATGATAATGAAACAGGTTATTCTAACAGACTTTTGGACATGGCTCGCTACATAGCAATAAATTAAAAATAGTTTAATTTTTTGCAAAATATATTTATATCTTTTTTATTATATTCCCCATTGGCGTAATTGCATATAGAATTGAAAAATTTTTTGTTAATGAGTTTGCATTAAAACAACAGATAAAGTAATGAGTAACGGAGAGATTGATTATTGGAAAGAGCCTGAGTTTGATGAAAGCCAGATTTCGTCATGCTGTTTTGCTCAGTCAGACTTTAAAATTGTTTTTCCAGATTACAGATCAAGCTATCTGAAACAAATTTGGCCGAAAGTAACTGATTTATTAAAAGCGAAACGAATTGATTGTGAGTTAAATTTAATAGAAAGATATATGTTTGTTAAAACTACAGACAAAACTTACGACCCTTACATTATCATCAGAGCTAGAGATTTTATCAAACTTTTGTCGCGTAGCGTCCCTCTGGAAAAAGCAAAGTTGATTTTAAATGATGATATGTACTGTGAAATCGTCAAGTTGAGCAGTTTTGTGTCTAATAAAGAAAAATTAATTAAACGCAGGCAAAGACTAATTGGTCCGGACGGGTCCACGCTAAAAGCAATCGAGATTTTAACAAAGTGCTACGTCTGTCTTTGTGGACAAACTGCTGCTATCATTGGACCTTGGAAAGGGTTGAGAAAATGCTATAAACTTATTGTCGATGCAATGAAAAACTTCCATCCTGTGTACAGGCTAAAAGAGCTTATGATAGAACGTGAGCTAGCTAAAAATCCAGAAATGAAAGACAAGGATTGGTCTTTATATTTGCCAAAATTTAAGAAATCGCTGAAACCTGTGGGCAAGCGAAATTCTCAAAGTTGATTTTTTTTGAACGTTAAGTTAAAAAGCAATTTACATATTATTAACGTGAAACTTTCGAAAAATTTATAATCACATTAAGTTGATATTTTTTCTATTAAAATTATAAAACATTGTTAAAATATTTCAGTCGTAACAGTTCTTTAATGTGCTATAAATCTATCAGATTCTATAAATAACGTTTTTTATTTGAATGATCTTTATGATAATCTATTTTTTTTGTTTATTTCAAATAAAATCTAAGAAACTTTAAGGTATTTTATTGTTTTATTGATATAAACTTATTTTAAAAAATTGAACGCTCGCGTTTATTGAAAATTTCAATTATTTTGTTCGTAAAAACGATATAGTCTACATGACGAAATATGAAAAAGTCTTTATACAATTACTGCGAACACCGAACAGTTGACTTATAGTGTAAATTTTCAACTTTCTGGATGTTAAATTAAATAGAAAATTTAAACTTGCAATCATGTTTAATCATTAGACATAAATAGTGTATATAAAAATAATCAAGCAAAGATTTGAGGTTTAATGGAACATACAATGTAGGCCAGAGTGTTTGAAGAAAAAAATAAACGTTTTATAAAGCGCTATTAAGCAACGTATCTTAAAAGCACACAAGATTATAATGTAAATAAATGTCATGTATTTGGTATCAATTTTTTTTTTGTTAGTCGGACTTTTGTTTGCGTTAATCCAAAATAAAAAGACGATTTTTGAACCTATTGACAAGTTTATGTATGAGAATTTGAAAAATTTATTAGACACTTATGAAAAAAAAATACAACACAACAACTTGTTACAAAAGTTCAAGTTAAAATCAGTGGCAACAAAACTAGGTTTATTTGGGTTTGAGTTACTTTCATTGTCGAAATTTTTATCTTTCCATGATTTTAATTTCTTTCAAGTCAATATCAGACATAAATTGTTTTTTTTGTTTCTTATACTGCAAAAAAATATAGTTTTGGCAACTAAAAATGAATTTCAAGAAATAGAAGATGAATTTTCAAAACTCAAAAGTGAAAATGTTTCATTACTATTTTTTACCGAATCTCAACAAGCGCAAAAACAAGTGTTTTTTACCATGTTGGAAGATACACTGAGTAATTTGAAGGCTTACGATCCGGAGAAGAGTAAATATGATTTAATAGAAGGGGTCGATAAAATACTTGATTTGTATAGTAACGAGTTTACAGTGGAAAAATTAAACAATGACAGCAAATTTTACGACAATGACGATAAGAAGCCTTTCATTTGTCGTTATGTCATTAACGAAGTGTTATGGCGGCTTTACTTATTAGTAGAAAATACTTTTTGCAACGATGCAACGAACAATAAGCATGTTGAAATGATGATAAATGATAAACAGTATGACACTAATCGTATTTTTGTTGATACCAGCATTGCGGTGTGCAATGAGCTTACAAATTACTTAATAAATTTAACATTGAAGTTGCCATCACCTTATGAAAAAGAAAAGCCAATTAACATTTATGGTTTTATCTGCATTCCAAATACGAAAGAGCAGAATTATGTTTCTATTTTACGAACATTACAACGAGGTATATTTGTACATACAAACGGATTTAGATTTTACACATATCACAATCAAGACAAAAAGACTGAAAACAATTTGTCAATTGACGATGAAGATGATAAAAAGGAAGACTCCAGAGAAAAACAACTGCGTTTTTAAATGCTCACGAACCTTACAACAATTAATTACGGGAACAAACATCTTTTATGTTTTCAATAAATTTTAACAAAGGCGAAACATCGTTTAAATACATTAATAACTAAAGTCACTTACGGATGAGTCGTCTTTTAACGCTGCTTTCAAAAGTTTATCTTGAAACTTATTGTTTTGTTTAACTACTTTTTCATTTCGCTTGTTGAGTTTTTTCATGTTTGTGTAATGAGCGATTTTGCTACTACCGTGATGTCTGGATATATAAATGCCAATAAGTGCAAAAACAGTTACTAATATAACAATAAAAATTGTTATTCCAGACGAAATCGGGTTAATTAACCCAAATATTAAACTACTTGTTATACCATAAGGAATGTTTAACACCATACCTATAATGGGTAAAACAAAATTTCCTGCATTTTCGATGAAAGCCCCCGTACTTTTACCCTTTTCTTTATACTTGTCGCTACGACTAGACTCCTGACTTTGTACATATGTCTCAGTCATGTCTGGGGCTGTCATAGACGATAGTGTATGAGTTACAACTGTTAACACATTACATTTTTCTCGTATACCATCATTATCGAGGCCGTAAGTTTTTTTGCGCCATCTACTTATACTAGTTACGCGCATAACTCTTAAAAGTTATTTATTCTATTTATCCTTCGAGTATTTTTATATTTTTCGCTTAAAAAACATGTTTCTCGAAAACATGTAAATTTATTTTTAGTTGGTTAATATTTTTAGTATAATATAACGCGTTCTTTAGTGTTTGTTTAAGTAGTTTAGTGCATAAAAGTTCGATTGCTCGGTTTTTATTAAAAAGTGATTCTATTTTGAAAAATGTTATTTATCTGATGTGGAACTTAATTTAATTTTATCATCCTCGACAATAAAAGCTGGCAAACCTCTGTATGGACAGCTTTCACATCTGAAACTGTCTCCTAACTTACAGTTCCCGCACCCAGTGTTTAAACCTGTGGTGGATATTTTAGAAGTGTTTATTGTGACGGTTTCTTTGTTTTTTCTTCCACATGTACAATTAGCACAAGCTTTGGGTTTACTAGAGCAATCAGACAGAGTTAACTTTGACACTTGCTGAGTTTTTTCACTATTGTTAATTACATAATTTTGTTGTTCAAAAGAATAAACGAGGCGTGAGTTCCAACTAGGCATTCGTGCAACAAAAAAGTACTTCGCCAAGTCGTTTGATACTTTGTTTTTATTTATTTTTTCAATTTTATAAAAACCAGCAAGCAAGGCTTCTTCAGTTAATTCTAGCTCTGCATTTTCTTTTCCAACAAAGTTTATTCTCACTAATGCATTGCTAACGCATTTTTTATTAATTATTCGTAAAATTTTTGACCAATTTATGTAATTGTCTTTGGTAGAAATCCAAATGTCAACTTGCACAAGATAGTTAGAAAATTCATCGAGGTAAATATTGTTCAAAGACATTAACTTGTGTTTTTTCTTGAGTAACGACTCTTTAACATCTGAAAAGTAGTTGCATTGATCTTCAAACAAACAGAGGGTATTACCTTTCAGATTCGTTAAATTTGTCAACATTTTCTAAAATTATAAATTTAACGAATAAATATTTTTAAATTTGAGAAATACAATTCAGATAGTGGAAATTTTTTTTTTATAAATTCAAACTCGTTTAATGTAATTTATTTTAATACTTTAAGTTATGTTATCCCAAATTATAAATAAGTAATATTATTTTTAATTAATAAAAATAACAACTAATTTTGATACGTAATTGCGATAGTGAAATAATATTTATTTACGAAATTATTAATGATAATTTAAATTATAGTGGAAAACGTGTTTTTTAAGTCAAAAACAAATATTACTTTAATATTAAAGCCAAATCTTGTTATCAGTTTCAGTGAAACACGTCACCAAAACTGACGTTTGCTTATGAGAAATACTTGTTCTAAAAATTAATACAATGACTGAAGATTTTTTTTCAAGAGTCTCTTCTTTGGAAACATCTTTTTTTTATCATTTTGCAAAATATTTTGACAATTTAACGAGCCACGTAAAAGTAAGTGACTCTAGAGTGTGTGTAAAAGATGAAGAAGTCATTTCATTGTGTTTACAAAATTACAACAATGGATCCATTGCTGTGTCTAATGAAGAATATAAAATATGTTTGTTAAATCATCTGTTGGGTTGCAATGAGTGCCTTGTCTTTTACTTCGCTCTCGAAATACACCTCGGGATGACTGAATCTTTTAAGGCTATAGTTATAGGTAGTGAGGAGCTACAAACTGATGTGTTATTCAAAAACTACTTGAATGTAGCATATAAAATGATTCAAACTAAGTCTTGGAGCTATTTTGAGTGCCGAGAAACGCACTCAGCTTTGTTTTTACAATTGTCAGTAATAGCCAAAAATACGATATTAGCACTTTTTTTTCTACCAATAATGACATTCTTTTCTTCAAAACAACACCAAATAAAAAATGAAGACGAGAACGTTGTATTAATTGATAAATTGCTGCAGTCCTTGCTATCAGGTGAGCCACATGTTTTTTTTTGGCAACTGTTTTGCTTTGAGTTCAAAAATATTATTTATTTTTTAGAGATGAATGCTTTTAACGTTTTGCTAAAGCTAGAATCTGTTCCAAAACTTGGACGTAGCGAGTTTAATCTTATCGTCACTTTGTTTTTGACGTATATTGAAAATGAAAAAGAGCCTTGGGCTTTATGGTCTAAGTTTTTTTTTCTTTTATCGCACTTCAAGTTCGAGTTTGATGGCAAAAAAGACTCTTTCATTACGTTATTACAGCTTTTACACCTGTTCGAATTATTTTGTAATTGTCTAGATTTTAATAATGCCGTGCAAACTACAACTATCAGTTACTTAGCTGAACAATATTTTAGTTTTTTTACAAAAAGCATTAGAACAATTACTTTTAAAAAGAGTCTGCCTTCCGATTTTTTACTTTCTGATTTTTTTAAATCTCAAAAAAATATCTTTATACAATCCGTACTAAACATAGTGTCGAAACTTTTAGAATTCTTAGCTTTAAAATACGAGAATGGCCTCGCTGTTTCGAGTACGATTTTGTTGTTCGCCTTACTCGATTTGTTATTAGTTTTTCTTCAAAATGATCGATCTGCTTTAATTACGATTTTTTCCACTATAAGTCAATTCAAAGCATGCATTTTTGAGAACTTGAAGAAGATTATAGAAACTCAAAACAACACGAAAGAAACTTGCGTTATGTTGCTTTCTGTTATAGCCAGTTTTTTAAAACGATTAGGACACACATTAATCAGAGATCTAGCTTTGTTACGCATCTATACGACGACTGTTTTGTCGACTGAAGTCTTATGGGTTTGCGCTGATTTGTCTTCTGCACTCGAACGTCTGTTTTTTGTGGAAAGTAAAATAAAAGATAGTCCGAAAATTATCAACTACACGCGATATTTTGAAAGTATTGATTCTCAAAATAAGTTTGTTCACTTTGTGAGCAATTTGATCAAACTGACTGAAGATTTGAATTTTTTCTTTATTGCATTATTACAGTTCATACTTTCAGCTTCAACAAGTGATAAAAAAGTGCACTGCCAGATCTTATACAAGCTTGTACCGGTCTTGATCAATGCTCAAACGCTAGCATTAGAATCCCCAACCAAATATTTTTCAAACAATGATTTATCAAAACCAAGTGACGACACAAAGTCTAATTTTGGCTTTCTATCTAAGACAAAACAAATTCAGAATTTGTTTAAAAGTTTTGATAGCGCGATAAATTTATTTTTTTGTTATATTTTGACTTTTGTTTTTGCAGAAGTTTCGTACGTATTAAAGATTTCGTCTTATGAACGGCTGAAAAAAATAAATGAGAACTTAACTGTCACTTTATCAAACTGGAACTCTGCAAGCTTGCAGATTGAATCATTTAATACTCAAACGAACAGTTCCTTATCATCTTTGCAAACGTTAAACCACCAAAAATTACTTCCACTCATAAGCACAAAAATCATATTCACTGAAACGAACAAACAATTTGTGTCGTTAATTGAGTTTTTATCTAACCACTGCTTGTGTCTATATTTCAATGATAGTTCGCTTTCAATTCTTAAAAGTGCATATATGTTGATTTCTAAACTATTCATTTTAAACGAAAATAACCAAATGATTAAAACTTTGACGTTGTCTCTACACACTCAGCCTGTCAATTTGCTGCTGTCGATAGATTCTCAGATTGACGATAATATAATTGGTCAAGTATTGTCCTTACCGGTTGAAAAGCTCGCGAATATAATCGAAATTTATATTAATGAATACGAAGAATACAAAACAATAGTAAGTAAAGCGTACAGTTTATTCGAAGAGGAACAGCAGTTGAGTTCGGATTGTCATTGTAGGCTTATAAATATTTTTACTTCTGACCTGAATAAACTTACAAAGTTTAACTATTTAAGTCGTTTTTTTTTCAAGCTGCGTGATTTTGCTGGGCATATAATAGGAAGTAAAGACTCCTGCGGTAAAAAAATAGATTTATCAGACAAGCTGTCTTTGACGATAATAAACTTTGTGTTCGACAATTTGGGTTTATATTATATGCCAGCAAAACAAATGAAGTGTTTGAAAGAAACCAGCTTATTAGTAAATATTGTGAACTGCTACACCACGTTGATAGCAAATTTGAGTGCTATTTTTTCACATATTGAAAAAATTTTAACTATGAGCACCAGTTCTTATAAAAAGTCTTGGATAAATATTTGTTCAAAAATTATAAATCAATCTTGCATTGATAAACTTTCAATTTTGTTAAATTCAGCTTACGATACAAACAATGAGTTGCTTGAAATTGCTACTCGTCAAAAAAATGCGTTAACAGACCAAAATAATAAAAATTTGATGCAACAGATCAAAAATTGCGTGACTTGCGTCACGTCAGTGTCTCGATTATTGACTGCTGAACAAAAGACATTCTCGAGACTTGTACTACCACAATGTATGATTACTATGGCAGAAAATTCAAGCAACTTCACTTATAAAGCTGAGATTTGTAAACAATTCGTTAATTTCACAAACAATGAGCAAAAAAATACAAGTAAGTCTCAGGATTTAAATAACATGGAAATTAAAACGCCAATGAAAAGATCACAGCAGAGTCAAATAAAAATTCCAATAAATCAATCGAAACGTGTAAAAACTACTTGGCAAATCAATGAGATTGCCGAGCCTGAACTGGATACCATCGTTGAAACGTCGAATCGAATTTTCACTAATATTCCTGTCTCGCTGGATAATTTAAATAATTTATTAAATTTTAATAGCGAGAGAGTTAGTGAATTAGAGCAATCAATTTTTCCAGAAGTCAGGACGGATTCAATGAAAGATAGACAAGCAATAAAGTCAGGTGTCAAACTGGTAGAAAATATTTTGACATGGCCCCTATTAGAGCTAAATAAAAAAAAGCTAAAGAAACAAGCAAAAAAAAAGAGTTTCGACGATTTGAATGAATATTGTGCTCATTTTCAGCCATTAGTTAAAGAAGAATTGATTTCAGTTATAGAACAGGCTTTGAACGAAGACAATCTGAATCTTTCATATGGATATGTAACTCGTGTAGCAACTATGGAAAACATATCTTCTGTTTCACTCATTAACGTAACAGATATTGCAAATAAAATTCAAGTTCTTAAAAACCAAAAAAATAATGTAATTCAAAGTATATATGAATTCAAACGTGAAAATAAAACCACGGTCGATATACCCAGAGTTCGTTACGGCAGCATTTTAATTTTTTGGCCTGTTCATTGTTTGACAAAAATAGAAAAAATTCTGACGAAAGATATCACTATTAATAAAATTATTAATCAAATATCAGATTATTTTTGGAAAGGTTTTATTCACGATGTTCCGACAAACTACGACGAATCGAAAAAAGATGTTTTCCGAGTTATTATTCCTCGAAACAGTTCCTATGTCGGGTCAACGCAGAAAGAAATTTTGCCTTATTCGCCATTAATCAACGAATTTTATATTTTTATAAATGTCTGTAACATTAACAGCACTTTAAGAGAATTTTTGTCTCCAGTACTTTCAAGTAATTCTATGTCGATAATTAATTACTGTATGAATCCTTCGATTAACCAGATTAATGATCCAATCCAACCAAAACCGGTTTGGACTGCTTCGGCGAAAAAGATTCTCGAAAAACTTAACAAAGATCAAAAACTGGCCGTAAATAATGTGTTAAGTTTAAACAAATATGTATATCTAATCCAGGGGCCGCCTGGAACGGGGAAAACAAAACTAATAGTCTCGCTAATTTGTATTCTTAAAGTAATATTAGATTCAAAAGTCAAAATTTTGGTTACAGCCCCAAGTAATTCTGCTGTTGACATCATTGCTAAACGAGTTATTGAATTTTACAAAGCTGTTCCAGAGTTAGAAGAACTAAATCTTGTTCGAATTGGCGAGGAAAAAAGCACCGAGGACGAAGAAGTTCAGAACATTCACATTGATACTTTGATAAAAAAAAACATGCCTGAGTACGATACGATATTGGAGAAAATCAAATTAATTAAAAAAAAAAAAATAGATTTAATGTGCAAAATAAGCTTATATCACAATAGAGATCAAACAGTTTATAAAAATAAGAATTTCAACATCACAGAAATTAAAAATGAAGTTGCTAACTTAGACGCCACTCTCAAAAAAAACTACTTGGCTCTGAGTAAATTTAAATCCAAGGCTGAATATATCAGACTATTCATTAAGATTACTAAATCTGCTGATATTATTTTCAGTACTTTAAACTCATCAGCACGATTAAACTTTTTGCACTTTGATTTTTGCGTTGTAGATGAATCAACTCAGTCTGTTGAGCCTTCAACGATTATTCCTTTAAAAAATATAATTGGCCACTTGATCCTGGTAGGAGACCACAAACAACTTCCAGCCACAATCATTTGCAATGATTTGATTAAGGCGAACTACCACATTAGTTTGTTTGAAAGACTGGTAGAATGTGGTTTAACACCTAGTATGTTACGATGCCAGTACAGAATGCATCCCAGTATAGTAAAGTTTCCCAACAAAGCTTTCTATGACAACAAACTGATAACCTCAAAACTGGTATTGAATCGACCTAGTTATCCAATGTTTGAGAAATATAAACACTTGTTTTCTAACTGTACATTTTTTAATGTTTCAGGAATTACAAAAAATATTAAGAATAGCTACATAAACGAGTCCGAAGCTCAATTCATTCTAAATTTGACTAAATTTATAGTTGAAAACATAAAAAACGAAGTGTCACAAACATTAGAAAAGCCTATATTCGTTATAACGCCGTACAAAGGTCAATACGCTTTGTTGACTACTTTGCTAAAACCATTCTCAGATTTCATCAAAGTTTCTACAATCGACGCAGCACAAGGTAGCGAAGCTGAAATAGTGATAATTTCAGCCGTTCGTTCTGAAAAGATGGAAATAGACAGCTCTGAGGGTCTAGTCCATGTTGATGATAATAAATCCCTAGGTTTTGTTGCAGATTACAGGAGATTAAATGTAGCTTTAACCAGAGCTCGCCAAGGCTTGTTCGTTGTTGGAAACGCCTTATTATTGCAAAATAATAACATATGGAATAATTTTATTAAAATGTTAAAAGACGACGCGTCGGAAAATAACGTAAGCTATGTTTGTTTAAGCGATTCAAAAAATGCGTCTGTAATAAAAAATCAGGCAGACCACTGTAGTTTTTCAACGTATTTCAACTGTAATAAATAACTAATTAATAAAAAATAGGCTAATAAATGTAATAATTATAATTAGGATTTCTGCATAGGGTTTTAGTCGACTTTTTGCTAATCTTACAATTCAGATGGCTCAGCCCTACAATGATAATTACGAAACGAGAAATATCAATTACAACAGCAATGTGCAGCAAGAGAATTACAATTACTTTGAATCTCATGGTCCACCTTTGATTGCAGGCTTGATGAATCAGGAGATTGAAGAAGACGATGTCTGGACCGTTATCGATTCATTTTTTGATACTTATAGTTTGGCTAGTCAGCAAATCCTATCTTACAATAATTGTATTGATGTAGTGTTACCAGAGATTGTGCGTCAACACCCGAAAATTATCATTTCAAATTCTGACTTGTCTTCAGCTAATGGCGAGTTGTACACTTTGCAATATGTGTTATCCGTGGGTAATCTTCGATTCATACGGCCACAAGTAGAAGAGATGGACGAGGAATATCACACTGAATCACGCTGTATTTCTCCTTATGAGTCTCGACTGAGAAGTATGACGTATTGTTCTTCCATGTACATTACTGTGAAACAGGATGTACAAAAAAAATACTCGGACGGCAGAATCGAAAAGCTCGATAGTCAAGCTTACGATGACGTGTTTATTGGGAAGTTTCCTGTAATGCTTCGATCGAAGTTGTGCTATTTGTCAGGACTTTCGGAAGATGAAAGAGTCTTGGTAAATGAATGCAAGTTTGATCAAGGAGGATATTTCATCATCAATGGCATGGAACGTATTATTATTGCACAAGAACGAATGGCTTCGAATAAAGTTTACAATCATCTGAAGTCTGACCAGGCGAATTATTTCACTGTTGAATTACGCTCACAGCGAGATGATATGCAAGGCGCTAAAACGCTCTCTTTGGGTGTCAGGCCAAATGCTCGAACTACAAAAGGGGCGCAACTTTGTGTAAATTTGCCTAATATCAGAAGCGAGATTCCTGTTTACATTGTGTTCCGCGCTTTGGGTGTTTCCAGTGACAAGGAGATTTGCGATAGAATCATCAAAGACCAAGAAGATTCTAAAATGATGTCGTTAATTAATCGATGTATTTTAGAAGGAAATGAGGAGCTGACACAAATAGTAGCTTTGGATTATATCGGACGAAGAGGGCCAACTGTCGGTTCAACACATCAGATGAGAGTGAAATACGCGATGGACTTGTTGACCAACGACTTTTTACCTCACGTGGGTTATGTTGCCTCAGCTGCCAACCGTAAAAGTTGGTATTTAGGAAACATGATAAATCAGTTATTGGAGTTTGTGCTTGGTAGAATTCCACAAGACGATAGAGATAACTTGTCTAAAAAACGCATAGATATGGTTGAACCTCTTTTAGCTTCGGTATTTGGCCAAACCTTCCGAAAACTCATGAAAGATTTTTCGAAAGCTGCGCAACGATATATAGAAAACAACAGATCGTTCGATTTAACCAGTACTATAAGAACTTTAAGTACCATCACACAACGCTTGCAATACAGTTTGGCAACGGGGAATTGGGGTGTTAACAAGGACGGAAACGTTGTTCACACCGGAGTTAGTCAAGTATTAAATAGGCTAACTTATCTGTCTTCACTTTCACATGCACGTCGTGTAAACACTCCGTTGAGTCGAGATGGAAAGATGGCTAAACCGCGTCAATTACACAATACTCAATGGGGTATGGTATGTCCAGCTGAAACTCCAGAAGGACAAGCCGTAGGTCTGGTGAAAAACTTGTCTTTAACTTGCAAACTTTCAATTGCAACACCTGCTTATTTAATCCATGATGTTTTATGGGATGCGGGTTTGCAAGATATCGAGACATTAACTAACGGAGAAATCCAGTCGAGTACTAGAATTTTTGTCAACGGAAATTGGGTGGGTTGTTTTCCACAGGGAAAGGTTATCTGTGAGTTAATAACTCAGTTACGTAAAGACGGTGTTTTAGACCACCAAATTTCAGTTTTTCATAATTACCAGCGAAACGAAATTTACATATGTTGTGATGGAGGAAGACCTATACGGCCCTTGTTTACCGTTAAAAACAACGAATTAGTCCTAAAAAAATCTGATTTGCAAATTGTCAAACAAAGTAAGAATTCTTGGAACTATTTGCTAAAAAAAGGTGTTGTCGAATTCCTTGATTGTGATGAAGAAGAAAACTCGCTGATTGCCATGTTTATGAGCGATTTGCACAAAGCGAAAAGCAACAGCTCTATAATGTCTTATTCTCACTGTGAAATTCATCCGAGTCTGATATTTGGTATCTGTGCAACTGTCATTCCGTTTCCTGATCACAACCAATCACCCAGAAATGTTTATCAATCTGCCATGGGTAAACAAGCGTTGGGAGTATACGTGTCAAATTATAATAAGCGGTATGACTCTTCAGGTCACGTACTGTTTTATTCACAGCAGCCTCTCGTTTCGACTCGCGGGATGAAATATTTAAGGTTCTCTGAAATTCCATCAGGTATCAATTGTATAGTTGCCGTTATGTGTTACACTGGGTATAATCAAGAAGACAGTTTGATTATGTCTCAATCGTCCATCGATAGAGGTTTGTTCAGAAGCATGTTTATTCGTACATATATGTCTGAAGAAAAGTTAAAAGGAACTTGTGTGATAGAGCAGTTTTGCAAACCCGATCCAATGATGTGTGTAGGTATAAAACGTGGAGATTACTCGAAACTGGACGACGACGGAATAGTACAGCCTGGAAGTTTCATACTTGGAGACGATGTCATAATCGGCAAAACGATTCCTTTATCTGCAGACGAAATCAAACTTACAAAAAAGACGCATAGAGATATTTCTACATTGCTTCGTTCAAGCGAAAACGGTGTAGCCGACAGCGTACTTGTGACCAAGAATGTGAATGGAATGAAAACAGTAAAAGTAAAAGTTCGAAGTATTAGAATTCCTCAGATAGGAGATAAATTTGCGTCGAGGCACGGTCAAAAAGGTACCGTCGGATTGACGCTGCGCCAAGAAGACTTGCCATTTAATTCGTCAGGCATAACTCCCGATATTATTATGAACCCGCACGCTATCCCGTCCAGAATGACTATAGGGCACCTAGTCGAGTGTCTTCTTGGAAAATACAAAGCTATTTCCGGGGGATATGGTGACGCAACTCCATTCCAGGGAAAAACATTGGAGTCAATTGCTAGCGCCTTGTCCAGTCTAGGGTATCAAGAATACGGGAACGAGCGCTTGTATAACGGATATACAGGCTGTCAACTTGCCAACTTGATTTATTTCGGTCCTACTTATTATCAACGACTGAAACACATGGTTGAAGACAAAATTCATAGCAGAGCACGAGGTCCAATGGCTGCTCTGACCAGACAGCCAATGGAAGGGCGATCACGAGAAGGAGGTTTTAGATTTGGAGAAATGGAGAGAGATTGTATGATTTCCCACGGAGCTGCCAAGCTGCTGAAGGAACGTCTGTTTGACCAATCCGACGCCTACCGTGTGCATGTATGTGAACAGTGTGGATTGTTTGCAGTGGCTGACTTTGAACATGGTCACTTTACTTGCGCAGGGTGTCCTGGAAATCCAAAAGTGAGCCAGATTTTCATTCCTTACGCGTGTAAACTGTTAATACAAGAGTTAATGGGTTTACAAATCTATCCAAAATTAAATCTAAGAAATGTGTAAAAATAACTAATAGCATTAAAGTATCATAGTTAAACAATTATAAATTAAAGCTTTATATCGTGTAAAAATCATTGTTCTTCTTTTTCTTCTGCGTGTGACTCATTGTATGAATTATGTTTAGTGGTGCGTTTTGTCGTAGCCTTAGTTGTGGTAGTTAACTTGTGGTAGGGATTAGTGGTGGTTTTAGTGGAGTTATATTGGTCAGATGTTATATCATCATTATCGTCATCTTTCACCTTAGATTGCTCGTACAATGAAGAGTCATTGTTATCTTCATTTGCGTATTTTTCGTCATCGTATTCGTTTTCAGATTTGATGGAACGGCGTCTGAGAATGTCTAAGGCAATCTCGTCTTTTTGTTTTTGAGAAGTTAGAATGTTCTTAACGTGTGTTAGATTTGCGATTTGGACTTGATCTTCGTTCGATGAAATAGTGTCTTCGTCATTCTGTCTTTTAGAGAGTTGAAAGATGGCGTTGTCAATGTCCTGAATGCGATAATTGAGTTCTGCGATTCTTTTTTCTATGTCTTCAATGTTGTTTCTAAATTGAGAGTGTGGGAATACAACATCGTGAACGATTTCACTTAAATTGTTGGAGATGTTTTCTAGCCAGTTGTTTTGAGTGTTCCAATGATGGTGATGAGGGTAGTAAAATGGAAGCACGTCGTAATAGCGACCGTAATTGTATGAATAGTTGTTATGTGGTTCGTAGTAACTTCGGTTTTGCACAGTTGGAACGTGATATTTGTTGATTGCATCCACTCCAAATGGCATTGTCTTAATCTCACCATTGTAAACGGTTCTGTTAGAAACAGTTACACCACCGTTACTAGAAGGATAGGCTTGGCTTAGCATTCTTGGAGCTACTTCGTTGGCTGGTTTGTATAATGCATGACCTTGACGACTGCCTACAAACACTGTTTCTACAGGAACGTATGGAGTATACAAATCGACAGGTCTTTCATAAACTACTGGTTCCGAGTAGAGCTGGCTTCGGTATCGAACAGACCTCGCGTTGACGTTCGATATTGTAGTGAATATGGCTAAGTTCAAAAAACGACGGTAATTCATTGCTTTCGATGGATTATAAAAAAATTGTTGCACTCTACATTTTGGGTCTTGGGACTTGATAGAAAGTTAAAGAACTGTTGGTGCAGTTATGGGAGAACCGTTGACGCTTGGTGAATTATTGTTAACCAGAAGTTGTAGAAGAACGTTTGAGCTTGATGAAACTTTGAGCAGTTTGAACAAGCCTAAAGTACCCCATATATAAATAATTAAGTTGTAAATTTGTCCGTAAATTAATTTATAAGTCAGTTGATTATCACTTATTTTGGTTTTTAAATCTGCTGTGTTAATTAAAATTACCAAGGAAAGCCAACTCACAATGCATGCGAGCATAAACATTAATATGGCTCCAGCCACAGCTACTGTTTGAACAGTCAGCCGAATATTCAAAATTAGCAGAATTAACATGAGAGAATAACCTGATGGAATGAAATTTTTATACTAATATATCTCTAGTAAATATAACTTACATAGATAAAATAGACAATTGAAATTGTCAACAAGCTGATTAAAACTTAAAAAAGTATTTAGTTGTTAAACGTACCGTTAAGGGATGCAGTGCTTTCGTGTAAGGCTTTTAAATTTACATTTTCTTTGTATAAAAGTCCGGTGATCTAGCAGCTAGATTTAACTTTGCAACGTACAAGTAAAGAGAACGGATCGCTCATCAGTGCGAACGAGCAACGTGATTGATTCTGATGTAAATAAATTATTATTAAATCGTTCTAAAATGTTACTAATTGACCGAATTATTTATTAAATATTTGCAGACTCCCAATAGTTCTTCATAAGAGTTAATTAAGATTTTTTTGTGTTGTGTGGATACATTGTTATCTATTTGAGCAGGCAGCATAGTTGATAATTGTTGTGTCAAGAGACAGATAATTTGATCGTCCACGTAATTTTTAAAACTTTCTGTAATCACTTTTTCGTTGCCTATCAGTGTTATCGAATCAGTCGAACTCACGAAGCAGTACAGCAATAAGTTAAAAAAAGCCTGGTTACGGTTTATAATTGACACAGAATCCACTGCTACCAAAATATGTCGGCAGTTTAGCCCAAAACAATATTTTAGTGGGATTATTTGCACATCGTTTAGCTTGTTTATATTTTTTATTTTTTTTTCCTCTACAACAAGAAAGTATTTGATTAACTTTTTGAGAAGTTTTTTTATTTCCATGTTTACAACGACCACATGTATCTTATTCATTGGATAGTTAAGTAAAAACATGTAAAGAAGTACAGATAATATTCCTTTCGCGTGAGATAGTGCAAATTCGGAACTGTGATCAGGTGTGGTTGTGGGTAAGAAATGAATATTTGATCCAAAACCCGGAGAAAAAGTGTCCTTGACATTTACATTCTCTTTAAAACGTTTGTGGTATAAGAATTTGTATAAAGAAGCGATTTCACTATTTAACGTAAGAGAATTTTTTTCACAGAGATTAAAAGTGTTGTTTACGATTCGTTTATTATTGACGAAAAGTTTAAGCAGTGCGTTCCATTCGTAGACATATGACTTCTGTGGTACGATGTCAAAAAAATGGCAATTCGAAAGGGCCAAATCATCAATCAAGTACAGACTATTCACTTCTAAACTTTTTACAAGCTCTAATAAAATGTATTTTTCCACATCGTTGCACACGTTGCTGTCTTCTACGATTATGGAGTATTGACAACCAGGATCACGTTGACTAAGATATTTAAAATAAGTGGGTAGCTCTTTGATCGTAATGCCCACATATGGGTAAAAGAAGCAAGACGTGATCGACGTGCATTTATGTTCGATTGGGCCGTTTGACGATAAATTTGTTGTAGCGAGCAAATCGTTGTATTGATAAATATTAGATAGGTTTTCCTGTACTTCACACCAATAATTTAAGTATTTTTCAATTTCAACTTTTGTATCAATAAGCTCTAAATTAGCAGCAGATTCAGAGTTTTCGAATATTTTTAGTTTTGCAGTAAACGGGAAAAACAATAAATACAGATCTTGTGAAATAGTTGACGAACCATACCTTGAAGTTAAAAACTCTTGGTTTCTGCTTATTATGCACGTCCAATAACCGTTTTTACAATAATTATACGTTTGCTGCAATAAAGTATCTAGATCAAATGAACTAGTGTCAGATTGATTTTTGATTGCTTCTGCTAGTGATAAAGACTGATGAATTTTTTCAATGATATGTTCGTTAATAAAAAAATACAAAAACTTGGGTTGGCTGTTCGTAAATTCTGCAAATTCTAAAAATAAAAAATCAATTTCTTTCTGGATTTCTGCAAAGAAATTCTTGTACTTGTTGTTGTTGGAACTTAAAAAATATTTGTTATAGTTGTTTTTGGTTTTAGTTGTTAAAAAAACGCATGGAACAACTTGACGGCTTGTCGTTGACAATTTATTGAAGAGAGAAATTATGGATCTTTTATTTCTAGCAATTATGATCACTTTTTGCAAACTTTTACTTTGGAGTTTTTCGAATCCTTCGAAAACATATTGCTTTTGGCTTGTAGGATTAATATCAGACAAAATTAAATTGGTTAACTGCGTGTTTCTGTTGATGCTAGAGTCGACTTCGATGGTGCTAACATTAAGTTCCTGTGAAACATTTGTGGACATATTAGTATTATCTTTATAGTCGAATTGCTTGAGCATGTCTAAGTGATAAGTATTATTTAAGCAATCGATGTAATCGATTTGAATCTTCATATCATCTGTGAACTTATAAAGTATTTCAAAATTTTTGTAATTCTCTTCCATCTGATTTCTAATATCAGTGAAATATTGAGTCGAATCGAACGACACTTCGATAATATTTTGTTCAACTGAAACTACCTTACCGCAACGCATGAAGTTAACACCAGATGGTTTATCAGTGAAGTTATCGCTGGCTTCAGGTTGTGTTTTATCTATAATCATGAAAGCTACGTAATCATTTATTTCAAGCGCTGAAGTTTTATTGCATCCAGCGTGTTGGTTGATTTGAATAGAGAAAATTATGTCAGTGAGTTTTATGCTAGACATGGTTGCTTGTATGACGGAAAGATCGTTGATAACTCTTTCAGCAATCATAGTGTCTTCTTTCTTTTTTGTGTTTGATACAAAATAAACATGAGGGTCTTTGATAAATTCAACTAAATACTCTAGACAACCAGTTATGCCATTGTCAGGGTCTCGCAACAACTTACTGCTCTGGTCATGATTAATTACTTTTAAATCTTCAAGTTCGTTAACAAATTGATTATAACAAGTGAATAGTTTGTTTATGTAAGTGCAAAAACAGAAGTGTAATCTTTCGAGCAAAAACAACTGCAACTTGTTAATTAAATCGACTCGTAAATATTCTCTCGTTTCATTACCACTATAATCAACGCTTAAGTATTTGTAATCTTTCGGTGTTAGATACGTAAGTACTTCTAAATCACTTTCAATCGGAAAACGGAATATGAAAAAGTAATAAGGCTGAAGAGTGTCGCCTGGAAAAAGTTTAAACAACAGATTTTCGTAAAATGTGGTTTTCAAATACTGGTTTTTTATAAAACTTACGTTTTCGGAGCGGGAGTTACTTGAGTCTTTTTCGATAAACAGTTTAGTGAGTAAAGTAGATGCATTGTTTAGGAACGTGTTGTTTTCGATGGTTTTGGTAACTTCTAGCCAATAATCACTATCAAAGTCGTTAGCTAATTCCAGAACATACCTTTTTTCAGAAAGTTGATCCAGCACTACATTTGAGTAAAAGATGGGCTTCATGTAGTTTATAATCAAATACCTTTGCAGGGCGTAAAGTTGTTTATCGTTGTAAGCTAAGCTGTCTAACGAAATAAATGATTGTTTAAAATAAAGCCAAATCAGCTTTCTAAAATAAATATAGTGCTTTTTAACAAAAAGATCCTCTGAAAGCAAGAAATACACGACTTTTGTGGTCTCCATTAGGGGAAGTAAAAACTCTCGTATGGGTTTTGATTCTAAATAACAAATAAATAATTGAATCAAATTTTCACTTGTATCTTCAGAAACGAACGTAGGCAAACTTGGATTGAGAAAAACTGAATATTTGTTGCTCGACTGAAAGATTTGATACAGAAGCAGTCGAGCAGGGATGTAAAAAGTTGTGTATGCTCCGACAAGCCACGGCAACCGAGCAACAATAGTGTCAGGACTTAGTTCTTCATAAATCTTCGCCACATGCCTATAACATTTAGGAATGGATACGCTCACGGATTCTAGATCTGAAAAATTGTTTTGTTCACAAAATGGGTACCAACAGTTAGCCCCGAGTAGTGTAAGTATGAGTTTAAATTCTTGAGAATTGAGCGCCGAATAGGCGGTAGAAGTCAAATAATTAAGTGTGGAGTTAAATAATTTCTGCAAATCCTCTGTCACATTCTCTTCAAAAGGCTTAACAAGCAATTCATAAACCTGATAGTTGGTAAGAGTTATGAATGAGTAACTTATGCAAAAGATTATGTAATGTGCAAGAAAAATTTTGAGCTCGAAAGAAATGTTTTGCGTGTAAATGGCGCTTGAAAAAGATTTGATGAAAAAAAGAATGTCTGGAAGAAAACTTGCGACAGTATCTCTGCTAGTTGCGATGTCGCTATACCGCGCTATGTTTACATTCGAGAATTCGTTAGAGGCAGCCATAAATTAAAAACCAAATTTAGCAGCAGCTCGATTCTTTTCAGACTGCGCAAAGTTAAGATTTTCTCTCAAATAAACTTTCCAAGAGAATGGCGGGAAATGAAATTTAAAGCAATGAAAAAATAAGTAAAAAATAATAAACAGCAGCACGAAACGAGGAGAGCTAAAGAACCCGGTAAACAAAATTGAATCGATAAAGTATGGACGAAAATATAATTTTTTAAAAGCAAATTCTTTGCTCGGCGTGACAAAACAGTTTTTTTTTTTTATTGATAATTCAACCGACTCATTACTAACGATATGCAGACTATCGACCTTGCGAGACCTACAAAACAAGCCGAGCTTAGAAAGCACAAATTGAAGCGACTGATTCCTTCTAATGTCTCGTACTTCAACGACGTAAAATGCGGAAACTGCTACAGAATCCAGACCATTTTCTCTCACTGCTCATCTGTTGTTCACTGTAGTTCTTGCAACAACGTGCTAGCCCGACCAACCGGCGGAAAATCGGCTCTCGAAAACGATTCTCAATTTAGAAGAAAAGGCAATTAAAAAGTGTCTATTTTTTGTGAACAATGTACATTGTTTGTTACAGTTTGTAACATTAATAACGCTTAAATACGATTCGCTTAATAAATCTTTATCATATCTAATATTTACGTGCTTTAATTATATTTATTTATGCATTTTATATCTAGCACGGGTTTATATTTTTAACATGATGCTAAAGTATTAAAATAATGTTACTGCCCATTAGGTGCGGAAAACAAAACAGCTGTTTTAGCTGAACTCGATGATCAGTTTATAGCTGCGAAGCTGAGAAACGAAAAAATCGGCATAAAGTAGGTGGTCTATCCGATCGGTGCATCGAGACGTTGGTTTTAGTCTTTTTTTGATTCTGGACTGGACTTCTCTACCTTACTGTCTTGCTCGCTACTCCAAAGCGTGAGGTTGTCACGAAGTAACTGCATGATGAGAGTGCTATCTCGGTAAGTGTCGTCTTGCACTGTTTCCAGTTGGCTGATAGCGTTGTCAAATGCGTTTTTGGCGATTTGGCATGCTTCAGTTTGGTTGTTGGCTATTTCGTAGTAGAAAACGGAATAATTGAGAGCGAGACCTAGCCTGACCGGGTTGGTAGTAGGAAGCTCTTCTGCTAGTTCAGTAGCCTCTTTGTACGCCTTGGCAGAAGCTTCTGAACTCTTGGTGTGTTCTTCGCCTGAAGTGAATTCAGCAAGATATCTAAAGTAGTCAGCCTTCATTTTCCAGAAAAAGACTTTTGCTTCGGTGTTTAGTTTGCTGTCATCGGAAAGTATTTCGTTGTCTAACAAATTGATTATTTCGTGGCAAATTTCAGAAAGTTCGTTAATGACAGTTTTTTCGTACTCGTTAATAATATCCATGTTCATTTCTGGGTTGCGTTTTTGTTGTTGCTTAGCAATAGTGTTTATAACGCGAAGCGAAGATCTTCTAAAGCCTACGGAGTTCTTAAATGCAACAGACAATAAGTTTCGTTCTTCTAAGCTTAATTGATACTTGTGTATTTTAACCACTGATTTCATAAATTCTTTCATTTCATCATATCGTTCCGCTTGTTCAGCGATTTTCGCTTTGATTATGAGAGAGTTTACTTCGTCGGACATAAGTAATGTTGATTTTACAAAAATATTGTTAAATACCTAATAAATACACATAAAATAATATTAGATTTTTATTGGTTACACACACATGCTTTTTTTAAGACTCGACAAGAGCTAGACTTGATTAGACACGTCACTCATTTCGTTTTGCACATATTTATAAAAAATATAATGCTTTTTTGATTGAATAGCCATGTACGTGGAAATCAAATTATAGAGGCCGTGAATAAAGGTGCTATTTTAATTTTAAGACCTTTGCGGTGTGACTGCAAACTTTTACGCGTTGCTATCATGTCTAGCTTTTAGTTTTGCTTTTTCTGTATAACTATTATTTATATAGCAGACTTGTTAAGAATTGACTGAAAAAATATAAATAAATTTCATATTGTATGTAAGATTATGCGAACATAAATACGATTTGTGTAGCTGTGAACTTTTCTTTTTATTTAAGATGATTTTTTGACATATTGCTTTCAACAGTAAATTTTTTATTTTTGTTATTTAAAATTTGCAGCGTGATCCTAGGATTTTGAAAGCTTGAAGAAGTAATGCCAAACAATTAAAATAAGTGATATTCGACTTAATAAAGCAGCAGCTTTGAACATTCAAAATGGTATCATGGAAAAACGTACATTTTCTGTTTCAATCAACTCGAATACAGTAAAAAAACGAAAAATTCAAAAACCGTATTACTCTGCGAATTTATCTTATCCCAATGACTATAATGATTTTGGAAGGGCAAACTCTTTTGCAGGACGTGAAGAAGTCGAACTCAAGGAAAAAAAATCTTTTGAAGCTGCAATTATTGCGTTGATTAATGTGCTTGAAAACTCGACTAAAAATGCTTTTCCTGAAAAAAGCATGTCGTATTGTGTAGAATGTAATGGTTCGGGTGATTTGCTTTGCTGTGATTCTTGTACGTTTGCATTTCACGTAAACTGTTTGCGTCCAAAGGATTGCTATAATACCTTGTACACTCCTACGAGAAAACACGGATTTAAAAATTTTGATGAAGATTTGTTCAATCAAAAAGACAACAATGAACTTGATATTGTGGACTGGTTTTGCCCGTATTGTTTGTCAAATGATATTATGAGGATTTGGAAAAGAGGTGTGCCTAACTTTCTCAAACGCTTTGCTGGGTTCGGGAAAGCCTATAAATACTTGTCAAACGCTAAATCCAGACACGAAGAAGGTTCTCCTGCCGCGTGGTGTCGAGAAATTGCGAGTTTTATGGCTAACATCACTAAGTACGACGCGTTTCCTCAAAATATTCTTTTGGCGTTATGTGGTATAAGATCTACAATGCAAAAATTAGAAACCAAATACAAAGCTGAATATAATTCAGCTATAAAAAATCCTGAACAACTCAGTATCATAAATAAATTACTGGATCAAAAGTTTAATTCCGACGAAAACTTAAAAATTAAGGTAAGTAAAGCATTACAGGTAATTTTAGTCTGTTTCAATACTTGGAGAAGACCAGTCTCCGGAAGTGTCGAAAAAAGTATATCCACAGCGTAGAAATAAAACGAAAATCACAGTAAACGAAAACGACTCTGAGATATTACCACCACATGGAGGGACTATGAACATTGGGGTGGCACACCAGGTTCCTGCTCTCGAAATGTTTATCGTTGAAGCAAACAGCCACAATTGCTCGTATGACGAAATAGACTCACGCATAAATTTAAACCCAAAAACCGATACGTACAAATTAGTGTCTGAAAATGAGTGTAGATTGGTATACTCGTTTAACAATTTGTGCACAAAGGCTAAACAGCAATTTGAACAACAAAGGAATTTGCTGCACGAAGGAGTGGCACAAAAAATAACTAAATTTGTTCCGCAGAACAATAACGAATTGAACTTATATATAAAACACGTGTTTCAAAATTGGCCTGTTTGGATCGTATGGCCTCCTACTGTAGAGTTTGCATTAAAACTGTTATGTTTCGCCGACTACGATTGCGTGAACGCTTTGAAAATATTATGCAGCCCGAGATTCCCTTTTAGACGTAAGTTTGCTACAAAAAAAATGCATTTTCAGAGATTTGCCGTCCTCCTATCAAACCTTATATGAACAAATGGTCGCCTCAAGATAAAAGAGGGGTTATACCATGTAAGTTAAGCGTGAAAACACGTTTTTGTAGCCATTCCTTTCGCCCCTATACAAGGAGTTATATATACAGACAATAAACTTTCAAGTGATGTGCATGCAAAAAGCACTGACGACTAAAATTATTGTTCTTAAATACAAATCAAATAACAGGATGTCCCAAATCCATTAACGTGGCACCTCTCATTTTTTTTTTTAAATTATTAGAGAGAATGAGAAGTTTTATTTTGCCAGTTGTTGCTTTTGCTTATTCTGTACTCGCTCGAAGCGACTATTCCAGCGTATCTGAAACCAATTCTTATCGCGAGAAACAATATCTTAATGACGATGACTTTGTGAACGTCCGTCTTGATAAAAATAGTAAATATGACAGGAACCACGACAGAGAGGAGATGAACAAAGATTACTACGAAATCAATCACGAAAGAACCGTTCCATCTTCCCGCTTCCACGACCATGAAAATGATACAAGATCTAATCGCGGAGAGAATCATACAATCCCATACATTCTATATGATGGTGAGTAAAAATAGATTAATAAGCTTATTTTTTGCAAATTCAATCAATATTTTATATTACCTTATAACTTGTATCTTAACCCTTATTATTAATTTTTTGATCGATTTGCAAAAGTTTAGTTCTCAGGTAAGAATTAAAAATATTAATATCATCATTATTTTGTATTTATATTCCAAATGAAAATAGAATTTTTATGAGTGTTGGTAAGAGATTATCCTATGAATAAATTAATTTATAAATTAACCGATCAAGCAGTAAATGTAGATGTCTCGGAAAAAGAAAAAATAGAATTTATTTTGCGAATAAGAAGCCGTATTTATGATCTGCATTTGTTTGAGATAACTCAGCTTATCAGTGAGGAGGAGTTGGCTGAGTTTGAAAGTCATGGAGAAAATAATTTTTTGGGCGTGAATGAATATGTGATATTGAATATTTCTCAAATTTCTCCGAAACCGTCGTTTAAAAAAGATAACCTAGGTCGGTTATGTTTGAAAAGTTTGGAGATCAGAAATATTTCGGCCACGATTGCGAATTTTAACGGCGTTCTGCCTTTGAATTTCGTGGATTTATACACCGAGTACGATCAAAACAATTCCTACCAAATGGAGTTCGTGGTTTTCAAGGTTTATCTTGGAAAGTCTATGACCGTGCTTACAGAAGGCGTGATGACTGAAGTCCCAGACCATTATGACTCGATCATTTGCGTAGACAATTCCAACGACATAAAAGAAATTATGTACGAGATTTCAACTCAGTGTGAAATAAGTGAGCAACAACAAAGACGTTATGAGCTCGATAAAAATTTGCTAGACAAGAATAAAACGCAAGAAAACTCAAAAAAATCAGAATCAAATTGTGGCCACGTCAGCTGGGTTAAACTGAAATACCCTTTAGACCAGATGAAGCCACTTTATTATTGCAAAGTTAGTACGAGAGCTCAAAGAATCATTTCCAGTATTCCAATTTGTACAAGTTGTGAGTTTGCTCAAGCAGTGTACTATTGTGAGTCTGACAATGCTCATTTTTGTGAAAACTGTGACACTACTCATCACTTACGCAGCAACATTCTTTCTAAACACGAAAGAATCAGCGTGTATAAGTCTCCTCATATTTTTGGAAATTGCAGTCGACATTTGCGTAACATAATCGACTCTGTATGTGACACCTGTGGTGTCGCTTTGTGTAGTATGTGTCACCTTGAAGGTAGTCACGTTGTTGGTGCTGACATATTTAAACACAAGATTATTTCAACATCAGAAGCGTTCGCAGCGGCTATCAACGAAGATAATTCGACGAATCGGTCGATCGAGGAAATCAAACAGAAACTAACCAATGTTTCGGCTAGTCTACATTTGACAATTCACCACTGTTTTCGAGAATTATTCGCGATGAAAATTCAACTACGTAAACTTGAACTAGAGTGTAAGGAACAGTTAGATCATTTGTTTATGAATCCGCGAATGAAGTTTTTGTCGTCGTTGAAGACCCAGTATTATTTGGAACTGATTTTTTTGACTCGCATTCAAGAATTTGGCTCGCATCTGCAGCGCACACTTCCGCCAGGTGCTAATATTCGTTATGCGCGTTGTTTGTCTGCTTTGTTGACGCTATGGTTCAGATTTGACGACAACTGTCTGCTGAATTCTGGATTAAACATCGCTGAGTCTCAAATTTCTTTTCCGGTACAATACTACCATTCACCAACAGCCATTTCAATTGAAAATTTGCACGAGTTGTGGAATCATAATAAAAGTGACAATAATAAGTTACATTGCGAGGTATATTTTAGCGGTCAAATCAACATTATAACAGATGCTGACGAACTTATTGATTCAACAGAATCGAACTTTGAAAAAAAGGAGCCAGCAAATCAAGCCACTACCGACTTCAAACTGAACGAAACAATAGACAACCTTAACGATCAAGTAACGGAAGAAAATCTCGAAGATTTAGTGAAACTAGACGTTATAAACTTGAACAAAATTAACATGAAAGAAGAAATTGTGAAGAACACGGTTGATACTTCAGCTGAATACAAGAAACAGGTCATTTCAAGTGACTATATAAACTATGTAGAAACGATTTGGAACGTCATAAAAAAATACAACTACAAGTTGCTTCAGAACGTTTTATACATGGAAAACGAAATAAAACTATACGATCGTCGAGAGTTTCTCAGTAACGTATTACGGCTCACTGGTGTTGCTAACAATTACTACCATACGCTAGAAATAATTATTTTATCGACGTATATTAGGCTAATTGACACGGACAACATAGGCGAGGTCAAGCAATCGCTTTTAAGTGACAAGAAAATTGAGTTTAATTACTCGCTCCAGATAAATATAAAAGCTATAATTGTTAACTACATTTTTGAAATAGTTTCATATCCCATTATTACAAGTTTGCAAAAAAACGAGCATGAATCGGTTTTATTAAAACAAAAAGAACTTAATCTGTGTAAAATAGCATTACTTCCGTCTATTGTGAAAATGTGCAACGACATCAAAACGTACATATCGCTAAATAACGTTTCTCTAGATGAAGAAGAGAGTATTTCGAAAACCCTAAATGACTTTGCCGACGCCGCCTTGCTCGACTTTTACTGTATTTTGAGTTCGAAAAACACGACGTTTGATTCGCTTCCAGACCTGCTTAAAAATGTTTTAATAATAAATCAGCACGCTTACGAGTTTTTGCTGCAGGCAAACGAAAACAATCTGAAGCTTAACTTCATGCTTATCACGCCGGCATATTTAAAACGTGCGCGAAAATTGCCTGCATCGCTGCTCAGAAATTTGCCAGTGGCTTTGGCAGGTTTCATCATGCTGAACGCGTACTTCAAAAGTTATTTGGTAGAAATGTACGACAAAGTCAACGACGTGGACTTCAAAGAGCAGCTCATAAAAGATTACGACAACCAGTTAACAATTATAGCAATCAAATATTTGATAAATCGGCTGCAAAACCAAGCCTATATTACGTTTATCGATTGCATCGACCGCAAAGGGCCTTCTGAAACGTATAAACCAGATCTGGCTAATTCAAATGACCCGTCCAAACTAATTAATTACTCTTCGAAACTGATTATGAAATGGATTTTCAGAAATATAAACACCCTGACAAAGAACATTCCGTTGACTAACTGTTTCAACAACCGTGTAGACGTGTGGCTGAAGAACTCTGAGTCAAGCGTCGCTTACATCGAGGAATTCGTCAACACGCACAATTACTTGCTGGAGCAAGTGAACTATGATGAAGAAAACGAAATGCTTAGGTCTATTGACACAAACAAAGTCAGATACATTGGAATGACTCGAAAACCAGTGTCGAGCCATAAATTAAGCAAAGAAAACGTGATGGGCAATTGTATTGCTGATGATTTTGAACATAGCAAATACCACAAAGGTATAGACAACCTCTAAATCTAGCTGTCTTACCGCAGTCAAATTTATCATTGATTCGATGAGTGAGACTGGATTGTTGCTTTACGATTATTTCACATACATTAAACTTAAAATACTAAGAAAATACAGATCGGCAAAGCTCCTTACTGAGCAAATCAATTTCAAGTCCAAAGAATTTAAAGTTGTAGACAGAGTGATCTTCTTGCGGATTGAAATGAATGTGCAACATTTTGAAAAAGCAAACAATGCAGACGATCGCGTGATAGCCCGCCCTGTTTGCAAAATTTGTGTCGATCAAAAAAGGAATGTTTTTGATCATCAACATTTCGGCGGCTTTAGACAATTGGGGAAGTTTTAGTTGAGGTTTTTTCACAAATAGCATGTGGCGAATGTCGTATACAGAACAAAAATAGTTTTTCGCCAAGTCGATGAATTTCGCATATTTATTAGGGAGATCTTTTCCAGTGATGGCTCGCAGCAAAAACCCGATGTCGTAAGCTCCGCAGTAAGTGCTCCAACTGATTTTTTTGTTGTTAAGTAAACCGCTGTTTACGAGGTGCTCTCCAAATTTGGAAAACTCTATGCCGTCCGAAACGGCTTTGACCGTGTCAAAGCCCGACTGTTTTACTATGTCAAGAGTCGCTTCGTAAACGATGTCTGTTTTTTCGCAAAATGAAAAATTAAATTGAAAACAACTGTTGCTCATAGGCATGTTTGCAAACTCGTCTGCAAAGGCAAAAGCGATCTGCAAGCATTTCATTATGTCTACAGTTAGTTTGACGTCGTTGTAAGCGTATTCTTCAAAAACGATGGGGCGCACAAAAAATCCTGCCCACGTGGCGCGAACGGCGATGTACGGGTAGTTCGTCGTGATTTCGTTTATTTCCTCAAATACGTTCTCTATGTCATTGTTCCAAACGTGTCGTATTGTTGACATAAATTAACTGTTTGTACTAAGCAAAAAGTGATAAGAAAGTAATCTACAATCTAATGCTCACAAAAACTCGTTTGAAAACATCCGTATTTCTTATAATGAAAAACTAATTAATAAAAATCATAATATATGGTTAAATAATAAAGTAGACTGAAATAAATTAGATTAAACTAGTTACAAACTAAACGAACAAAATATGGAAGTCTCTCGATCTAGGCTCATTAATGCAACTGGAGATCGCAAATATGAGAATTATTTGAATTTTTTGTTTTTCGAAAATAAATTACGGGTAATTTAGTTATAAATAAATCAATAAAAATGGTATTACAAATGGAATTATTAATTTTCTTTTATATAGAAAAATTCTGATTATAATAACATATCGTGTGATTGAAATCATGCAGCACGAATAAAGTTAGCTCATTTTGACTATTTATCTGTGTATTTTTATTGCCTGGATATGATTAAAAATTTTCCTAGTAAAGATATTTATTGGTACAATCCGCTGCTAGATGGTATGTTGCAAGAGATTACTAAAGTTTGAATAGACAGCTCTATTAAAACTAACTTGTTAGAGTACGAGCTGAAAAAAAAAAAGTATGCTGACTTGACAGGGTCCGACTCAGTACTGTTCATTTATAACTTGCGGAAAGACTTGTTTAGAATGGTCTCAACAGTGACGATCTCCTGCTTGCTGAAGATCATTTTAAACTTAGGATGTTACATCCTAGTTTTTCCTGGGTTGTTCAAACACATTTACCCGTTGAGTGATGAGTCGTCTATCACAACGACGATCTTGTTCACGATTTTCTTGTTTTACACCATGTTCGTTACTCCACTGATCCAGTACGTTACATTTAAATTATTCAAAAAAAACTACTTTCTCACGGGGGACGCACTTTTGGACATCAGCGTATTGTTTGCACAGAAACTCAACTTTTTCTTCTTAGCTCTGGGCACTTTGCTCCTATCTCTGGTGTTTTTCATCATTCCGCAACTATTGTACAAGTCGCATGATTATCCAAAGAGCTGGCGATATGAGTTGTCTTTTTCGTCTGCTTTAACGGAAATTACTCAAAACTGTACTAACGTTAGCTTAGATTTATTCGATAAAGAGAATTTATTATTTTTTAAAAATATTATTAAAGTTGCAACCTACTTTCAGTGTTTTTACATTATCTATGCTTTCAACCAGCAAGACAGTAAAAGATACAAAGAGGTTTTCCTTATACTTTTTTTAGTTCGACTTATTATTGTGTTAATTCGTAGTATGTAGTTGACCGGTATTTAGGCGCTCAAATGATGCAATAGCTGCTGTCTGACCTGTCAAACGTTATATGATAATTGAGATGTGCGATTAATTGAAGTTCAATTTGAAAAAAAAAATCCACTACTTTTTAATGTTGAACATGATAATGAAAGCTCATTTTTAATGAGACTAAAAATTTTAAAGAATATAGTGAAACGTCATAATGATTAAAAAGCTTGTTAACCTAGCTTTGTTTTTGCGTCCGTCTATAGTGACTGCGAAACAGAATGAAATTCACACAGTTCCAGCATTACACAAAACCACTACAGCCGTTTCAGATAACATGCCTGTGACGAGGGCGTTAGCCGCCTGGGGGAACGTCCCGTACCCAGTCGGCATATTGAAAACGTCTCAATACAAAAATACGAGCACTTCGGCACCCGGTATTATACTGACTGACGACCCACAAACAGGATGGCTATATCGCATTCATTTATTGAACGAACACAACCGTGTGCGAACTTTAGAAGGAAAAATTAGTCTATACATGCTGTCGCTAGTGTGGGATTTTAACTTGGAAGCGTATGCAAAAAACTGGGCCATCCATCTTTGCAAACACGAATCTCCCTCGTACTTCGAACATAGCCCAGATAACCACACAGGCTACCCCTACTGGCCGTTCCGCATATCCATGGGAGAAAATTTGTATGCTGCAAATTGGGACTTTAAAAAAGTAGAAGATATTTTCAGGCCGGTTGAGCAGTGGTATCAGGAGAAAAAAAATTTTAACTGGACCACGGGTGAAGCAAACGCAACGGGCGTTGAAAGAGTGATAGGCCATTTCAAACAGCTTGCGCACCCGGAAGTGTCTTCCGTAGGTTGTGCCGTTGTGACTGGGTGTCATGCAAACCAGCCTGGCGGGTTCAAAACGTACGTAGTGTGCCACTACGACTACCCAAACATGGGTAAATTGCCTCACCCGTACATAGAGCCACACGAAGGTTGTCTTAAATGTCCAAAGGGCTTTGAATGTTGTGAGTCAACTCTTTGCACTGGACAGTTTTCTGACTCGAATGCGGACTTCAAAACCTTTACCAAACCTAGTCAGGTTTTTTCCGAGTTCGGTGAATGTCCCGTAAAGCACACATTAAATTGCGCGGCCAGCGGGGGTTTTGACATTTCAGCCGTTGTCAAAGCGGCAGCTCCAGGATTACGGTTCAACAATTGTTTTTGCGGGGGCAGTCATCCTGTAAACAATTCTCATGATTTGATTCAGAACAAAGTTGCTTTCTTTAGAAATGTTTGCTTCAAACTCTCTGATGGAGGAAATTTGCGAAAACAAGACGCAATTCCGGTTTTGCATTAAACACATTATTTTTACGTTCATAAAAAATAATTCGATCAAGTTCGAATTTCACTGAGGTATGTCAACAAGAAATTTGTTTAAACAAGTCTGATCGTTTAATAAAAATTACGATGATTAATAGTTCATATAACTCGAGTTTTACGCAGGCCATCAGACATAGTAGTAATATATATAGTACACAATATATGACTGCTCGTCTTTAATTATCATTTCGTTCAAAATTAATTAAAATTTTTCCATTGCTCAAAATGCGACTTTTGGATTTTTTTTTTTAACAAAATAAAATATTCAATCTTATAATTAAATTTCTAATAGTCATCATATTGGAATAAACTATGGGAAAAGTAAGTTGTCGCGATAGGATTAAACTTTGTTCTAGGATTATTATAAATTATTAGGTGTTACTCGAAGTTCATCAGAAGATGAAATAAAGCGAGCTTACAAGAAACTTGCTTTAAAATGGCATCCAGATAAACACAAGGACCCCAAAACAAAGAAGCAGGCAGAAGAAATGTTCAAAGACATTTCTGAAGCTTACGATGTTTTGAGTGATTCTGAAAAAAAGAAGATATACGACATTTACGGAGAAGAAGGACTTAAAGGAGGAATTTCCGGAGGCGCCGAAGGCATGTCCGGCGGTCGTGTTGGTAACGTGCGTTACACAACATACACTGGAGTTAATCCAGAAGAGCTCTTCTCGAAAATCTTTGGTAAAGGAGGCCACGACATCTTTGACAACATGGGCGATTTCACCTACACAACTTTCGGTGGAGGTGAAGGCATGGGTGGTGGCTCACGCGTCAGTTTTTTCGATGACGGCCCATCCGTGGGATTCGGAGGTTTCCCCGGGGTTTCTTCGAAACGATCTTCTCCCACAACCGCCCCCGTACAAGTGAAAGACTACGAAAAAGATTTAAAGGTTACTCTTGAAGACATTTTCACAGGAGTGACTAAAAAACTTAAGGTTGGCCGTTGGAGGTTTGATGGCAGCCGTAAATATTCACATGAAAAAATTTTGGAAATTAAAATCCGCCCTGGATGGAAGGAAGGAACGAAAATTTCGTTCAAAGGAGAAGGAGATCAAGAATCGCCTGACCAGCCTCCTGGCAATTTAGTGTTCATTTTGCGTGTTGCGGATCATAAATATTTCAGTAGAGAAGACAATAATTTGGTGTACACTCATCCAATCAAACTCATTGAGTGTTTTACTGGCGTGTCTTTCAACACACCAACTATTGAAGGCCGAACGATAAACATAAACGCCCAGCCGGTTATCACTCCCAAGTCTTTCCGGATTATTTCCCACAAGGGTATACCTGATCAAAAAACTGGGGTTCGCGGGGATCTGATCATTCGATTCGAAATCGAATTCCCAACCTCGTTCAGCGAGTACCAACGCAAACAAATGATTAGTATTTTATCTAGTTAAGATATAACTATAATTTGTTAGAAAACTTTTTATTCTAATTATTTTAAACAGTGACTGCAAATGTAAATAAGTAAAATCCAGCAATTTGTTGTTTCATATTTGATTAGCAGTAAATGATGTAAATTTTAAATTTCAGACATTTTTGTGCTGTATGGGTCTTGTTCCTGATACTTGTGGAGTTCCGTAGTTTCAATCTCGTCAATGATTGATTTGATTTTCACAGGGTAGGTAAAGTCCGTGTGGATTTTGCCAGAGGTCAGTTGAATCCGGGGCAGCCAGGACTTGATATTATCGATGGAAAACATGTAGTTGATTTCATCAATTTGCGGCTTATTGCTAGAGCTACTCGGGGAAGAGATCATATAAAAATGTAAAAGCACAATAAAGTAATGTTATTATAAAAAGAAAAAAATGCTAAAAATTTTTATTAGATTTTTTTAAGGCAGAAATTCGAGTTATCTAGTAAATGCCAGTGAAGAATTTGTATGAATTAATTAGAATAGTAAATTGGAAAGAACTGCGTATTTACAAGGTCTTAGCTAGTTTCAACGGTGAAAAGAAAGACTACTACGGACTTTCATGTAGCTTTAAAATTTTGGAATCGCATGAGTGGTTTGAAATAGAAAACATCGAAACCTGCAGGCCCAGAAAAATATCTCCAGTACAACTCGGCGGATATAACGATTCAAATGACGAGACTTATTTGTACTGGTTTTTAGCTGACGGAGTTGTTTCAATAGTTATTACTGAAATGCATGAAAAATTGCTTAATTCGTTTTATCAATACGAGAAGGCAGATAAAAAAGGCGTGATTGAGTTATTCAACTCATCCGGAAGCGGTAAAACAATTGCAATGCTTTACTGCATCATTCGACTTCTTGCAAAAAAAGAGGGTATCCACCTCTGTAATCGAGATAGCACCGTTACATATTATTGGTACGACGAGCGAGAAAAATGTCTTTTGCTTATGAAAAACAATCAAGCTTATAAATTAACCGACAAATTGAGCGACGAAATGGCGCTAACTAAAAGCCTGAACACTCGCGAAACTTTGCAGAATTATATCCATGTAACAGTCGACGCAGAGTATAAACCCATATCAAAGTTTGCGTTCAATGATTTCAATAACGTTAAAGTTTCTAGTCTAACTGATTTATTAGTCTTATCAAATACGTATATAATTAAAGAGACCGTGTGGTTTTGGCCATATCAGTCGAAAACAACGATTGGCTTAGTTCGTTGTTTATTTGAAAATTATTATAAGAATGAAAAACTTAGCCTAAAATTAAATTCGATTATAAATAGCAATTTCTGTGAAAAAGTTTCTGCAGACACATTATTCGAAGTATGTGGCCCAGACCTCAACCTGGCAAATACATGTACTAATATAGAGTCGTATTCGTGGATGATCCATGCATATCTTGATCTATTTCAAGACGTTTTTGGATTTAATTCCAGTTTGACATTTAGTAATCAACTAAGCGTCAGTGAAGGAATTCAAGCATTTTTAGACGAATTGATGCTATATGAAACAGCGTGTCAAGCGCACAGACAAATCAAAGCCTTGAGCGAGAAACGCAACAAACAATGCTATTCAAGCTATGAAAACTGCAATTGTAGCTTTTTTGATGAGAATACATGCGGAGAAATTGACTTCATCAAACTTCCCGTACTTGAGTACTCGACAGTGTCTCGTAAGACATTTAATTGTACAGACGCGATAAAGTATTCGCTGGGCGATAACTATATTAGCAGCATGAACAAATTGATACCGAGCCGGATTATTTTTAAAGTACTGTTGAACAAACTAATAGTAAACCAAACTTATAAGTACCTTCTTAAATCTTCAAATACAGCTGGAAGAAGGCTAGGATTTGCTGCATTGGTGATTCGCAACTTAAAAGTGCACAAATTGAAGCTTTTTCCAACTGTAACGGTCTTCGACTTCCCAGTTTTTTTAACTGCTGTCAACGATTGTCAGTTCTTAAAAATACTCGTATATTGGCGAACGGGGGGCGCAATAGAACCAACTCAAAAAGAGTCAGAAAGCCGCTTTGTAAGAGCGTCAGTGAACAAATCAACCCTAAAAAACGATTTTTCTGAAAACATAAGTTTTATCGATACGCGTAGTCAAGACATCGCAGTGGTTTTTTTCAGTGTAAAAGAAACCTACAACATCATAATGCTACCGTCACGCATGACATTGGCGAAGTTAAAGGAAAACTTGTCCGATGTTGTTACAGAGGGAATCGTTCTTGTAAATATTACTAATGAGTCATCCGACTCGAACGATGGTATGGGTTTGGACGCAATCAACCCCAAGGTGGTAATGCCAGACATCATTGTAGAAGCGCGTGAAGTTTCTCGAGTTTTGTTAAATAGCCAGATATTGAAGAAAAACGCGAAAGAGTTATCTTCAGCTCGAAAATTACCATTTTCGTTGGCTGCCCAATGCGTTTTCGTCGACTATCACTCAAGTATGGACCACGCCGCGTACAGGTATGTCACGAAGAAAAGAGATCTATTTTGTTGTTGTGCCCGTTCAGCAAACAACTGTGAACGGATCTTTTAGCATATTTTTGCTTTTCAAATCGAGTTATTTGTTCAGCGATAATATTATTTTGCGAGAGTAATAAAAAAAAAGTGACAACAATTGAATACCAATATGTGTAATAACTGACCCAAACATAAAAGTGTACGCCCGCCTTTTGTCAAAATTTATCATTATCACGTATGCGCTAATAAAATACAAACTATTGATGTATTCGTATATGTTGACGTGCTGAAACAAACTGCTTAAATCGATAACAATAGGAAACAGAAAGCAATATATGACTGCTATTGATAACAAAACAGTTATTTCATTGTGTTCTCTACTGATTAAGGCAAAAAATTTAGAAAAATAAATTCCTGCCAGAACGGAAAACAGTAAATATAATAACACGTCTCTTAGTTTGATGAACTCAGAAGGTATTCTTGTTGCAAAGTGTAGCAAGGTTGTGATTGAAGCTATAATAAAACTGAAAATAATTAGTTTCATTTCGTGAACAACTATTAACACTATCTTTTTTGAATTAAATATCTTTGTAATCTCGCTGATAACTATGTAGTTTCGGTTGAATAAATCATTAATTAGGTAGCCGTAAATAAATAATACTATAGAAGCGCAGTAAAGTAAACGTAGGCAGTTGTTAGCCAAATCTAAAGAATTTTCAGTTGTAATTTCAGACCTTCTTTGATCTATTACGAGATCAACTGTTGAAATGGAAGCAACGCGCAAAATATATGTGGCAAAACTCAAAAACAACATTGTGCTCAGCAAGATGTAGAACTTATTTCTATTAAAGAAAGCTAATTTTATATCGATTGAAAAAAGACGCAGCAAATACTTAATAGAGCCTATCGCATTTGTTTTTTTTTTTGCTGCCAACTTGCTGCAAACTTCACAATCGCAAACTTCGGTAACATAAATTGTTAGAACATTAAAGTTAGTATTCGCGTTTGGAGCGTTTACAAGCAGATATTCGTTGTCTTCTGTTTTTATGTAGTAGTTGTTCTCTAGCTCTTTCTCAATACTTGCCCAAGAGTAGCCTGAATGATACATCGAAATAATTTTTTGCTCCAAGGAAGCCGAACGCGGCGCAAGTTTTGAATTTAAAGCGAAAAAAAATAGTCTCTTTCTTAGTTCTTGAACATTTTTCTCAAAAATCTCATTTAGCCTATTGAGCATTTCAAGATAGTGTGGTGTTGCGAAACGATGAGGCGACTTCTTCGTTAGTGGTGGAGAGTCAGTGTTTTGAATTGTTGTTATTTTTGAATTAAGCTGGATCGGCTGACTTTCTTTGTTTCGTTGGACATTTTCACTGTTATTTGTATTTTTTATCTGATTTGTGTCTGTACTGACGTTGTTCTGCGAGTCAAGACGGTTGGAAAAATTATCAGAATATAACTCGGGAAAGTCGAACGACAAAGGCGCTAAGTCGTTGGAAAATGTGTTTTTTAAACTTTTATTTAAATAAATATTGATACTTTCAATTAAAATTTCTTGGTATTGGGCAAACGTAACCAAACCGCTTAAATCTTTAAACTTTAAAGACAATTCGTTGAATAATTCTGCAAGCAGGATTATGATCCGATCATCTAGTACCTTGACATTCGTAATATCATGATAGAGTTCTAAAATCGAAACTCCAGATAGTAAAATGTTTTGAGCTGCGAGCAAAAAATATTGGTCAGCATATATAAACAGCTCAAAATATAATTTAATAGGGTGATATATCACTGTAAACCCTATCGAGCAAATTTTTTTTAAAATTAATAAAAATTTCTTTTGGTCAACTAGGTTTAAAATAGAGTTCGACTCATCGACTAATATAATCTCACTCTGCTGCAAAATTAATGTAGCCAGCTGTACAATCAAAAGAATAAGTGCATCAGCCGATTTGTGAGCCTGAAAATCGTGCAACGGCTTGTTCATAACGGAGCCAATCTCACAAATTTCAAGGACTGTCTGCATACTCATAACGTCTTTTTCGTCTTTATTCATTAACAAAAAGTCATAGTGCAAGAAGAGATATTCCTTGACGGTTAATAATTCATAACAACATGAAATGGGTTTGAGCGTTCGCATAATTGTTTTTGCGGAACAAATGAATTTGTCATTAAATATGATTGAACTATACATGAGACAATTTAACCTTGACGGTGAAAAGCAACGTTCATCCGAAATATATTTTAGAAAGTCTATAAAGTCCACGCTCGTATTATCAACCGAAGCAATTAAATTTAAAGCTCCCTTGTTGATTTTGAACGAGCCATTATTCAACAATTTTTTTGAATCTTTTAAAATGTTTAGTTTGTGGCACGCAAAGTACATTAGTTGAGAATGCAAAAATAAACGAAAACGTCGGAACTGGCTTTACTCCGTCAAATAAGAAAACAAAGATAGTTTTAAATTCAAGTGTTATTTAGTTTAAATGCATTACTTTAACAAATCGAGTAGTAAAAGCTTCTGAAACATGGAAAAAGAAAAAAAAATTTTTCCAAAATAAAGAGAAGAAATAATTTCGAATTACAAAAATTCGGTGAAACATGAGTTCCGATTCATCAGATTTTGAAATCTCATGTGACGGCGTTGATTTTTCAATTGAAAGTGACGTATCAGACGGATGCTTTGACGATTTGAGCGACTCTAACTCCACTTACAGTGAAGATTTAGAGAAAAACCAAAAAGAAGATTTTTATGATGCTAACGCAATTGAATGGAGCAGTTTGTTTGTTGAAAAATTTATAATTAAAGCTTTGACGGAAGCTGGGTACAAGAAAGCGCTTCTAATACAGAAAAAGCTTATCGAAGAAGTACCTTCAGGGAAAGATATCTTACTGAACGCCCCTACAGGATGTGGGAAAACCTTAGCCTACCTCGTTCCAACATTGCAAAGACTACTATCTATTCCTTTCATCGCAAGTCGAAAACTTCATAATAACACTATCGTTAAAAAAAATAACGTATCAGTGACCAAAATGCTCGTCTTACTTCCAACTCGTGAGTTGGCCGTGCAAACGTTTGCAGTTTGCGACAAAATTTGCAAGTATCTACCCATCACAAGACTACTTTTATCAGGTGGTATTGATTTAGAACAACAGCAACTAGATGCTGGTAAAAATTTCGACGTTGTGATATCTACCCCGGGCCGTTGTTTAGATTTACTGCTTAATTCGCATAAGATGAACTTCAGTTACATTGATATTTTAATTCTCGACGAAGCTGACAAGTTAATAGACCTGGGTTTTAAAGAAGTATGTTTGAAAATCGTGAATGAATGTGGCAGCCATCGCCAATTAATTTTATGTAGTGCCACTTTATCTACTAAGCTAAATGCTGTTTACAAATCAATATTAAAAGACGCTGTTGAAATCAACTTATATGATAGAAAATCTCAGTACTCGGAGTACTTTCAGAGTAAAAGCATTAAGAATAAGTTTATTGCCATTAAAAATAATGAATATAGGTACGCTGCTTTGCTTAAAATATTAAACTTGGAAATACAAGAAGGTACCAAAAAAATTTTGGTATTTTTCAATACGAAAAAAATGACACACTACGTCAGTTTATTATTCAAGGAAATACCTGTGAATTTCGACTTTCTAGAGCTTCACGCTAATTTGTCTAATGACCAGCGTAAAAAAGTTATCTCTAAGTATGAACAAAGAAATATATCGATAATTTTTGCAACTGAAGTGATTTCTCGAGGTATCAATCTGGAAAACTTGGAACTAGTTATAAACGCTGAAATCCCTTTGGAAGAAAAAGCGTTCATACACAGAATTGGACGAACTGGCCGATGTGGAAGCTCCGGCCGTGCAATCACTATTTACGAATCGCAAAACGAACGAAAAGCACTTTATAACATTTTCTCTAAAACTAAAAGTTCTGAAAAAGAAAAGTTCGATAAGTCCGAAACTTGGGACCTTTCTGATGTAAGTGAAGAAGTTAAACAAATTGCATTGGCGACCAGCAAAGTAAAGAAGATTTTAAAGTTTGAAGAACTTCAAAAATCAGCAGAATCAACGTTAGCTAGGGCAGACAAAGTCTTAAAAAATGGTAATATCGAAAAAAAAAAATTGAAAAGAGAATGGCTGGATAAACCAGCGAAAAACACATTTTCGAGTAAACAAAAGAAGTATAAACAGAATTAAGATACTCTTTTAAGTGCAAATATATAAACTGCAGAGTTTTAACACAGAAATAATTTGTTTATTTAATTTGCACAACACTTGAATAACCTACACATACACACTTCGTTTTTAATTAATTCTATAAATCCACACAAGTAAAGATAAGTGAGTAGATGAAGATCTATTACCTATCAACCTTAGTTGCACTTACGGCGGCTGAGCATATTTCAAGCGAAAGTTCAGATCATCACCACCATAAACTCGGCCACAACCATTTAGCAAATTTAAACGAAATTCTCCATCCACATGAGTCAGACACAATTAAAGTAGAACTTATAAATAATGGTGAGCTGGTTCCTAGTGTACAGACTACTATAGCGGAAAACCCCGTCAGTCATCCAAAAGAATACGCAAATTTAATTGAGCCAAAACTTTACTGTCCAGAAGGCTTCAAAATGCAAGGACGCGCTTGTGTAAAAATTGATTATTCCGAGATTTCCAAAACCTGTCCTGATGGAACAATAATGGAAAACGAAAACTGCATAAAGTTCAAACGTACACCTGCCAATCCAATCTGTACTGAAGGAACATTATTGAAAAATCAGTTTTGTGAGATGACGGAGTATACGCCGTCTGCAATAGTATGTGACGCTGGTTTTGTGCTACAAGGCAACATGTGTATTCAAGAAAGAACTGAAACCCCTATTAATTCTTGTAAAGATGGATTTGTTAAACACGGAAACGATTGTATAAAAGTAACTACGAACGCAGCTACTGTCACTTGTCCTCCTGGCTACGTTTTGAGTGGAAAGCATTGTGAAAGTTACGTTTACGAAAAGTCAATAATTGACTGTCCATTGGGTTATAAATTGATTAACGATACTTGTATCAAAATTTTGAGACAACATCCCTCCTACGTTTGCCCAAGAGGTTCAAGATCTCTTCCTGGAGAAGAAAAATGTATTAGTGATTATATTTTTAAAGCTGAGTTAAATTGCAATCCAGATGGAGACGTAAAGCATAAGAACTGCCATTACACAATAAAACAAAAGGCGAAATACACTTGCCCTGAAGGATTTATTCGTGAAGGTGAGCGTTGCATTCGGATTGAAGAAAAACCATTAATAGCCACCTGCGAACCTGGTTACGTCTTAGAAGGAGATGAATGTGTCAAGAGCTACGTTCAAAAAGCGGATATTGTTTGTCCTAACGGTTCCGTAAACAAAGGAGGCAATTGTGTTTCAACAAGTACCATAAATCCCGACGTCGTTTGCCAAAAAGGATACACTTTGATTGATGGCCTGTGTCAATTAACGCTTAGCAAAGCTCCAATATCAAGATGTCCCAAAGGATATAAATTTACATACGGGGACGAGTGTGAACTTGCTCTGTCTGTGTCACCAGAATTAGTATGTGATCAAAACAGTGTACTAAAGAATGGCGTCTGTGAAACTCGCATATATGAAAGTCAATACAAAGTTTGCCCAGCTGATTCGTTTGTCAACATAGCCGGAGACTGTTCTCAAATAATCAAGAAACCGCCAAAGCCGGTCTGCCCTGTCAACTATTCATTACACAAAAATGGGGAATGTGTAAGGAACTATACAGCTCCTGCCCTGTTCACATGTGAAACTGGTCAGGTTATCAACAACGAATGTGAACAAACTATATTATATCCAATTGTTTCTAGTTGTCCAAAAGGTTACTTTGTGGTCAACGGTCAATGTGAACGCACAATTGTACTGGAAGCCCGTATTGACTGTCCCAGACGATACAAATACAAAAATGGATTTTGTGTTAAAATTTAATTTTTAGTATGGCTTTAAAAGATTTTTAAATTATAATTGAACAATAATTCAGTAAACCTAAAAGTGGTAAAATTTAGAATATTCATCAAATTTTATTTCAATTGGAGGGCTTTACTCTAATTCCCGACCGACCTAGTGGGACTAATGAAGACCTTGTAGGTCTTCAGGTTGAAAAACTGTTTGAAAGAAGTCATTTTGAGAATATGTACAAGCTTTCTGTGGTCAGCAATGGCAAAAATTTTAGACAGACAGACTTACTACGGTTTTGCAAGAAGCTGAATTACGTCAACGAATACCAAGAAAACACTTATTTGAACATTGTTGAAGTGTTTATGATATTTGTTTTGTTACACAACGAATATGGTATGAACTTTCAACTTTACTTTAAAGTTTCTGACCAACTGAATTTACGTCATCTTGCCGAAAAAAGATTTACACTACCTGATCGGACGCAGGAAGAAGTGCTGAATAAGTTGAAAACGTATTTCGGAACTTGTTTGCAGGTAGACGTTAAAATAAACGCGATGTATTACGTTTTGCCTTATGAAAATCGTGTCGATAGCCTTAAAAATATTCAAATGGCAAACAACCTATTCAAATATACATTGGAAAATTCTACTTTTATTCTGTCATGTTCAGAAACGTGGTTGTTTATTGCATATGAAAAAGCTGCCCCGAATAGCATTGCACATGTAGATTTAATAAAAAAAGTTTTTTATGATTTAGCCAAATATTTGCGAAAAGATGTTTTGCCGTGTGTTGACTTGCAGCTAGATCTCTACTATTGGTTCAGTTTTGTGCCATATCTCGAAAAAAGGCCAGCAATAGCTAGATACTCCAAAGTGACACATTGGTGCATCAGATCGGGCATTCGATTTGGCTGTTTGTTTGCGTTGTACCCTGACAACCCAGACAGATACCATTCCACGATGCTGGTCCAAGAATTGGACGATCTCTCCGAAATCGACCTAGTTGGCTACGTCCGCATAGCAATGCTTAACTACAAAAAACTGCTGATTATTTCCAGATCGAAAAATCACTATTGTTATTGCTTGGCAGACCGAAAAAAACAAACACCAAGCCAGCGCCAAATATTTTTATATCCAAAGAAAAAAAAATAAATATATATTAAATTGGTTTTAAAATTTATCGATAAATATTTTATGGCGCTAGCAACAGCAGGAGGTAAAAAAAAACCTTTGAAACAAGGTAAAAAAGAAAAAATAGACTTAGATGAAGAACAAATGAACTTTAAAGAAAAGAAAAAACTTGAAGCTCAGGAAATGAAAAAGAAAGCTGAGCTTCTAAAAAAAAAAAAATAAATAGCAATATATCTTGCAAGAAAATATTTTCTAAATATTAGTATTTTATTTTGCTATCATAGTTTTTCTTAATGTAATTTGATTATTATTTTATGCTGGTATGAGCGCTCTATGAGTTTGATAAAAATATAATCTATTATTATATGAAAGATGAACAGAACCATGAGCTAATAGACGAGCTCATCAATGAATACAACGCTTTGCCACATGAACAACAGTCAATTTTTGAGTTTATTGTCAGTTTTTTAAACAACGAGTTGAATGTTGCGCTTCCAAAAACCCTATTGAAATCTATTAATTTGCTCAAAGAAAATACACTAGAGTTTTCTGACGAGCAAAATACGACTAGTAAAGAATCTCTGGAAAGTGTGAGTGACAACAAATCTGTAAAGTTAGAAAGCACCGAACTGCGAAAACTAAACGAAACGGACGCTAAAGATCTAATAGAGTTCGGTCAGGTTTTGTTATCGGTGTACAGACTTGTGAACAAAGGAATAATTCCAGATGACAACTTGATCGAGTATTTATACGACAAGGTAGATAACAATGTGTCTCCCATAATTTATAAAGATGAAGAAAGCCCAGCTAAGAAAGGCAATACGGAAAATGATTTGAACGACGAACGCGACGTGAAATTTAAATTTACCCGGGCTTCGCTTGGGCTCAAGGCATTGAAAGAACCCGAAGAATTTGAGAAATTTTGCTGTGTAAGTCCTGAGTTTGAAGAAGACTTGGAGTTTGGCGTGAAATTGTCCAAGTTCACGGACTTACAAGACACTTTGAAAGGGGTTTTCCTTCACCAGTACTTCCAAACTCCAATGCAAATTTATAACTACGTCGTGTTTAATGAGAACCAAATGCCTTTAAGTTTGCTGAGCAATACCTCGACACAATACAATACTAGTTTCTCAGAAAATTTAGAGGCAAAGTTGATCTCACTTGGGAGACTAAATAATCGGTCAGTTTTGATCCAAAAGGCTTTGCCCTTGCTGAAAGTTATAAATACGCGGGCCGACACTGTGAACGTAGTAAATCCGCTTTTGCTGATAATCAACAGGTTCAGAAAAGTGAATTTCAACATAACAGCGCTTAAGTCTGCCTTCTTGTTTCGAGTTAAAATCGAACTTTTTAAAATCAGCAAGGCTTGGTCCGACGCACAGAACGAACGCGAAGCCAATTTGAAAATCTTGAAAGAAGAACTGTCGGTGAACGCGTTAGCAGACGAACAGAGAAATTTCCGAAAGGATGAAAAGCAGCGAAAATCTCGAATGCGAGCGTTGCGTGAACATGATATGGAAAGCTACATTAAAATGATCAAAGAAGTCAAGAACGCACGGATACTAGAAATTTTGCAGAATACAGAGAAACTACTTGAAGAAATCGAGTCGAAAGTCCAAATCGAGATATCTGACATTTATGGCAAAGGCGATTTAAAAATTGAGAACAATATATGCAGCGAGTCAAACAGTCAAAAAACGTTGAACAACGCCAATGCAGAAGAGAAAAAACCTACAAGCGTGGGTCTATTCACACGCGCCAACACGGAGAAGGTTACACAACCATCTTGTTTGGTCGGCGGTACACTAATGAACTACCAGCTGGTAGGGCTTGAGTTTCTCGTCAACCTTTACAACAACAACCTAAGTTGCATTCTTGCAGACGAAATGGGGCTGGGAAAAACGATTCAGACAATTTCGTTGTTGGCTCATCTTTACGAACACAAAAACAACAAAGGACCGCACCTCATCGCAGTGCCGTTGTCGACTTTGTCAAACTGGATGCAAGAATTCAGTACGTGGTGTCCTATTCTCAAAGTGATTCTTTACTCGGGATCCAAAGAAGACCGGAAAATCTTGAACCAAGAGTTAACCTACAGCAAGTTCAACGTAATAATTACGACGTTCGAATACATTTTGCGTGAACGAAAGAATTTGGCTAAAATCAAATGGAGATATATAATAATAGACGAAGGCCATAAAATGAAAAACTACAAATCGAAATTCCACTCTACTTTGGCGGAGTTTAAGTCGACGCACAGAATTCTGCTTACAGGCACGCCGCTTCAAAACAACTTGAGCGAGTTGTGGAGCTTGCTGAACTTTTTGATGCCCAAAACTTTCAACTGCAGCGAAGACTTTGAAAAGTGGTTTGAAGAGCCGTTTAAAGACCAATACGAAAACAAGAACGATGTAGCTATGAACGAAGAAGAAAAGATGGTTATTATAAACCGGCTTCACTTAGTTTTGAGACCGTTTATTTTGCGAAGGGTCAAAGCTGACGTACTAAACGACCTCCCGTCTAAGCGAGAATACATCGTTAGAATTTGCCTGACACAGTACCAAGAGTTTTTGTATAATCGATTAGTTAATAAGTGTTTAAATATATCCGATAATAAACAGCAAAAAGTATGCAGAAGTATAAGCAACGGCGTGATGCAGCTCAGAAAGGTTGTGAACCACCCATATCTGTTTGTCAGTCAGTACACCATAGACAAAAACATTTTGCGTTCGTCAGGCAAAATTGAAACGCTCGATCGAATGCTTTCGAAACTTTTGATAACAAATCACAAGATTTTGATTTTCAACCAAATGACGTGTGTCATGGACATCCTTAGCGACTATTTCATTTATCGTAATTACAAGTTCCATCGGCTCGACGGAACGATGAGTATGACGGAGCGTCAAGAGCGCATAAACGAGTACAACGACCCGAACAGTAAGATTAACATTTTTATGCTCAGCACGCGAGCGGGGGGCCTTGGGCTCAATTTGCAAATCGCAGATACTGTTATTTTGTTTGACAGTGACTGGAACCCACACGTCGACTTGCAGGCTCAAGCTAGAGCGCATCGAGTGGGGCAGAAGCGCGAAGTACGCGTTTACAGATTTGTCACGCTGAGCCCTGTTGAAGAGCTCATATTGTCCAAAGCGGGGTACAAATTGAACTTGGACGAGCAAATCATTCAAGCTGGCATGTTCAGCACGAAGTACAGCGAACAAGAGCATTCTGAAAAACTGCGGTCTTTAATTTACCAAAAAAGCGACCACGTTTCCATTACCGCTACGTTGCCAAGCGAACTCTGTTCGTACCTAGCCAGGAATACAGAAGAACTAGACTTGTTCCTGCAAATGGATAAGGAATTATTTAGCAGTGAAATTTATGAAAGGTTTGATGAAATCGACGAAAACTCCTGCGCTACCAGCATCAATACGCCTGCGGACCAGTCCAGCGTCAAATCGGACAAAATGGACGACGTTTCGAACGAAATTGCAAAGAAAGATAATGAAAGAATAAGAAAACTACTTGAACTGTCGGGGCGGTACATCAAGTTTGAAGAAATTCCACAAGATGTACTAGTTGCCAACGTAGATCAGGAAGAATCGCCTTTCAGCCCGTCGTCAAAACGTTACTCAAAGCTGAAAGCAGCTCAACGCCTACGAGAAATGCAAGGCGAGATTTACTCTTCGAGCGAGGAATACAATCCTTTCTCGAACTCCAGTCTTTCGGACGAGCTGGAAAACGAAACTTTGTTCGAAGACTCGAAAGAAGTGCTTGACCCGCTTTTGTCAGACACTCTCAAATTAATTAAAAACGACACTAAACGCCGTCGAACTAACGCATAACGCTTTTCTGTAATCGATACATAACTTTATTAAAACTTAAAGGGAGATGCCTTTTTATTATAATATTTTTTGCGAATTCGTTCAGCATCTGATTTTTGTATATTATCTTTTTGTGTTTTGTTGACAACCTCGTTGTTTAAAAACACATCTAAGCTCTGTTCTGTGTTTCGTTTGTTTTTGGAAATCCCGTAAGAGTTTTGGAAAGAGTTTTTAAAGAATGAGTCGTTACTGAAGTTCGCAGGATCGTTAGACTCCGCAAAGTCGATTTGCTCGCCGTTTGAATCTCGGCAAACTTCTTCTTGACTTAAACCACCGTAACTAGAATGATTTTCTAAGCTGCATCCGTTGTCTTTTTGAGGCTTAGATGCCGTACAGTGAATTGAATTGGAATATTTCGCGTTGATGTCGTTTTTTATTGGGAAATATTTGTTTTCCGCTGAAGTGCATTGTTCTATGAACACGTTCTTTAGATTTTTCTGTTTTACACCCGCTTCGTGTTTTTTCAATTGTTCTTTAAGCCGTGCAGAACTCATTTCTTCGGGGAATAAAACAGAAATATCAGGATGTGGTTGACCTGTGTTGACTAAGTTTACGAGTTCGTTGCAGTCAAGACGTTCTGCAGAACCGATTGTTGACTTGTAGGGACACGCTTTATCTTCGAATTCGAAGAAAAAATCTTCTTTACTATCTGCGAAAGTAATAGAATTTCTTCCTTCAAAGTCGTCAAACTGGTCAGGCACGAAAGTGTATTTTAAACTGTATTTCTCTGCAGACTGCGGGTTTTCGAAGTTTGCATTTTCTCTTGTTTCAGACTTTTTGCCTTTTTTCGTCAAATATTCCGTGTAAATCGACTCGACTGAGCTGATTATAAGCCCTTCTTCTTTTAACGGCAACACATTTTGGTCTATTTGCACAGTGCTGTTATCGTCACAAGAAAATTCGTCGTACTCGTTTTCGTATAAATAGTTGGGCTCCATTGACAGCTTGTAATTCTTAGTGATTAAGTGAGTACTTAAGTCATCATTGTTGACGCCAGTTTTGTGGTCCAAGTCGTTGCTATGAGCACATAAATTAACATTAGAAGACAAATTGACTTTCATATTGTCAGACATATCTGCACCTATGTTTTTATGAGTATATTCTGAGTGATCGTCTGAATTTTGTGAGCCACTTCTGCTGGCTGGGTTATCTAAGTGTGTCAATACAGTATAGTCTTGTAAATAGTCAGAGTTTAAAGGCACAGACTTTTGATCGAGATGATTAAACAATTTTTCTGGACAACTAGTAGGCAATTGGTCTGAATCGACTAACGGAGATAGGATATTTGTTTTTTGTAGAGCCGCGTTGAAACAGTCAGAAACCGGTTTGGCGAGGCTGTCTAAATCTGTGCTGTTTGAAACACCAGTTTGGTTAGTTTTTCTAAAAATATTTTCTTTCCATAATGTTTTCACATTAAGTGTGTTGAAAATTGAAAAATTATTTTCGAATAATTTACGCAATGGTTCAGGCGTGCGTTTTGGGCTTTTGCCTTCATTATTGAAGCGTGGACTACTAAGGTTTCCAGTACCGTTTGAGCTGCCAATATTAATTAGCTCGTTCGACACTGCCGACAAGCGATCTTTTAGTTTATTTTCCTGGTTTTTATATCTGTTTCTGAGCGCGTTAAGGAGATTTTCCTGTGCAAAATATTTTTCTTTGTATTCTCTTAAAAGTCTAATTTCGTTTTCGAGCTCTGTAATTTTCGAGTCGTAATTATAAATTAGTTTGCCAATTGAATGGCAAAGTTTCTTGTACAAACTCATGTTAGTTACGAAATTGTTGAAGTCAGAAAGTTGAGAACCTTGAGACTTCTGTTGCATGTATTTGTATTCCCCGCTGTCTGGAACGAAAAGCTCAAACATTTTATTTATTTTTATTTGATCAGCAGACTCAATGTATTTTTGTTGGCATAAGCTGATTATTTCTTCTCTGGTTAAATATTCTAGCTGGTAAAATTCGACGTCTTTAGGATAAGTAATGGGGTCGTCTACTTTACACAAAAAACTCGAAATATTTTTTTTTAGTTCAATATTAGTTTGTTCTGAAAACTTGAGGTTGCGTAGATTTGATTCATATTGCGAGAATTTCTTTAAGAATTTTCGTGACTCAGGCTTATAGAGAAACATTTTAATTTCTAAGCCTAGCGCAAGCAGTTCGTGTTTCAACAAAAACGGAAATTTGATTGTGTCGAAACTCTCGAGGTACAAGTAATTAACAAATGTAAAACACGAAAGCATGATTTCGAGTGACAAATTTTCTAGATAATCTATCTGAAACGTGGATATACTTCTTTCATGCAAATGTAATTTGTACATAGACCATAAATTGCTCGTATCGTTATTTGGTTTTTGTAATATTTTAGCTATTACAAACAAAGACAAGAAGATTTTTTGTTGTATTTGTCGAAGGCTGTTAAAGTTAGGGAATTCGCAGTTTATAGAATTACCAGTAGTATTAGTAATTGTCTCGATGTTAAATAAAACTTCTAATATAACGGGGAATGCGAGCTTTAAAATTTGTAAATAAATCAAGTCTGAGCAGCCATAAGATAAAAGTTCAATCTGCAAGAGTTTTCTGCAAAAAAGTTCCAGCGACTCTTGTTTGTACGGTGCGTCAATTTTTAAATACTCTGGATCGAGCAGCAAATAGCTGTTGGCAAGCTGGTCCGCGAGTACAGAACTGTTGAAAAGTATCGTGGCAAACGCAAAATAGTATTTTTTGTAGCGCATTAAGTGAAAAAGCAGCCAAACTGTATTTTTTTCAACGAGCAGATTCGGAGATAGCAGTTTGACGTTTGATAAAAGCAAAGAAAAAAAAAGTATCGCGTAGTTGCATTGATTACTGAGGTTTTGAAAGCAGCAATTAGATTGCTCTGTGCTGTGAATTAAAATCTGGAGAGTATAGTTTAAGATTCTATCAAAATATTTTGGAAGTCTGCTCTTTAACAAATACTCTTTAGAAGAGGCGTTAGTAAGCAGTTCGCACTGTAGTGTTAATAATATTGTGTAATAAAATTCTAAAATGGATCCTAAATTACAGTTTAGACATTTTTTAGTCACATCTATTTGTTCATTAACCACGTTGGCGTCTGTAACGTTAGATTCATCATTCGATTCGCTCAGGGCAGACAACAATAAATCGAGAAACAGGTAATACTTTTGAAAGTTAGTGAACAAAAAAATCGAAAACAGTTCTTTGCACGTTTCTTCGCGTTTGATGAACTGGAAAATAGAAACCAATTTGTTGACTTCCACCATTTTTTCCGTAGAACCAGCTAACAAAAAAATATTGCTGATGTTTTCCAAAAAATCATTGTTAGTTAAAATTTTGCAGAATGAAAGGTCGTACTCACAGATTTTAATAATTAGTTGAAGGCCGAATATCAGTGGCAAACTATCAAAAATTCTGTCGTTTGTCTTTTGATCAATTTTTGTGATGGTTTGCAAAATTCTGGCTAGTTTAGTAGAACATAAAATCTCGTTTAATTTCTCGCTTGATATCTTGTCGCTAACCTCAGGAAAACTTTGTAAAAGTATGAAAAAGTAAATCAAGCACTTTAAGCACAAAACAACGAGGTCTTCTGCGTCATCGAGTTTAAGAGATATTTCAAGAGTATTCGTAACTAAATCTAGCGAATCGGAAAGTTGAAAAACATCTGCAATCATACTGGAAATTTCTTCTCGTTTGTTGACTGTGGAAGAGTAATACTCTAGCTCTATGAAAAAATCCGTTATCATTTGAATTACCTGTATCTTCAACAGATAAAAGCTTTTGAAAACTTCATTGGATTTTTGAGCAATAGAAAATGGACAGTCTTTCTTGACCAGCTCCTTAAGTTTGACAACTATTGGGGAAAACTCTCGTTGCCAAAGAAGTTGCACATACGACACTGCGTGAAAAAAATTATTCAAGGTTTCAAAGGAGGAAACAGCTTGATCAGCCGTGAAACTTTGATCATTGTACATCTTAGTGTACTTATCGAATTTCTTAATCAGCGAAAAAAGTGTTTCTAATTCGTTGATCTGCAGATCTGAGCCACGCTTTACATTCTCGAACGTTAAACTGTTAATTTTGCTGTCATCACAAAACTTGGTGTTGTTTATCAAGTAATCGTTAAATGTAGTTTGTAAATTCCTTTGCATTGAATAAATTTTTTCTGGGCATAATCAGCTAGTATAATGTCGAAATACTTAGATTTTCAGATTTATTTCCTACAAATTATTGATAAGCAAATTATTTGCTCCGGAGTGCAAATTAGAAAAGTATTATTAATAAAATAGCGGTTAGCCAAAAAGAAAATATAATTAATTTTAAAAAGATGAAAAAATAGAGATTTAATAGAGCTATAAACCGAAATAGCGATTATGATGATACCCGATATATATTCAGCTCCAGAAAAAGACGCCCGTCCTACACACGATTACACAGACCAGTTAAACGAGCTGCTTAAATCAGTTTCTCATGAGTTTGACATGGGTCAACGCGAAAGTGTGGAGGAAGCGTT